GTAAAAGATATTTAAACCCAAAATACCATTGATTTTATTTTTCAAACATATTGTACACACAGTAAGGACCATTCAGGCAAAAAATGAGCGATTTTTTAGTGGACTTTTCAGGGTAATGGACGATTATCGGAATCATTTTGGTGTTATTTTCAGTTTTTTACGCCTTTTTTGGACAAAAGTGAAAAAAAAAATACGAAAGCCCAAAACACCATCAGAATTGTTCTTTAGGCGTCTTTCTAATACTCTTAGGAGCATTTTAAAAAAAATTGGAGCAAAAAATAACTTGCAGCTCAAAAGTTATGGGCATTTGAAGAGGGGAAGGTTTTGTTGCCAAAATCAGACAAAATCACAACAAACAATCAACCGCAGCACATCAATGAGTGAAGTCGAACATTTCATGCTTTTTTTCTCAAATCTACATACTTTCATTGACATTGTGTCAAATTTTCACTTCAATCCGACGAAAAATGGGCCCGGTGTAAATTTTATTGGGAAAAATGACATTCTCTTTCTCGGAAGTTCGAAACGTCACTTTCTTGAAAATTCTTAAAACTTCAAAAATTCATATCTCAGTGAGTTTTTCGATTTGAGACCTAATATTTTGCAGAAGTTCATTATTTGGTGGTCTGATCAAGAAAAAAATTTATCATCAAAATCCGAGTTGGGCGGTTGCATGGCTGGTAGGTTCTAAATGAAATGACCCCTATACATACTTCTATCCCTTGGGAAGCTTTGGATGATGGATGAACTAGGACATTTCAAAAATTTTCATGGTTGAGTAAGTGTCTGTGCTTGCACAAGAACTCTTACTTAAAATATTCTTCCGCTTTTGAGTTATTCAAAAATTTATGAAAAAACCTGATAGATGGCATCTGGTAGATTTTTTCAACACATAAGGGTTTAAAACATGAGATTTAAAACTTTCACGAGTGTCTGGGGGTCCTTTCAGACCTAAATTAAAAAATTCCTCTATGATGTTCCTCAACATTCATGGGGTCAGGAGGCACCAAAAGATAGAAATCTCGAGTCAAAGAGGAACACTGAGGAAGGATTCAGATCATCCAATTGAGTTTGCTGTGATGCCAAAAGCACACACCCAGGGTGTCTACTAAAACAGGCTGGCCAAAAATCAGCACTTTTACAGTACTTTCCAGTACATTCCCAAAAAATTCAGTACCTCCTCCACAGAAAAATTCAGTACTTTCATTACCGTCGTTTGACGAAATCCGAGAAATTTCGAAAATTTGAAATTCTCGCTCAAATTGCAACAAAAATGACGTAGCCACAAAATTTTGTTGGTGACTTGAAGACTAACTGCCTGCACAACCGTGATTATGTGGGAAAATACCATGCTAAGAATCAATGCACGCGGAATTATATACTTTTGAGGCTTTACTAAAACACGCTCGGTATGGAGGAAAACATTTTGGACATTCTTTCGGAATTTCCGCACTTTTTCAGTACTCCCAGACCGCCCTTGAGAAATCAGTGCTATTTCCGGACTAGTAGATACCCTGCTAGGGGCCCTGAAAAGCGATCTCAGTTGGGGCTCTAGCAGACTTGGGAGGGCCAAAAACAAGGAGGCTGTCGCGGGTAACGAGAGCGAATCGCGGATCGCGGAAAACGGGGGCAAACTTTGGACGGCCTCAAAAGAAGCCTGAAAGCCAGTGAAAGACAGTGAAAAACGACTCCCAGCCCAGCGCGATTGTCTGGGACAGACAGCGTTGCCAGACAGGACAGGCTGTAAAAAGCTGATCATCACATGGGCAAACTGCAAGGAACAACAGAAAGAGACTTACCATTCTGATTAGGTTCTTCTGCCTGGTGTTCCGCCAGAACTGGTCTTTCAGAGTCAAACGAAAAATGAAGAGATTCTTTAGAGATAGTGCAAAGGTGGGACAAATCTTTCTCCACAGCAGCATACTCAATTTCTCCAGTACAATGCAACTGTTTCTTACTTTTTAAAGCCCATCTTTGGTTTTCATCTGTAAAGACAAACAGTGCTTAGAGAAAAGTCCTCTTATAAAGTACTAAGTCAAAGACATTTTTGTGATGCTATAAAAATACCTTACGATATTCTCCATGTGCAGAATTCAGGCATTTTTTAGATTATCTCTTCAAAAATGTTGTTCCAAGGGGACACTTTTTGGAAAGATTCATTAAAGGTGAAGAGTCCTGAATTTTTGTTCAACTTTCTGCGATTTTTTTGACTCCACCAGTCCAAAATTCCTGATTTTGACTAGTTTTTCAGATACCCTTGCATCTTGCCACTTTAATGTTATATGTTATATTATGAAAACTTTCTCTTATAATAAGAACATACAAAGACAAGTGATACTGAGTAATATAAGTGATAAATAAAAAGATGAATAGATAGGCTTCTGGCCATTGAAATTAAAAGCCTGTGAAAGATAAACTGAGGTAATAATTGTGCCTGATTGTTATTGGAGCCGCAATAGAAGTCCCTAAAAAGCAGTTCAATAGCCTGAAAAAGCTTAGTCTGGGAGAAAAGCTGTAATAATAACTCATAAGGACAGCATTGCTAGGAAGCTATAGGACTATCCACTCAAGGAAAGATCAGTAAAGTCGAACTTAAACAGTTCGGGTATGTTGGAGTTTTTTGGCCAACAAGCATTAAATTCAGCCAAAAGCTGATACCTCACTACAGAGGAAAAAAGCTCACATATAAACACAATTTTCCCACAAAGAGATATGCTGTTTGGTGCAACACTGGTAACAACCATTCAGGAAGGCAACTGGAGACACGTTTCGGCCTTGTTGGGCCAATGCTCAGTGCAGCGCAGCCTCCTGAATTTTCTGCTACCAAGCTTGGAAAGGGCTTGAAAACTAGCCCGAGCTTCTGTAGTGAGATATCAGCTTTAGGCAAAATTTAACAAACGTTGGCTAAAAAACTCCAACATACCATCTTATGACCCGTGCGTCCACCGCAATCAGTTTGTGTTAAACAGTTAAATTCATTCCTTTAAACAATTTCAATTTTTTCAAGCTATGAGCGTTTTGGTTTTTAATCAATTTCTTAAATCTTCTGACTAATTAAATCCTTAAACTGGCTGAGAAATCTGGCGGCTAGCTGAGCTTGAGTGTAGTTTCTAACATTATGAATTGATTTCAATCTAATCATCAAATTACTTAAATATCCATAATTTAATTTTTAATTTGAATACACAAATAAATATTTTTCTATTGAATTAAAAGATTTCATTTGGATTCGCTTCATAGAGAAAAAAAAGGAGGTGTTTGCATCTTGAGGATTGTGTACCCTGTGACGTAGGTTGGTACAACCTGGTCAGCAAAATCCGGAATTTGAAGTATGAAAAACAGACCATAACATCCGATTTTTTTGCTTAAGTCAACTCATGATATAATTTCAAATACTTTAGGTGGAATGCATTTTTTCCATAAACTACACCATTTCCAAGAAAATCAATGATAAAAGTCGTGGTACCGACCTACGTCATCAAAAAATTTCCAAGATGCCCGAAATGCAAACACCTCTTCTTTTTTTCTATAGATTTGCTTTTAAATTTTGTTTTTTAACAGAAGAAAAACGAACTATAATGGCCTCATAAAAAATCAAGATCGTAATAATAATAAAGTGGAGCAGCACAAGCATATCCAAAACATCCTCATCCCCTGCCATCTAAGGAAAGAAACTTCTCGGCAGGAAACTTACAGACACTCACCCTGCCTCGGTTTCTTGAAAATAAATAACTTCGGCTATGACAAATTACTTAAGGTAACATCTTAAGGTGGAAGTCAACCTACCACCAACTGGCCAACTTCCCCAAAAACAGCCCTCATGCTCAAGGATATTGTCTGCCCCTGTATGAGAACATAAACCAACCCAGCCCACCCTGGTGTATAGTGTTAAATTGAGAATATAATAAAAATCATAATAAACCTAACACCTTTGCAGAAAATAGTAGCGCTACCGACGGCCCACACAGTGCAAAAAGTCATCCATTAAAACGATCGCTCTGGAGGTATGGTTTACGTCCGGCAATTGGCTAGAAAAGCAACTGTCTCTTTAAGAGAAAAAGATAGCTGAAATAACAATAATAAAAAAATCTATCAATTTTAAAGGCCTTTCATAAAATACATAACGCTCTAGGGGGGGGGGGGGGGTTGAGGATGACGTTGCTCCATTTTTTTTTTTTTCTGTGTTAAAGGATGAGGACCTAGGACATAGAAGCATTCAGAGGGTAGAGGGGGATTAAAAAATGTAAAATTTAGAAAGAAAAAAATACATATTTTATGAACAGCTCTTTGGTGTATGTGAATGTCTGTTCTTCAAAAAATTTGAGAGGAGAAAAAAAAAGTATGAAACTTTATTCTTACCAGCAGCCAAAGTTATGACATTTAGAAAGGAAACAAATTTTGATGCATCTTCGCTAGAGGATTCAGTTCTGAGTTCCATAGATTTACTATCAACAACTGACAAGAGAACACAAGAGATTTCTCTTTGTGTCCTTGAATTTTGACTGTCCAAAATAATGAAACCGATTTCTTCTGCCATGATCTCTTCCTCAAATAAGACCTGCAATTTAGGAAAAGACATATGTAGATGATCAAGAAGGATGCCAACTTTATTTGAGTGCAGGGTTGTTTCCTACACAATAATTGAAAAACCTATGTAAAATCGGCCAAATCTCAAGTATTTAACACATTATTTATGTTGCATTGATTTCTCTCCTCCATACAAAACGTCTCGCATTCCTTTGTTTGAAAAGGAAAATTTTGAAAAAAAGCTGAGTGAATACATACTTTTTTTCATTAAAAATACTGAAATAATAAATACTGAGAAGAATTATTAAAATGATGAATGAGTTTAGCAAGTTTTGATTCTAGAAGCTCCATTTTATAGTTTGTAATCTTTCCTCTTTTAGAAAATTTTTTAACTTCTGAAATTCAAAAAAATATATCAAGAGCACTTCACACAAATAGAAAACATTTCATCAACTTAAAATCTTTCATCTTAAATTGATCACTAGACAGGATATAAGATTGAGCAGAACAATATTTATTACCTCAGCGAAATTTCACTTAAGACACAATGGGTGCATACTTAAAATATTTCCCAATTCAACTTGAAGCTGACAAAACGGGTGTTTGTCAAATATGTGTCACTTAATACTTCTTGCTCTCAAAAAACTCAAGTCTACTCAAGTGAAATTGAGTACTTAACTAATGGGCCCTTAGGAATTGTACGAACGGTGCATCATAATAAGTATTTTCTCATTAAAATTTTACATGGAACAAAAATGTAACAAAAATAACTGAAAGTACATTCTAATTAAGATATAACACTTTTCAATGCAAGAATTCAAACTTTTCTCTCATTAAAAGCCATTATCTACTTGAATTGAATCTCATACTAAACATTACTGCAACAGGCTCTACGATTTGTGAAAATATGGCAACCTCAATATTGTCTCCTCATCTCATCTGTTGCACGATGTTCACATTTTGAATAACACAGGGCAGGGAAAGGATATTGCTTGATTAAGGTGCCTGCCAAAACTAGTGTTGTGTACTATCTGATTAACATAGACTTTCGTTTTTCTTGTGAGCAGAGGGCTCAAATTTTTCGTGACCAACGCTAATGAAAACGTTGATGTCTTGGTAAGAAGCAGATTACAATAATTTGTGCTGCTTGAATAGAGGACTGCGTTAAATTTGAAGGGGAAACAAGTATCAGAATGCTTAAATTTGTACCTAGTCTAGTAGCTCGTTTCGGTATTATTTACCTATAATGGATGAATTTTCCTGGTCTTTGCTGACTTTATGGACAAGATTAGAGATGCCTTGTATCTCAGAGAAAGAAAAAAAGGTGAGTGAGACCACCTCCTTCTCACATACAGATTGTTTTCAACGGCTGATTTCACATACATTTATTACAATTTTTCCGCTAGCAGATAGTTTACATTTTCTTTTAGAATGTAAACAACTGACGTTAATTTCACATTCATGAGTTAATTTTGGAATTTTTCAAAATGTTCAACATATTCTGAGTGAAATTTTTGTGAGGAAGCAGACCTCTCTGAAAGACATTTCAGAGATCTAATTCTTGCTCTGTCTTGTGGTCCATTGAATTCAAAAGACAAAAATAGAATTAAAATCATAAAATTAGAATAGGGGCGGGATCCATTCTTACATTCCAACTTTGAGCATCTGATTCACGGAGGCCAGTGTGCAGAAGATACAATTTTTTGCAGCCATCTGATGCAAGGGCAAGTTCTTCAGAAACAAAGCTGAGCGAAGGATTTACCAATGGTTTAGATGGCATGGTATCCAGGAATTGACATACTTTAACAACACCAGTAAGATTGCCAGACTAAAACAAACACATTAAGCCATCTCTACAGAAGTCAAAAAATGAAAATACATTCAGCAATTACACACGGCTTTGAGAGAATTTTTTGTATTATAAAATACAGCCACTTAGCTAAAAAAAAACTCCATCCTCTCTTTCCGTTTCCTTTTTCATCTTAAAACTTTTTAAAAAATGATCAGGTGTAGCCCATAGTTTGTGCTCCTTTCTTGCAAGCATGTAAATTAACTTCAAGTAACAGCATTTAGTAACCTTACATTGCCATATTTTATCTTCTCGTGGCATGCAAAACTTTGTAAGCAGTTGAGAACTATGGACAGTATTCACGGTCATTTCTTGAACATAAAGGCTTCCTTTGCCGAAGTAATTCTAGCGGATTAAGGTGGCCAGTAGAGCATTAAAAAAGTTTCTGGCCAAGCCGAAAATATTCTTCCTTACTGTTGATTTTGACAACATTTGTAAGCTTGCTTTGCGCTATGAAGCTCGTTTCCACCAGCGCCCTAATGCCGAAAGGGTCCAATTGCTCGATACCTCCAAACGAATTAAGGCACCTATAGCGTCACATGTCATGGGAGCTGGATTTCTCACCTTAGGGGCCATCCATAAATTATGTAAGGCACTTGAGGGGGGGGGGGGGGGCTGAGCCTGACGTAAGCTTTTCAGCCTACATTTAAGGAAAATGCAAAAGCTCTTGTTCGTCAGGTTGATGACAAAATCCAAGATGAAATAGAGGAAATCAGTTTATGACCAATCGGACCACTCTCCTGTCATTTATCTTGACTCCCTCTTCTCCACTCTGTGGGATGATGAGTAGTGACTTCATCCTTATGTCAACTTCATACTTCTAACTATTCCAAAAGCAAAAGAAATCTTCAATTTGGCACCACATATTTTTGTTTATTAAACTAACTGTATCATCAATATTTCCTAAAAACTTACTTCAAAAATTTAGTTTCACAAATAAAAATTTTGGCCTAATAATTTCATTTTGTTTCTCAAAGAAAACGTAAAGCCAGAATCACAAGCAGAATACACGGAATGTGGGAGCCATCAGTCCTGTGCCTGAATTTTGCGCGTGTCACGCAAAATTCAGCAACGAGGCTCAGCGACCATCGGATACTGTTGGATTTGTCTGAATTATTCGGATAGATTCAATACGAATCTGGAAAAAAATAACTTGAAATTGCAAAATTTCAGACGTTGAGCAATATTGACTTCCACATTCAGATGCCAAATTCAGCTTGTGATTCGGGCATGATGCTTAGATCTGCGATAATTGAAATCAAGGGGGCGGTCAGTCGAGCTTTAAGAAATTTTTAGAGGGGGGTAAGGGATGCCTTACGAGGGGGGTCTAAAAATGGGAAAAAGTGACTTACGTAATTTATGGATGGCCCCTTATATTATTGAAAAGAAAATGTATGTAATTCCTCCAGAAAGTTTAAATCGAATAAAAGTTTAAAAAAAAAAAAAAAAAACCTTTAACAATTAAAAACTGACTCATAACAACAAAGCTTTATTTTCTCGAAGGTTGCATTCGTCTGAAAGTTTGATGCTTGAGCAGGATGCTTTGGAGTGTCTGTTCGATGGTTGCACATTTCCATTCAACATCTGAAAAATAGTGTTAATATATTGATACTGTTAGTCTAAAGAGAACTTACTATTTTGTTCAGAACACTGCAGACCACTTCCCTGTGTTTGTTGAAGAAATATACATACTGATTATTCCATTGGTCAATAAAAAGATGATTGTGCAAACTGAACAGCCGCATGTGAAGAAAAGAGTACTGGTCATCGTTAGGGAGAATGTGCTCCACTTCTGAAAGAAAAATAAAAGAAAAAAATGAGGTGACAATGAAACAATTATCATTGGTGATTCTTGATAACCAGTATCAGAGCATGGTAGGAAGAGAAAAATAAAGGATGAGGAGTGAAGTTACTGGGCAACTACCGAACAAAACATTCCCTGCCACTAACATAGTGCATACCAACATTTACACTTGTTATTGGGATAACAGCAGCCTGATTGTTGAAAGTTATGTCGGCAAGACAAGAGTAAAAAATCGATACATTCACAGTGCAGGTAGGGCTAGGTCTTATCTTACCTTGCTGACATAGCCAGTTAAAGTTTCAACAATCAGGCTGCTTCCATGTGAAACCTGACAAAACCGGCAAGTTCAAGCTATTTCTGCGATGGTCATTGTAAAATTGTTGTAAATTTGGACTATATTACATGTGAGCTGCAGAAAAAGTTAACTTTTAAACTACTTCCATGATTGGCGACCAAGTTACAAAATGACCTGTTATTTCGATCAGTTTGGGGATTTGAACGTCAAGCTTCTAGCTAGCTAATTTCAACTTCGTACCTATTGTTCATTTAAGTGTGAGGAATTGCCAACTGTCATTAAACACCATGTAGCTAGATACAGAGTGAATTTCAAAGTTACGCACTTCTAGTAAATTTAGACTTACAGAACACTCCTCATAAGGCTGCCATTTAAGTATCAAAGCATGATAGTTATAGTCTGTCCGAGATGGGAAGAACCTTGGAAAGTCAGAATAATTTGTTCTGTTTTGCAGGGTGGGGGTGTCTCGACCCTCGTCAACTGTCACTCTGAGGAGTTTCACGCACACCACAGCCACAGCACAGGAGGCTATGGGCCTTTAAGCGGCCGTTTTTCCCGGGATTTGAACCTGAAGACAAAAATTCCTGCACTAGGCGCCGAGCAACGCGGCGCGGCACAGCAAGCGATTCATAAGGAGCTAGCCCTCTGTGCTGTGCGCCACGATACAGGGTCGGTTCAGTGTCTGCATCTTACAATAGCTCGAACGCTACCCTTGCTTCTACATAGTGCAATTAATTCCGACTTTCCACGGTTCTTCCCATCTCGGACAGACTAGATATAATAACAGTTAACATTATCATCCCCAGAGTTGACACAGAATTTAATCTAATGACTTACCAACTGGCAGCGCAGATTCATGCACAGGTACAGGTTCCAGGGAAAGTTTGTACCCATTGAATGTAGGATCTAGGAGCTCTTTATTGGGCTCCAAATATATGTGCTGCATGATTCCCTGTTTACGTTGCAACCTGGTGATCAGTGTGTATGCTCAAGCGTAGGCTATCGGTGGCTCAGCATTCTTTCTTGGCTCCAATCTCATGGGAAAGCAATCTGTGAAAGTCCTAGAATCCTCGAGAACATGCAGTGATGGACAATAGATGGAAAAATGTATGTTTGCTTGCAACAGAACTTCGGTTGAGGGTTCAAAGCAGCCACTGCCGGAATGTACGACGCACGTTTATGCGTTTACCTATAACTTCGTCAGATAAGTATCTCAAAGATATGAAAAAAGAAGGAATTTTCAGATCTAAAATGTAGGGAGGTAACTAAATGATGAGCTGTTGAGCTACCTTAAACACGAGAACAAATGAATGGTAAACAAGAAAGTTTGGCTAGCCGGCATTTCATCTACACTAAGTCGCCGGCGTGTATTCTACAAGGTTGTATTCTATATCGCCGGCATAATCCGGAGCCGCCATTTTGAATCCCCCACTACAGCTGGCGAATATCGAATATCGTATCGAATGCGATTATTCGAGTATCGCACTATCGATTATTTACCATAGCTTCTTACGGGGACACAGCTATAGTCGATCGTTCACGAAGTTTGGCAAGAAATCGGCCTCATCCACTGGACTCCGTTTTTCTCGCACCGGCTCACTGAGGAGGAAAGCCGCGGCTAGAATTCTTACGATCAGCGACCTTTCTCCTCATTTTACTTTTAAACTTTCATTCTTAGAGGAAAATGTCATAGGACTCGAAATAACGGCAGTGAAATTTCCTATCGGTTCGTTACACAAAATTCTCGAAAAAGTAATTTTCGTGACCAAAAATAAGGGTTTTGAAAAGGGCGCAGGCAAAAATTCTTATGATCAGCGACCTTTCTCCTCATTTTACTTTTAAACTTTCAATCTTAGAGGAAAATGTCATAGGACCTGAAATAACGGCCGTAAAATTTCCTATCGGTTCATTACACAAAATTTTCGAAAAAATAATTTTCGTGACCAAAAATAAGGGTTTTAAAAAGGGCGCAGGCAATAATTCTTATGATCAGCGACCTTTCTCCTCATTTTACTTTTAGACTTTCAATCTTAGAGGAAAATGTCATAGAACCCATAGTGACGACCGTAAAATTTCCTATCAGTTCATTATACGAAAATTTCGAAAAAGTAATTTCACGAAATCAACTCAAGAAATCACCCCTCATCGGCAGTGACAACAAGCAAACAAGCAAGTATAAGCACACCTGCCTCCTCCCCGCCTCCCGCCTCCCCCGCCCGGCCTCCTGCCTGTATCCTTGTTGCACATACATGTACAGTTCATGCAAAATTAAGGATGTTTTAATTTTTTGACACCCCCCCCCCCAATTTTTTTTTTTTTTTTAAAGGATAACTAAACTGAAAAAAATGAAATAGATCTAAAATTCATTTGTATTTTAAACATGTCGAAATATAATGATTCAGAGAAGACTTTTCTTTATGTTGATTTGCCGGGAATCGCAAATCGGGTACATAACAATGTTGAAGAGCGAGGGGTGCAATATTGTCACGTTAAGGAAAATTCGATCAACAATGGATAAATATTCGGGGAGTAAGGAATTTTACATCAATAGGTACTTTCTAGGATGGAAAAGAGCATTTTTAGAGATAAAACTGCGGAACGAAAACTTTTCAAAAAATCTCAAAAAGTAGAGGGAACCAAATTTTTTTTGAAACGGTCAACCTCAAAAAAATTCATAGAAGCTACGTAATGGCGTTTCTGTAAATGCAAAATTGCTTAGCACGTGTTAAGGCTGCAATTACAGGTGTTTTTCAGGGCAAAAAATTGAGTTTTTCTGGAGCAAACACGTAGTCACGTAAAAAATTCAAATTTGGTCGAAAAAAGCAGGCGGAAGCAATTATTTTTGGTTCGATTGCCTTCCTAAGGATCTATAGAAACGACTTAAAACTGTCTCTGGAGGTGCCAAATGTCTCAGAATATTTTTCGAGGGGCTTTCCAGGGTTGTAATACAGTATTCTGAAGGAAACACGCAGGTATGAAAAATATTCAAAATTCGTTCAAAAAGCAAGAAGAACCAACAATTTTTGGTTTAAAATCCTTCTTAAGGATTCATAGAGACTACTTAAGCACGTTTCTGGAGGTGCCGCATGCCTCAAAAAAGTTTAAAACGACTGCAGATTGATCGATGGCTAAACTTGCTAAATACCGTTATTTTAGCCACCGACTTAGAGACCTAATAAATTCGATTTCTCGGGAAAAAGCAAACCAAAGCACGAAAAATTTCTACTGTAGCTTCCCAGGGATGTGTAGAAGCTCCCTAAAGGTGTCTCATTAGGTGACCTTTGGTGACTTTTTTTTAAAATGAAAGTACGTGGGAAAAATCGGCATTTTTTCATGAAAAATAGGTACCCAACTTCTACCTTGTGTAGAATGTATCAGAATGCCTCGGAGAAAAATTGTAATTAGTGCGTTACAATCCTCTTAGAGTCTTCTACAAAATGGTATACGCAAAAATTCTGAGAGACCATTTCATGGTTCAGGAGGAGAGGCTCCGAACGCTTTGTTAGAAAAATCCACTTCACGGGTCAGAAAATACATATCCGACTATTCGCACAGTTTGTGACACTTTCAAGGTGACTAGAAATTTTTTTGAGGTATACTACGTGTAGTTTATGACCCGTAGATACTATATTTTTCAATTTTCACTCGAAAAAAAAATGTCGTCCAATTTCATAAATATCGATTTTTGAGCGCTCCCGAGCGGATTGGGACCATAGTGTGGCGGCAGCACCGACAGTGGCAATGATATCGACAACAGCCGGCAGCCGGCCTTATCGGATTTTTGAGAGCTCGCACTCAATGCATTGTTGCCCCGTGTGTCGGTTTATCAGATTGCCTGGCGCGGCGGCGCATGAAATAGATGTACAAATGGCAACAGCTTATTTTCGCCAGCTCCGAAAACTCTGATCGCTATCGGCAAGAGCGCTCTTATCGTAACTTTTTCTTAACGGAACTGTTTCGGTAGCTTTACCGACAACCGATTGAACAGCCCTATAATTATAATAAGAATGCCCGGCCCGGTTATAGGTATAAGTTACTCAAAAATAAGTTTTACTCGTTCTTGTGGGTATTTCGTGTTAAAACTCGGTATCCTGGAGGACTTTTGATCGTAGAATTCATTTTTGACCTTACTTTTATTGACACAAACAAAAAAAAAATTGGCTGAGAAGTGTAAAGAAAGGCTGTACCGAAACATGGGAAAGTTTCCCTCCAAAACATTAGCAGTTTGAGAGCCAGACCCAGTGTGCATATACTTAACGATATAAGTAGCATGCAGACCGTAAATTCAACAAATAACAAATATCTCATTCATTAGCAATGGCCATTTGATTGATAGTTGGAATAATACACAAAAATGGTGAACCGCGGCTCAGAATGAAACTCGGTCATTGCGCCTTTGAATGCTTTGTCTTGTTTACCTACTATATAATCCCTGGTCTTATGGCAGCATTCAAACTTAAAATTTTAAAGGAAACGATCAAAAATTAAAATTAAAGTACTCACACTTTACAATTAAGATTCCTAATCAGCTATTTCTTGCGTCCATTACTTATTGAGTATTTTATCGATCGATTTAAGCACGCAGGAACAAAAACACATGAAGACTCAGCACTCCTCACATTATCAAACAAGCAAGTATAAGCAGTAAGCTTCCATCATTTAAAATTTGAAATAGTGACATTACTCAAGAGCTTACATCCCAAAAATCACTTTTATAATTAAACTTAAAATTGCTGAAGTAAATGATTACGATCGGAGAGGTATTTATGATAACTGAAGTTGATTTAGTTGAAAAGTCCTTAAACCATTATTACCGGTTACAGCAGCCATGTAGGAAGTAATGAACGTTGCCGTCTTGAAGATAAAATGAAGATATCCCAAATCCTTTTCAATACCTATAGTTTTTGAGCTAGTAGTGATGGCGATTATTGGATCGATCTTCCAAAAGATCGATAAGATCGAAGAATCGATTCTTTCACGGCGATCTTGCGCGGGGCTCCGCTGCTTTCGATGTATCGATTGAGTGGAGTGGAAAAACGTCTCTATAGGCGTAGAACCATCTCGTCGGTGGCTCCTGGCTCCTCGCGGCGAGAAGCCGATCGCGACTGCTCGGCGCACTATGGGCCACAGACTGGATTTAACGGAACTTTAATCGTAAATAATGCAATGCACCGTTTTAAAAGTTGATGTAACTAATGATTTTTGGGTCGCTGATTTCATTGTACATCTTGGTTTAACAAATATTAACATCCTGACCGAGACACTTGACTTAAAATGTGATTTCTGACGTTTTTAAGACTATAGATTTTTCCCCCTATTCTGACGATGAAGAACATGTGTAAAAATTTTTTTTAAAAAAACGTCTCTCGGTGGAACTTTGATATGTTGCTCAGCTAGTCATTCTGATTAAAAGCTCTTACAGCCCAAACAGATCCCATGTGCGGTTTTCGAGATATTCGCCGTTTTATTTGCGTGAACGGAGGTCCCGCCGGCCGGATCATTGTGCGGCACTACTCGTACCCTTCCCTTCCAGCCAACTACGGCCCCTCTCCGCTTCTCCGTCACCTCGAGACTCGGACACCAACTATACGCTCACGAGGCTTCGCTCATTAATAATTGGCACCAATGGCATCGGGGTTGGCGACGCGTAACCGACCGGATATTTTCGGCCTTTAAAGTCTTGTATTATTAAATGCAATCATAATTTATCATATTGTTTATCGTGGATAAGTTCAGGGGACATCATTCCTATTGATTTATCAACTTGGTTTTCAATCGTTTGGCTTTAAGTCGTTTATAACCGACGGCGACACGACTATTCCTTTCATCAAGAAATCACCCTTAAATGATAGCGTAATTTCGCAACACGCACCTGCAGGAAGAAATTGGAGAACATTTGGAGAATGCGGAACTGGACTGGAACTAAGAGATGCGGCCCGCCCCGCGCGCTGCCGCAGGTGCAGGGGCGGAAGCGGAGTACGAATCGGCATGGAGGAAATTCGGCGGTTTGCAGGCACCTGCAGAAACAGCTCTGTCTGGACGGATAAGCGGCTCTCCTCTCCCGTTCTCTCCCCGCTCCCTTTTCTCTCGGCTACGTTTACACCGCGAGCGCGGTCCAAACCCGCTCAGCTCCCTCAGCTCTGCCCCCCGCGCCGCGCCGGTGCATCACCACTCCTCTCTCTCTACCCCTTGCCCCTTCATCTTTGCTTCGCCCCGTCTGTTCCCCTCTCGCTTTGGTAGCCGGTGCCGGTGCGGTCCCGCTCCCGCGTCAAAGGATTTTCTCTCTCTCTCAGCCTCAGCGCCGTATGACGCTGTCGGAAGCCAGGCGTCCGTTAATTATTTGCTGTCTACTATTCTGTATGTATTGTTTCCCACATCCTTAGCCATAATTTATCAATGGTTTCAAAATATTTGAGGGTTTTCGGCGAACACAGCGAACCTAATAAGTATGGACGCCTCGCCACTGATACAATCAGTTGGATTTTCATTTTAAAACTTGATACACATACAGTATTCTCATCGTAGAGAAGTCAATTTTCTTACTTTTGCTCGTTTGACCGAAATGTATCATACGTGGAGTTCATGAGTCGATAGACACGTAGTATTAACTAATACTACGTGTTCTATCAATACTTTTGAATGAAGTGTTCGTTATATTTGTCCGCCCTTTTGCATCGGTTTAAGAGTTACCTTACCCACGAGTTTCCAAAACACTACTTCCTGGGATTGTGCTCCTCTCAGCCGACTCTCATATTGGGTCTAGTAGAATAGGGCTGAAAAAGAGTTGTCCTTGAATAATGAAAGGCATCTACGGGTGGAAAAGGGTAAGTAGAGATGGTATATCAAAATGACTCAAAAGGTGGTGGGAGGGGATCAAAAAGTGCAGTTTTAAGGGAGTGAGATGGGCTGAAAAATCGCGTATTGATGTGAATCAATTAACATAAATAAGGTCAAAAATGGGATTTTCGATGAGCATACAACATACCATCAAGTATCAACGATAAAACGTGAATTTTCAACCGGAACTAGTAAAATCTATCTTTGAATAACTTCTTTTCACTCCGATACTAAAACTTTGAAAATAACTTCCCCCCGTGGCGTGCGGTGTGTTTTAGTGACAGGGCGAGCTCTAGCGTTCGTAATCCAGGGGGGGGGGGATGTTTAACGTAACCTTTCGCCCTCATTCCCTCCACAGGGAGCCTCCCTAGAAAATTGTTAAAATTTAGACCCTCGCGAACCTCAATTTACTCTATTTTTCGGTTGAAATCTGGAATGTCCTGAAAACAATGGTTTTATTTCATTCTCTCTTACTTATGATTTCCATTTGCCACTTATTTGAGGTATATCTAGTCGTTACTCCACAGCGTTTAGAATTTTTTGAGTTATTATACTTCTCAAAAAAACATCTCTCTGCGAATACCTAAACATGCTTGAGAATTGTCTAATTCATCACCCAGTTGATCCAAGTGAGCGGTATTTTATTGAAATGGAGGACACAATTGCCTCGGAGGGAGCAATCGCAACCGCGACGGGAAGATGCAACAGGACAGCGCATCGGAGGCACAAGCAGCGAAGCGCTCGGACGGCTGCGCTACAGTTTCGCACAGGTTCGGTTTCGCACAAATTTTGTCAGTGCACAATCTTGCAACGTCTTAGTCCAATTAATTTTAGTAGTGGTTTTTAGTACTGGGATTTTAACCGTGGGTGTTCCTAGTCTTTTAAGTATTTTTAAGTGTTTTAAAATGAGTAGTAATTTTACGATAGTTAAAAATTACCGCGGCAAAGACAGCATCTCATTTGAAGGCTTTAAGTATCACAAATTTCGCCCTCAAAAGTCAAAATTCCAGTATTCCTCTCTCATATATTTTGTGTGGAATCGTAATATTTTTCGAATTATTTGACCGTGAAAAGTAGAGGTTCTGCAATGTTGCAACATAGTGCACTAAAATATAGCAATGCTTACCTTACAGAATCAAAAGTGTGCGAAAGTGATGAACTGCCGCTCGGGGCTAGTAGGAACGTGGTACCGCTCTCCCCGCCCCGCCCGCCATGATTCCGCCGCCGAGCAGTCTGGCGCACAGATTAGTCGCCTGGCGCCTGGCGCTCCGCTCAGCCCTTCGCAAGCGATTCTTTAGAGCAGTGGCGTGCGGTGGGTTTAGTGACAGGGCAAGCTCTAGCGTTCGCCATCCGGGGGAGGGGGGGGGTTAATGTTGTCTCTTTCCCCTCCTCAGGGAGCCTCCCTAGAAAATTGTAAAAATTTTACGGTATTTGCTCTATTTTTCGGATGAAATCTGATGGAACGTCTTGAAAAACATTGGTTTTATTACTTTCTCCCTTACTTATGATTTCGTTTACTCAACTTGTTTCGAATGTTATTGAGCATTAGAGGACGGCTCCATGCTCTTAACTCCTAATTTTGCCACTTATTTGAGGTATTGTAGTCTTTATTCTACATTATTTAGAATTTTTTGAGTTTAAAATCAAAAATTAGAAAAATAAGTCAGAAAATTAGAATTTTCTGCGTTTAAAACATGATTGAGAATTTTCTAATTCATCACTAATCAGATGAAGTGAGGGAAATTTTATATAATTTAAGGGCATTTGCACCGAAGGAGCAATTCCAACCGCGACGGAAAGAGGGAGCAAGATAGCGCATCGGAGGCAGAAGCAGCGCGCTGCGGTGACGGGCCATGATGAGATGGCCAAGAGAAGCGAGCTGCGATCGCGCAGCGAAGGGCTCGGACTCGGAACGTACCGCTCTACCCGCCCGCCTTGATTCCGCCGCCGAGCAGGGGCTCTCCACCTCTCCACTCAACTGATCGCAAGCGATTCTCCAGCGCATGAGTCGGCCCGTGTTCAGGCCGCGCAGCGCGCTGCGCCACCTCCATCCGCTCTGCTGCTTTCCAAAATTTAGTGGCACTATACGTATTTCTGTCTCCTTCTCTTTCTGTTTTTAATGCAATTTACATACTGAACACCTTTTATAAATTATATTTGCTAAAATGTAAAACATGCATCTAACAGGTGTAATTTTCTTCTTTCTTTTGAAATCTTTGGGCAAGCAGTGCTTGCCTTGCTTATCCGGACCAGAGCATGAGTTGGCCCATGTTCGCTGCGCCATGCGCCACCTCCGTCCGCCCTGCCGCCGCTTTCCTACTTTAGTGGCTGCTGCATACGTAACTCTGCCTCTCTCTTTCTGTTTTTAATACAATTTACTTAATAATACATTTTGTAATTTTCCTCTTTCTTCTGAAATATTTGGGCAAGCATAGTGCTTGCCTTGCTTATCCGGACCGCTTGCCACCCCCCCCCCCCCCCCCCCCCCCCCCCCCCCNATTAACCTGACGAAAAATGGATTTTTGCATTTTCTTGAAATATAGGCTAAAAAGTTGACGTAAGGCTCAGCCGTGCCCTCTCCTCCCCCCTCGTAAGGCACCGAGAGGCTGTTATAGATCCTCCCCTCCCCATGAGAGCCTTAAGTAATTTATGGACGGCCCTTTATTTGTATTTTTTGTATTCCTTATGGTCTTTATTACTTAAAATTCCTAATCATATAGATAATAGAAGAGACATCACGCAGATTTTCCTTCAAAAAAAAAGGGCGTTTAATGTGGTTTGAATTTAAAAGATTCCTGCTTGGCCCGAAAGGCGAGGGTTGACAAAAATCCTGCGGCGCGTGGAGAGTGCAGTGAGTCTGCAGAAAGGAAACATCGATGCTCCCGATTGCGCACCAGACAGTTTACGATGGAAATTCGGCAGGATTTTTGTCATCCCTACCTTCCGAGCTCAAGGAAGGAATCTCTGCTGAACAGTCGACTCCAAGGTAGATTTACACAGGTATGGACAGAACTAAACAACTGGCCTCTGATTGGCTCTCCAGCGGCCCCTTAACGTCAGCCATTTTGGATGTTTTGATTATTTTGATTTATTATGTTCGGTTTATCGTTTGTCAAAATTTTGTGGGATTTTTTGCACAATTTTGGTTATACGATATTAATTTTAGCGTTTAAACGCACAAACGTTTGAATGTTAATTTGATTGTAATTTAATTAAAAAACGGGCCCCTTAACCTACGTCACGAGGTCATGTGACACGTACTGAGGCTCATGGGAAATTTTCAACTTTTCCATACCTGTGTAAATCTACCTTGAGTCGACTCCTTCGCCAATGCTTCGCCTTCGCCATCTCAGCCGGTCTTCAGATCGCTTCTAGATCGCTTAAGCTCAATTAATTTTAACTTCTTTAATTACTAGCCGTTAAAACTGTCATCTTCTCTGCTCATTTAGAAGTATTCCATCAATTGGAGACGAAGATTTAACCCCAGGGTCAACGAAAATCAAGAAGAAGCCATGGGAATTGCGGAGAAACCGAAGTCCTGAGTGGATCTTTACAGAGGTAGGAGTCAGTCGTTTTTCTTGTATTCCTTTCATTTGCCTCTCTTTCAACTAAATCGCGGAAGCTTACACTATGTACTGATTCCTCTATGAGAACGGAGTGAAGTTGTCATAATTACGATGTTATAACAGAATTGTCATCAGACTCCTGTGACGGATCATGTCTTTTTGTCTGTTGCTGGATTTGTCTTGGAGACTGCTGTGGACCAAGAGGCATCTCTTTATTTCCTCTTTTCTCATCTAGTCAATCAATGAATGCAGACCGGTTCTTGAAACTCTGTTGGCATGCCAGGACAAGATAAGGAATGTGTGAGCTTTGCGCCAGGAAGACCTTGATCCCCTACGCCTGGGCATGCCGATAAGAATTTCAACAATCGATTCCTGTGTGTGAGACTGAAGCTAAGATGTAAGAAGGAACCTCTGAGCACAGTGAAGAGTGTCTAACAGGTTTCGTTTCCCAATCCCCTGCAAATAGCAAGAACTGTGAATACTTGCCTTGAAAAACTCAATTTATGATGTCATCCACTGCGGTAGGTATCGCAAAACATGATACGTCCTACCGCGGTTAATGACGTCATAAATCGAGTTTTTCAAGGCGAGATACCTCGGTTAATATTCAACGTAGGAATTTGCTGTTTGGCCAGATCTTATCATTTTTAGTTGATCTGCAAGAATAAAGTATCATAACACAATTATTCTGAGACCAGCACAACTGGCCCATTCTCCCACTCCTATGTTGTATTTCCATCGTTTCAAGTCTAAATTTTTTGGAATTACCTGTTTACTCTGCTATCTAGAGGTGTCATCAGCTTAGTTGGCACTTGTTTACATTTCTTTTGCGAGCAATTGTGCTGCAATTGTCCAATAGTAATAGGCGATTGACGGCAGCCCGATCGCGAGCTTAGTCAATCCTCGATTCCTGTTGGACGACTACATTACAGTTGCTTGCAAACGATATGTATCCAAGTGCCAACTTAGCTGATGACACCTCTACCTCAAGTTAGCAGTATTACTTCTGATAGTTTTTGACAAGTTAGTCCTACCTCTTGAAGGCATAAAGTTATTTGAACAATTTTATCTACTCTCCAGCGTCAACCTTCTCTGGTATTGAATCATGCAACACTCAAGAATATTTATTTTCGGTTTACAGTGTACTCTCAGTTTTTAAGTAATTAGAGTGGGTATGTTTTCAAAACCATTCATTTCTCTTAGTTCCATGTACAACAATGCTTGCTTGCCAAGTCACATTTTTATGTCTTTGATGGTTTTTTGCACAAAGGAGTCAACTTCTCAAAATCGTGGCAGATAAGGTTACATTAACATTAACTGATGCCTTATGCAATGTTGACGCCTTAGATGAGCTTACGTTACATAATCAACAACTGAGTATCAAAGCTTAGCCATGCTCTGTCATTTATCAAGCTAACTTCGATACCAACTTCGAAGACCGAAATGGTTTCATCACTGGCATAGCAGAGCACATTAAAGAAGCCACCGTTCATGCCAGTTTGGGAAGCTTCACATTCCTGCTGCTTGACCGCCGTTAATCCGTTTAATTGTATGGATGATGAATGATATTCAATGATTTTTAGAAAAATCTTGGCTTTTCCAAGATAATTTTGAGAAAAATGAGAGGAAATCCTAAGTTTTTAGCAGGGAATGAATAATATCGAGAACTACCGATAACATGCTTAAATCGGATGACTCTTTCACTCTTACCTATATCATTACAGAACTACGGCAGGATCAGAAACATCGTTTTCGAAAAGTTAGTTCAATGCAAGTGTTTTCAACTTAAAGCAGACACTTTGAAAATTGGTAGAGGCATCAATTTTAGAATAAAATCAGAAATTTATGTATTTTGTTGATGGAAGGTCATTTGAACCTTGATTTAAATTTAAAGATTTCAAACTATCCAAAGAATCCATCGCAGATTGACCTTTAAATGTAAATGTATTCATTTTTGAACCTTTATAGTACATGCACTAAAAACAGTCAATAGGTTTTTTCATTGAAATTTGATCGACACTGGTTTTGGTCGTTTTAAAAATTCAGAGCTTTGCCATGTTGTGAATTTAAAGTTGTCAATCTACCAATCCTGTAAAATATCTATTTGTTATGTTCTAGAAGGAACTGTTGGAAGATGGCTTGAAACATGCGGTCATGCTGTCAACGTGGCGATGTTGCTCTCGAGCCATCCCACAACCGAAGTCCAATGAGCAGTCGAACTAGGTGGAAATCTATGAAAAGAGTGCTGAAGTATTAGCTCCTGAAGTGAAAAAGCTGCTTAATTTCATGTATTTTCAGGTGAGCATTCTAATTTTGTTCGTTTTCGACATTCAGTAGGTAATTGAAGTGGTGTGTTTTAGGTGGAAACTTGCATCACGTTGTCTACCAATGTGTCTAAGAAGTGTAACTGATGTTGCCGGCCCAGAGAAACATGCAAGAAAAAAGGGATATTTGAATGCTTCCAACCACAATTTCCACCAATTGCCACAATGCTAGAACTTATAGTTTAGGTTACCCACCTGACACCTGTAGTCTTAAGTTATATAATTAAAAGACCAATAACTAAACGAAAGTATATCAATTACATCGATAAAATGATTAAATTAATTATCTTTGTCTTTAATATTAAAAATGTTAATGAGAATATTTACTCAATTAACTATGATTACTTCCCTCTGCTTTTTAGTTCCGTGCAAAAACTGGTGATGGTGCGTGCGCATATTCCACAACTGTGTGATCTTTTATGTGTTTAGTATGAATTGGTACAATTGAAACAATAAAAATTGTTATAGTACATGCAAAATGCTGGTCACCGTGCCTGAAATTACCTGGCGCATTTAGCAAGAAAACAGTCTTGGCTGTGGACTTGTCAACGGTCTTAGTCTTTTTGATATTCATTCAGTTTTTCTATCTATTGAACTTCCAACTTATTTTTGCCAATATTCATCGGAAGATCGGATTTCTAGGATATATGCCTTAGGTTTAGATCTCAATTGATTATACAATGATAACTTCTCGCTTGCCAAATGATAATTACTTTTTTGAACTATTGCCCTGAGGAAAGTTTCATGCTTTCAGAGAGGAAACTACTGAGTGAATTTTCTGAAAATTTTCATTTAGAGACTTGTAAAATCATGAAGAATATTCAGTAGGAGTTTCAGCGAATTACATACATTTGCTTGATCATAATGGATGAAAAATTGGTGAAGATTCTGAAACTTTGCAATTGAAGAGCGTCCTTTCTGTGCTTTGATTTTCTCAAAAGTTGGAATTACTTGACAAATCCTAATAATGAATTTGAATTTCTCTCCATCATTCTCTTCATGTTTTACTTTGATTACACAACACAACAAATTTCAGGTTTTGGTTTGTCCTTCGAACCAAACTAATTTTTTTCGTTTCCTAGGTGCTAAAGAAGTCCGAAAATGCCCATATAAACTTCAGGAAAATTGTCTGGTGCTCAGGACGCCGCCATTTTGAATTTTTCAAAATTGGGAAAACCCACCATTAGATTTTTGCAAATATCTCCTCAAAGGTTCATCCCCCCAAAAAACAAAAAAACCAGCAGAAAGAACACAAAATTTTCTACGAAAATCATCCTCCCCTGTTTTTTCTAGCTCACTTCTTTGGTCGTAAATTTGACGATTTCTTCAAAAATTAGCTTATATAAGGCGCATTTTTGCTGATTTCAGGAGAAACTTTGCTTCAAATCTCCAGCCACGATTATCTGAGATATAAACTGTAATGCTCATTGAAAAGAGCGTAGAATTTACTTCTATGAAACATATGTCAATAGTTTCTGAACTTGATTTAATTCTGTGAAAGAGCAGTTTATTAGCTCCACTCTTAACTTGTGATTTTGTCGACCATCTTCTTTAAAATCAAGAAAAAAAGAAGAAAAAAACCTTAAACCGTGGCTCAAACTGTGTAACAATGTGGTAAAATAGTGCTGGGCCCGCACTATATGGAGGGAAAGAGGGGAGCCTAAAAGTTCAAACATTTTCAATCAGAGCCAACAATTTTGAGCTCTAATGAGGATCAGTACAACATTGATGGGGGAGAGTGTTCAGCTCAGGCAGTTTGCACTGGAATATTAAGGTGAGATCACGTCAAGAGATCTGTAATTTTGGGTCTTTTTATACCTCATCAGTAGATCACACTAGTCAGTGAACCTAACTGAAAATCTTGCAAAATCCAAAATGGCATCAAAGCACAAGTTTGAGGTTCAAGTTTTGTACTGCAAGACGGTAAGTTTTGTATTAGTACTTATTAGAGCTCACAAGTTTTGATTCTGATTGAAATTTTTTGAACTTTTGGGCTCTTGATCTCACTGACTAGTGTGATCTACTGATTAGGTATGAAAAGACCTAAAATTATAGATCTCTCGACGTGATCTCACCTTAATATTCCAATGCAAACTGCCTGAGCTGAGCATTCTCCCCCATCAGTTTTGCACCGATCCTCATTAGAGCTCAAAATTGTTGGCTCTATTGAAAATGTTTGAACTTTTAGGCTCCCCTCCCCCCCTCCATTTAGTGCGGGCCCAGCACTATTTTACCACATTGTTACACAGTTTGAGCCACGGTTTAAGGTTTTTTCTCCTCTTTTTCTTGATTTTAAAGAAGATGGTCGACAAAATCACAATTCAAGAGTGGAGCTAATAAACTGCTCTTTCACAGAATTAAATCAAGTTCAGACACTATGGACATATGTTTCATAGAAGTAAATTCTACGCTCTTTTCAATGAGCATAACAGTTTTTTCCTCAGATAATCGTTGCTGGAGATTTGAAGCAAAGTTTCTCCTGAAATCAGCAAAAATGTGCTTTTTTAAGCTAATTTTTGAAGAAAACGTCAAATTTACGACCAAAGAAGGAAGCTAGATAAAACTGGGGAGGATGATTTCTGTAGGAAATTTTGTGTTATTTCTGCTGGTTTTTTTTGTGGGATGAACCGTTGAGGAGATATTTGCAAAAATCTAATGGTGAGTTTTCTCAATTTTGAAAAATTCAAAATGGCGGCGTCCTGAGCACCAGACAATTTTCCTGAAGTTTATATGGGCATTTTCGGACATCTTTAGCACCTAGGAAACGAATAAAATTTTTTTGGTTTGAAGGACAGAGCCCATGTTGAGCGATGTTATTCCTCAATTTATTTACTTCTATTAAACTGTACCTGGCATCTAGAAAAGTCTTACTTTCTCTTAACAAAAACATGTTTTATGCTCAGTCCGGATTTCAGCAGCTTCTGTGGCCACGATCATCAGTTGATTGTCAACGTTGATGGTGGCCAGGAGGGTAGTTACTACAGGGCATACTGATCATGAAAAACGTAGGTGAAAGTGTTTTCTAAGTTTAGTGCACATTTTAATCACATAACTTTTACTGTCAAGGAATAAATCAATTTAGTGAGATCATCAATCTCTAACTCCAATTATTTCTTTCACAGCAATTAGCTATTGAAAGATTTTTTGCAGAGGTGAAAAAGCTGTGCTATGCTGGAAAGAGGCAGGATTTTGTGTCGGAAGCCTACCTGCTCACCCTAGGATTTATCAATATGTTTGCGGTGCTAGATGAACTAAAAAACATGAAATCAAGTGTGAAAAATAATTATTCTATCTATCGCCGGTAAATTAATGTCGGGGAAGTAATAAAAGATTTCTCCATTTTGAAGTTTTCTCCTGTGTACCTGAATGAAGATTATTTTAAAAAAATGTGTATACATAAGTAATATCGCAAAAGTCTCTACAAGAGCTGTCCAAAAATTAATATTTAAGTCTTTTATGTTTTAATTAGAGTTAATTAGGACTGGGGAAGGAAAAGAAGAGACAAAAGTCACATCAGTTAATCATCAGGTGGCCATTGGTTAGCATGTAAGTATCTGTTGAATGGTGCAATTTTTGGATGTGACATTTGTCTCGGCTTTTCTTTCCCTAGTTCTATGTCTTTCAGCCATCTGGCATATCTTCAATTGTCGAGGAATTTTACCCAAATGAGGCATAAAAATTCCTTTTCTAAACTCTGTGGCAACCCTGTGTCGCATTGAGGAGAGTTGAGTCCTTTGTCCTTGACATCGAACAATTTTCTTCTTTCCTTCTGATTCATATCAAACCTCTGTTGTAGCTCAAAAGTATCGTGACAAGTCTCTACACCATTCCTTCTTTTTTCAGTGCCACCCAGTTCTTGAAAGTTATGGCAGATTCACACACCCTGCAGGAGTTGCAGAACAAGAATTCCTTTCTACACAGAACAAAATTCAAGACACGGTGGAAGAGAATTTGGAAAAAATAATCGGTTACAAAGAGCTTCTGTTCGATGTTGTCAATCTGTGTGTGCACATGTTCGAAACAAAAATGTACCTGACACCCACCAAAAAGCACATGCTGGTTAAAGTAAGTATCATGTCATCCCATCTTCATGATCGTTCGACCTTCGAAAGTGATTGGTTTTGACATTTTTTTTAAGGCCTTGAAAGTGCTTGAATTCTTCTCTCCTGATAAGAGTCAGCAGTTAATTTAAAGAAGGAAAGAAAGAAAGAAACATTTTTTGATGTTTCATTGATTGTAGGAAAACATCTTGTTCACAAACGATATCGCTGTCTTTCTGAAACGAGGATCCAAAATTGCTGACTCAAGCTCTTTTCACAGGGAAATTACCGTGTTTTGGAAAAAATTTGGAAAAAAAGAGAACTGTTGTTCCAGTCATAAGTCAGTTAAGACTCCGAAGATCTCAAAATTGAGATTTTAACACTACTTTCAGAAAAGTGTTTTTTTAAAAATTCTCGCTGCCATTAATGCGCATAGATCTTAAACGAAACTTTTAAATTCAAGAAATGTAACTGAAGTTCAGACAATTCGTGAACTTTTAATAAGATTTTGTATTTTGGCCATGTGTCTCATTGCGCGTGTGTGTCATTTCTTCTGCGCTGTTCTTGACTTCATAGCAAGACAGTTCTAAGTTACTCAGTATTTTTTTCTCAGGTTTCACAATGATTTGAAATTTGCAAGATGTAAAACTATCATAGGTGAAGATTCTTATGGTGCAAACCAGGTATGGAAAGCAATGTAACACCAGGGGATTGTCACATTAACCGTCCAAATGGTAACAGTCGAACTGAGTGTATGACCAGGGGCTTGATTCTGTGTTGCTCCCAGGCAATGTCATAGGCATGAAGTATGCACCCATTGCGCAGCTATACATCTTCTCTTTTGATGTGATGGTGAGAAATCGTCAGTCTAGAATGTAATTAAAATGCTGCCTTCAATTTTGTTGATTAGAGGTGAGATTGTTTGGCGAAACGTTGAGAATTTGTTTTTCACGACTCTCTGTGTGACACCCTCAAATGTTTTGGAATGCGACATGTGAGGCAAAACTTTTGTCGCCTATTTGATATTAATTTTCTTCGAGTCTAAAAATTTTCATCTCATGGAGTTTTTAGTTTAAACCCAAATCTGTGGGCAGTGGCTATCAGCAAGAGCAATTAACTACTAGCTAATACTGCAAGTAGGGAATGACAAAGAAAAACTCAGAAGATGAGTGAAGAAACTTAATAATTTATTACCTTAATTTTTAAGCCTTCCTCACCCATCAATCGAATTTTTCATTCACTCCCTTTACCCCACTTCCAGCTATCGAGTCCACCATTTGCGTAACTAAATTTCAATGTTAGTGCCTCTTTGGTACCTGTCTCTAAAATCTCTCTCTCACTCCTCCTGAATGGTTGGAAATTGAGGAATTGACAAAAAAAGTTTTTCAATCCGTCTCTCCATGATGAATCATCTAAATTAAGAAGTGCTGATTTTAAATCTTAAGGGGTAACCTCTGGAACTTCTGTAACCAGTGAAAAACTGCAGCATCCAATAGTTGGCGTTGCTATGATCACAGTAGAAGCCTCAGGATAATTAATGAGCCTCCTGCTCGGTGAATAATGATCATTTTGTGTCGGTCTCCAGCACCATTTGCAAAAAATGTCTGCTTTGATTTCTGAAGGAGCCTTGATTCGCCGATTGATGATCCGCCCTTTCTTCTCTTCTTAGATGAGAGAATACCCGGCACAATGTCCAAACACCTTTATGACGTAGTTCCATGTGGGGGTTACAAGTATTGTCTCATATTTTGTAGTTTTACTAATGGTTTTAATGTTTGCTTTTAGGTTGTACTGGTTGTAATCTATGTCCTGGAGCGCCATCTAAAATCATTCTCAAGATGGCCGCAGTCATTGCTTTTGTTTTGTCAGCAGACTGGCTGAAAGCATCTGGCGACACACATGGAAAACTGGAAGCACCCCTACGCCTGTTATCATGTATCTTCTTGCTGTGTTGGGTCATCCCTCAGCCCTTGTCTAAGTAAAAACCCAGGTGCCTGATGGATGCCTCAATGCACACAGGTCAATAGTCTACATACCGCTCTAGTCTTCAAGCTCAATCCTATGCTGAAACTCATCATACAATTACCATCAGAAAATAGTGGAACACCTCTTTTTCTTGTTTCTTTTGTCCCTATTTAACTGCTAATTTAGTGCATCGATATTTTCCATAATTTTTATATAAATAATCTCGGAATAATTAAATCGAGGATGAAATATGTAATCAGGAGAGTAAATTCATAACACAGTTTTCCTCCTTGTCCTTAAAAATGTTCCATTTCGACGATGAATCTGCAAAAATGCTCACCTCGGTTGCGATGTTACACAATCTTCCCTTCTACTTTATTTTTACAAGGAGACCGAACCTGCATCATGGCTTGCAACTTTCACACAATATTCTTCACATTGAGAAAGAAAATTACTGAAGTTTTCAAAGAATTAAGTTCGGTACTGAAAATTCAGACCTTAAAGTATGGCAGGAGGTGTGCGATGCTGCAGGCTGAGTTAGCATTTCTGAAGTTTCACCCTCGATTTGCAGTTGAATATGCATGTTTAGGACGATTAGAAACCCTTGAATTTAGATGGCAACTAGGAATATTTGTTTAATCAGTGGCTAACCACAACAAGCAAGGATGCATTGAGGTGTAGTCCAAACGTACGATTCAAGTATAAACATTTCTTTTACACACTCATGATAACTGATGCTATTTGGAACTCCCTCTTGCCATAGGTGTTAGAGCCAGGCATTCTGGAAACGATTTAAGCATCAAAAATTAAATTGTGAAAAAAACATTATAAACCGCTTTTATCAACCCATTCTGAATCGGATTCGTAAATATTACAGTGATTAATTGACTAATCCCAATATTATAAAGCAGTGTATGATTTGAAATGGGTCCATCAATGCAGTTTCTGTTTTTTTTTTCTATTATTTTCCTTTCGATTTTTCCTTAGATTTTCTTTCCGAGATTTCCTTATTTTGCTTTAGATTTTAAGATCCCTCAATTCCATTGAATTTTCTTGTGTTGTGTAAAAAGTCTATGAATCTACAATCATGTTTGTCCTAAGAATCAGAATTCTAATTCTAAAAATTTGCCAGCAGTTACGAATTATTTCTTCATATTTCTTTCTAGGCCCTTGGAATGTATCGTCCCTGTGGTAGTAAATTATGTGATGATCCATGATACCTCCATCTTGGCCATTCTGAGGAACGATATCTATGCATCACTATCTATCTAATGAGCCTTTATACCTCCATGTTGCACATTTTGATGAAGTGTCATCATTTTCTGTTCCTGTTGACTCGTTTTAAATTGGTGAGTGTGAATGACTTTCGACAAATTGTTTTCTACTTCTAATCCCAAAGCAGACCAACCCAGTCTTCTGGTTTAATTTGATGTAAGTTATTTTTGATATTACCCCGATCATACCGACCAAAATTTCCCCTTGGCATTCAGAGACTTAATGTGGTCTTATTATCTAAATAATCTCCTGTGAAAACGAGGAAAAATTGCGTCATTCACTGACACAATTTCGTTTGGATGCAGCGCAATCGAGATAAAATCATCAAAGCTCCTCATTCATCCCTATGTTTACACCTTCTTAAAACGGGCATTCATTCATTTCATGGAACAGACATTCCTTTTAAGAAAACGGTTTTGACCAGCCTGTCCTTTGCTTCCTTCCTCTCGCTACTACACGTCCACTATTCACTTGCCATTTTTGGAATCTCTCTAACAATTGATGGTGTTTCCTCCTCACGTAATATTACTGTTTTCATCCACTCCGTTCTTGCAGTGGATGAATTAATTTTGGCTTACTCAGAGGGGAAGGTCATGAAAACGTCTCATCGAATTAGCCAATGTCCTGTAGGACTTTCCCTCAGCATCCTAAAAAGAGAAACACATTTCAGTTTCAATAAATTTGACGCAAAAGCAACCCCTATAAGGGATTTCTCTCTCTCTCATTTATTTATGTCAAATGAAGTCTCAGCCTGCTCCAATGGGCCTGTTGCAAACTTTTGCTAGAGCAAAACTAAGAGTTGTTTCCTACAGATAATGCTTCAAAAATCACGATGAGCGCATCGGCAAAGTCTGAAATGCACTCATAACTTCACAATCTGCGTAAGAAATTTGCGGTTTTTTGAGCTTCCCGCTTCGAAAACGATACTACGGTACAGGTGAACATTTTGTAAGAGGAGTCGTTCCATTGGCGACAATACTCATCATGGCCGACGCCAGTCCGCCAAAACACGTGTGATGGGACGAGATAACACTTGAACAGGATTAAACCATATAACAATCGGCGTGTTTACGTTCATATTTTCCTCGCCCGCCTTAATTGACCTTGAACTCTCCTTGAATTACGCGAGGAACTGCGCAAGCGTCGGCCATGATGAATATTGCCGACGATGGAGCGACTCCTCTAACAAAATGTTCACCTGTGCAGTAGTATCGTTTTTGAAGCGGGAAGCTCAAAATAACGCAAATTTCTTACGCAGATTGTGAAGTTATGAGTGCATTTCAGACTTTGCCGATGCGCTCATCGTGATTTTTGAGGCATTATCCATAGGAAACAACTCTTCATTCTGCTCTAGCAAAAGTTTGCAACAGGCCCATTCTGAATGTTGCATTCTGTTGCCATTTTCTTCAACTTTTAGTCAGGATGTACAAGAGGCAAAGAAGTTTTGAAATGTCTTAAAAACTGCAGTAATTGTAGCCATGTAGCGTCTGCTTTATTTCTTAAGAGGCCTAACTTTACAATTTTTCGTCCCTATAAGGTGATGGAGGAAGACCCATGGGCTTCATGAAATTTCACCTGAAAGGGGTTAAAATTTGCCCCTGCATTTAAAGCATTGTTCATTTGATACCCAACTTTAATTCTGCAATTGCCATGTTTTACAGTCAAATTCTTAATTTAAATGTTCTAAATTTTTCCCTTCCATTAAACTGAATTTTCACTCCTCAGATTAGGAATCATCATGGGTGAGTTATTTCCCATTGAGGTTTCTCAACATTTATTAGTAGAGAAAGAAAAGTGAAGTGCCACAAATGTTTCTTTCTTCCAAAAATGATAAAAGGACTCCTAGTGTCGTCAAGAACCTGGACACTCATGAAATCTCAGGGGTTAAATGTAGGCCAGTATAGTATTATGTACCTATAATCATATGCGAGAGACAGAGAAAATGTTGAGAATTGAACTAGGTTTTTGGTGCAGGTCACATTGTAGTGCTTTTACGCACCAATCTATCAGCAATCATACCTGAATTCTTCTTTCCTTTTTTTCTCCACGACACACCTTTTGTTTAAAAAACTCCCCACATATTTGTAAATTTAATGTTTCTCTTATAATCGCTGAAAGTTGCATCTGACTTCATTATTATTTTATTTTTTTATTTATTGTACTTATGAAAAAAATCAGTTTGAAGTAACTTTGAATTCATTGATTTGTAAATACTAAATATGTTCCTGTCAAAAGTTCCAAGTCTAGGAAAAATATCTTGAATGTGAAATCAATTGTTAAACTTTGTCTCAAAGGTTGAGTCCTATGGAGGCGAAAAAATTCAAAGCTCCTCTCCTCGCCTCAAAGTTGATGGCACTTGGTGAGTTTCTGTTAAATTAGGTCAGTTTGTTGTCTTCAGAATGAGCAGAAGATATATATTCTTTTTTTGTGCAAGCATGAAAGTATCGTTTGATACTATAATGGACCATTAGACAAGGTACGAATTTAAGCAATCTGATACATGTTTCTTAACCTGAATTTCACGTAAAACACAATTCACACAATGAAAATTACTGAAACCAACTCCAAACGAAGATATTAACGTTTTTATTTCACATTGGTTACGAGGAATTTGAACTGCCCGCTCACGAGAAGCTCAAAGCTCCAATGTAGTCGAATCGCGTACTACAACGGTTTCAGCAAGCCTCTCAATTGAGGAATGTTCATTTCCCACCATGTGTTGTTCAAACTATTAGCAATTTGCTATAGCCAAAGCGTCAAGATTGAGGTTGCCAGATTTTTATATCGCAGAGACTGTCATGATAACGTTTAGCGTGCGATGTGAATCATGTAGAGCATTGAGTTTTCATGAGCGGATGGTTTGAATTCATGCATCAAGAATCATTAAATATCTTCGTAGGGAGTTAACTGCGGTAATTTTTGCTGTGCACATTGTGTTTTACGTGAAATTTTACTTACGAAGCATGTATTAGAATGCTGAAATTCGTACCTTGTCTAGTAGTCCATTCTTACTTGGTTCTATGTATAATTGCATAGGAAATTTCTGGAAACCTGATGAGAGACACAACAACTAGTACATAACTACCCATAAAGGGAGGGAAAGTCCCTATTTTACCTGTATGACTTGTGTATGTACTAGTGGACATTTTTATTGTGCAATGGAATTGAACAGAAATTATTCAACTGAATATTTTGCCTCCTAAACTAAGTGCCTGTTTCTTGTGAACTTTCACATTTTGTCCTATTTTCTTCATCCATAAATTTCTCTTTTCAAGGATTTATTTATTCATTCTTACCGGATGCGTTTTTTCTTTTATTTTCCTTTATTTTTCCTTGTCAACAGAACGTTTATTTTTTTGAAACAGTTCAGTTAAACTTGGATCATTTTCACTTTTCAGTGTCTCTGCCTTGTAAGAAGATGTACAACATATCAGAATCTGCACTTTTTGGGAGGATTCAATGAAGGGGTTTCACTCTTCATATAAAACGGAAGATTTGTCTTGGACTCAGCAATGTTTTTGTGCCCCTGCTGACACAGTGATACTTTGGACCTAAAAGAGGACCAGCACATCATGCTGTGTGGGTCAATGCATTTTTAATGCCTCATACTTGCTCTTGAGAAGTATATTGATGTGGTAAGATCACCAATACGTCTGTTCTAATAATGCTGACACTCTAGGAATGAATAAATTCCTAAGGGGGCCCAATGATTCACGGTAAAATTTTTTTTGGTCTTACCCCGTAGAACTGATCCATTTGACCAAAAAACACTCTCTGCCAAGTTTCAGCCAAATCGGATAATATTAATCCGTGCCGACAGAGCCATCTTTTTTATAAGGGATTTTACATTGAAAAACAATTTTTTTCAGCAAAACCCATTTCCCGGAAAATGTGTAATTTCTAGAAAAAATCTGAGGTTATATTCGGTCTCAGCAGGAAATATTGAGTGGGAACAGTTGTATGGGACACCAAGGTACACTCTACTACAGGTATGGTCAAACAGGGTGCCAAAGTAGCAGCGCTGAGAATATAGGCCATCGAGTGACGTCGCAAGTCGTACCGTCTTTGCCGCGTAGTTCAAAATGAGGCCTAGAGAAAAAAAGGAGGTGTTTGCATTTCGAGCATCTTGGAATTTTTTGATGACGTAGGTCGGTGCAGCGACTTTTATCATCGATTTTCTTGGAAATGCATTTTACTCAAAGTATTTGAAATTATATCATGAGTTGATTTAAGCAAACAAACCGGACGTTATGGTCAGTTTTTCATACTTCCGATTCCGGATTTTGCTGACCAGGTTGTCCTGACCTACTCACAGGGTAAACAATCCTCAAGATGCAAATACCTCCTTTTTTTTCTCTATGAAAATGAGGATCTGCCAGATCTGGTAGCTTCAATAAGTTATCAGATAAATTTAAAAAATTGATGAAACTCAAAATAGCGAAAAACTTATCTAAGAATACGAAAAAAAAAACACAAAATTGACGAGACCCACTCTTAGAACAGAAAGTAAATAAGTTTTCAATATAGCGTCGCAGTCGTGCCATTGGACGCCGTTAAATCTATTCGTTTTGACGACTTTCTCAAATTCCATTTGTCCATACCTGTAGTAGAGTGTTCTTTGATTTGACACCTCAAAAAAATTTGTTTACCCCTTGTTATAGCGGTGTAAGAACTGAAACATCTAGAAAACGCCAAAATAGGGCAAAATGACGGTGATAAATCTCAAATAATTACATAGGTCTGTATCCAAAAACAAAGCTCAACATATGGTAGGTGTTTTACATGCAATTTTTTATGCTGAGTCTGAAAATGCTTTTCGTTTTTCACCATTCCATCAGGATATTCTGGAAAATCGATTTTCTTGTAAAAACAGGGTTTTTTGGGGAAAACTCAATTTTTAGGAAATAAACAATCAACTTGTAATATGTAGATGTGTTTTTTAATGTTGAATTCGAAAATGATGACTTTTCTTCTTCCATCAGGAATTTCTGAGGAAGTAAAGAGCTGGATGCAAGAACAGCTTTTTTTACCCCCATCCCCTCTGGAATTTCTTCAAACTTGATTACAGTCTATTGATTACTCATACTTGAGTGCCTCTTTTCCCAAATTTTCAGACCGCCAAAAAATTGGGGGGGGGGTGAAAGATAAAGCCAGTGAACCTCAATATCTCTCGAACGAAAAAAGATATCAAGGTCCGGGCTGGACAAAAATCGGCTAAAATTGCATACTTTAAGATTGAGCCACCCTAATGAATTCCGTTTAACATTACCTCACCTAAGGCTCTTGGTGACTTATTGGAAAACTAAGAATACTTCATAAAAGGTGTCAAAAAATCCCCAAAGGTTTGAGCATCCTGCAGGAAAGTAGGTTCGAAAATAAGAAGTTTAAAGATGACATCAGCGGAAGTAATTCAGAAAGTGGCCTTATTTCAAAGTATAAATTAGACAAGGTGGTACAATATAGTAAATAGCTTTTTCCCCGCAGAATAGTGTGGACCCAGCGCTATTTTAACATCTTGTTACTTATAGTTTTGGCCATGTTTTTAGTGTTTCTTTTCTTCATAGTAGTAATTAAACATGGACAACTTGTGTAGTTATTTTGATTACGCCTCTGGAGTTTTTAAACTTCTCAATGACATAAAGTAATTTTCATCTCACTGAAAATTTTACATCAGTATCTGAATTATTAAGGAATGATAAGAGCCTCAGGATTTTTCACAAAATGTCTCATAAGTCTGAATATCTCAGCCAATCAATCAATTACAGATCATCGTTACCAGCACATCAATATTTAAATCCATATTTATGATTAAGTATCTTGTTCAAAGAGGAAGAGTATGTATGTGTAAGCTGTTTATCATTTAGGTTCAATGTTTCAAACCGAAACGAATCTTTAACTAATTCAAGCTCTCTGACTTAGCATTTTCCATTTGACTAAATTCTAATCAGTGAATGAGAAGTGGAAATGAAGGAAAAACCTTAATGAAAGGACTACGTGCAAAGTGGGCCATTTGGGGCTCAGGGCGGATACCTTTGAGACTTGTCCTATTCATTCACCTAACAATGCCCCATCTTTTGCCAAAGTTTCAAGCCCCCCAAAAATTTTGGGGAGACGCGGCGGGGGGGTCAAAGTTAAATACCGGCAAAATTTTCGCGAATTTATTACTCGAAAACCAAGAAGTTTTGAAAAACGCGGTTTAAACGAGCGTATTCAGCGTGATGAGAGCTTTCAGAAAATGTATAACATCATAGGGTTTTGTCAACTTCAGCTCGAGTTATCGCCTCCGAAGCGCCGGAACGCTCAAAAAAGCACTTTATTTTTTCTGCTCTTAGTCCTTTCATTAAGGTTTTTCCTTCATTTCCACTTCTCATTCACTGATTAGAATTTAGTCAAATGGAAAATGCTAAGTCAGAGAGCTTGAATTAGTTAAAGATTCGTCTCGGTTTGAAACATTGAATCTAAATGATAAACAGCTTACACATACATACTCTTCCTCTTTGAACAAGATACTCAATCATAAATATGGATTTAAATATTGATGTGCTGGTAACAATGATCTGTAATTGATTGATTGGCTGAGATATTCAGAATTATGAGACATTTTGTGAAAAATCCTGAGGCTCTTATCATTCCTTAATAGTTCAGATACTGATGTAAAATTTTCAGTGAGATGAAAATTACTTTATGTCATTGAGAAGTTTTAAAAACTCCAGAGGCGTAATCAAAATAACTACACAAGTTGTCCATGTTTAATTACTACTATGAAGAAAAGAAACACTAAAAACATGGCCAAAACTATATGTAACAAGATGTTAAAATAGCGCTGGGTCCACACTATTCTGCGGGGAAAAAGCTATCTACTATTGTACCACCTTGTTTAATTTATACTTTGAAATAAGGCCACTTTCTGAGTTACTTCCACCGATTTCACTCCCGCCCTCCCTTCCGAAGGCAAAACGGTGAGTTTTCAGCTACGTACCATTTTCCTGAAGTCTAGGATTAGTTTTCTATTTCTCAATGACACAACCACCCCATACTTCCTCCAATGTTTCTTGGTTCTGCTTAGTCAGCATATGAAACAAATTCTAGAAAGAAATCAGTCTTCAAGATGTGTTGGAGGAAAATGATTACAAAGAGGGGATATTAAATTAGTAAATTATTTATCCTCAAGTTTAAAACTGGGAACCCCTTTTTTTTACCAAACTAATTGATCAATTCACTTCCGATAATGGGTCAATGATTTATCATTTTTTCTGAGGCAGAAAACCTACTGAGTACAAGAGGACAACCAGCGTTTCCTGGTGCCAAGTGCCAAAAGTGGTTTTTAAACTTTCAGACAGTAGCACTAGTAATGTTCTCTCTCCATTTGTTGCTCAAGAAAGCAGAAGCTGCCTTAAATTACATAAGTTAGCATCCGTTAAGGTCAGAACATACTGCCTATGTATCATTGACTAGATGTCACGCTACGAAGTTTCTATCAATTGCATCCGTTCGTTCTCACAGGATTATCGAATTATTTACAGGATTATTACAGGGGAGTTATACATTGACAAGACTGAAAAGTAGTTTCACCTTCGGAACATCATAGATGTCAGTAATTAATGGCTAAGTGACTTCAGTAAGGAGAAAAAAATCTGCACCAACTTCTGCCCCATCAGCACTTTAATTAAATTTTAGTTTTCTAGATAATGAATGAGGAAGTAATTGAAAGAAACTCATGTATTTCCAATCACATGGTGTATTTTGCAGTTTTTTTTGGCACAAAGGTATGCGCTTCAGTGGAAAGGCAGTAACTATAGAAAAGCATAGAGGGGGAAATGACGTTGACACGACTTGAGACGGAATGCATAGTCACTCCTCTAAAATATTCTCTCTCAAGGAAGCACCTAATAATTTGAGGTTGATTTTGGGATCGCGATATTTCTAAGGATTTCCTGGAAAAGAAAGGTTGTAAAAAATGCTTGAACTGTACATCCTTCAATTCTGATGAAGAAGAGGATAATTCTGGGTTGTCATCATTAACAATCATCTGATAGTAATTAGTGTCCTAAGCAAGTAAATAATTAATTGAAAGGTTATGTTATTTAAAGTAGATAATTTTCCAGTTGCCTCCAACTTCGTAAAGAACATGAAAGTGTATTAGTCGTTCTCTGCAGGAAAAATAGGCAGTATTGGGAAGTTATTTCTGATCGTCCAAAGTGCTTTTATTGTTTCAAACTATTTATGAAAATTCATCTTTTGATCAACTATTGGATTCTCTCTTTCAGACATTCCAATGCTTGGGAGGAGGACAAGCTGGGGCCGTGGGCATGTAGGACCACCCACCGAAATAATTGCTCCACAACCTGCACAGCAACCTCCACTGCAGCCTCTACCACAACCTCCACTGCAACCAGCACCTCCAGCACCTGCATCAATTCCTCCACAGGAGCCATGATATCTGGGTAAGACATCTTATTAATATTATTGTGGAAATTACTCACAGTATTAATATTTCCCATTTTTGAGGGGGAAGCTAGGGTTAGGAATTAAAATTTGCACCGTAGATAACACATTTCTTATCACAAGGTTGGTTTAAACTTGGTCGGAACAGTGGAACTGTTGCGAATGAAACCTTCAATGTAAATGCTAAGTAAATATGAATGGTATGTGAATCCAAAGTAAATGCTAGAAAGAAAAAATTTGGATACTTGAGGCTTCTGACGTTGAAAGATTTGCTTACAGTTAAAACATTTTTGTTCATCACCTCTTTCCTGCAACTATCAGGGTCAGTTCTCTGAATCGGCCAAGGCTCATGATCAATAAGGTGAAATAGTAGAAGAAACTTGAATGCAAAACCGCTATACTTCTCCCAGAAGTCTAGGAGTGGTAATTTTCAAAAAATTAAAGAAGGGGCAGATTTTAAATAAAAGAGACTTCCAAAAGTAAGTATCTTTTTGACGAAACTGTTACACTACTGCATAAAATTAAAATCCGTAAGAAACCGCTTATTGGTCATAATGTCAGCTTTTTAACGAGCTATAGTATTTTAAATTTTGTTCAGTAGAATGGCAGAAATGTTGTTTTTTTGTGAACCCACCTCACCACCAAACAGGTTTAAAATTCCATGTCGGTACATCGGTGCAGCAACTACTCGGTGTCAAAGTGCAATCAGGATTTTGTAACATCTGACAGCCACAATTCTTAGCGAAAGGTTCTTTTTTTATAAGATCACCAAAGATGCACCACAATGTGGACATCAGTGTAGTATTAGTTGTATTTCAGCTACTTTTTGTGAAATTGCATCACAAGCGTTCTAGGGGGCTTTCTTATCGGATCATGGAGTTACCCAGAAATACCGTTCATCTATAAGGAGTTGTATGCTGAGGGGATTAATAAGCTTGTCCAACGGTACATTTTGTCTCACGTCTTGTTTAAATTTCGGATGGACTGGTAGCGTGAAATTTTGGACCCATGTGGTCCGGAGGTGAGTTCATAAAAACAACTTTTTTGACATTCTGCTGAACCAAATTTTAAAGGAAAAATAAAACCTTGCAAGAAAGGGGACATCATGACCAATGAAGAGTTTTTTTCAGACCTTTATTTCATGCAGTAGTTAAGAAGTTATGGCAAAAAGATACTTTTATTTGGAACGACCCTCGTGCATAAGTAAAGTTGTAATGGTTACAGTCGAAAAAAAATTACAAGTGGAATAGGATGTGCACTTCATATTCCTATTTTCATATGTTGGAATGTAGTAGGTCCAATTCATAGCAGTTCAAAAGAAAAATTTCAGTTAAAGAGGATGGGGCAATTTGTCAACGTTTATGATGTACTTGAGGGAAGGTAAGGAAAGACTCAATACATCTAGACTATCCATAGCACAAAGGCTGCCATAACTTAGCTTTGAACCTCATTTTCTCTCCCTCTCTTAATATTTTCTGAGAACCAGACAATGATACATGTTTGAGGGGTATTTAAGAAAGACAGTTCAACGTCTACTTTTTTGATTGGTGGCATTTTCCACCGTGAATTGTCACGATAAGCAATCATAGTTGGCAACAGGGGAAGAACTTTGATAATTCAGGTGCCCTCCTCATCGTTGCTGTTAGGGAATGATGCACGTCTGTTTTCTAAAAGGGAAAAGAGAATGTCTTTAATTTTTTCTCTCGTAAGAGGAACTGTAGAATCAACATTCCTCTGTCAGAGAATTAACACTATTTAGCAGTTGCAGGGATAACATTTTAATTATAAAACTACAAGGAGTTTTGCCAGACCATTACTTCAAGAGGAAAATTGAAGTGAAGTTTCTTTATATGAGTTCAATGAAGCAGGACAGCTCCTCCATCTTGTGGCATTTTTGTCAAGGAACCTTTGAGCATTTTCAGAGGGGGTTAAATAATAGTCTCCTTCAGGCGCTTTCAAAGGATTAAGAAATCACTCTGTTCTTTAAGGAAACCGAAAATAGGGTTATATTTGACCTTCAAAATAAATATGTATAGGAGGAAAAAAAAAATAAATGATGCAGTAGATTTGCAGCTAATTGCAGTTCAATTGTTTGCACAGTCTCCTAAGTCATTGTTATTGTACTGTGTCCAATTGATCTTGTCCATTGTCTTCTGGAAGGAAAAATAACAAGAAAAATTGTAATTTTAAGCCTGCGTTGGTTCCAGAATTAGGTTTGGCAAGACGAAGAATTTTTACTTCCAACAAATCCGCTATCTAAGTTTTCGAACTTGTTATCAAAATTGATCAGTATTTTGGGAATCTCACCCCTTCTTGTTTTTCATCTAATCAAATTTTATCTGAGAAAAGTTGTTCAAAGTAGTGGAAAATCAAAGTTTTTTTCAAAGTTGGTCCAGGAAGAGCTGAGTGTGTTTCGGCAATCCTTTTTCATGAGTGTACACTCCCTACCAAATGAGGTTATGTTGTTAAACAGGATTACTGTTTTTAGGGGTTACTGTAATTCTTTTAGTAAAGGTTTCTTCTTTTAATTATACTATTGAAAATTCGTGTTGCAGGAGAAATAAGAATCAGTTCCGAAGAGGAGCCGCCATCCGCAGACACATCGAGAACTGGTAAGTGAAAGTATTTACAACATCGGAACTTGGCAACCATAAAAATACAGATTTTATCTTTATTTTATCAGATGAATAAAGGAAAGAAGGGCACAGGAATTAATTTCAACGTGTATTTGTTTATATCCAAATTGTTGATGGGTCGCAGAAACACAGAATTTTCAGAGGACAGTAGAGCAATTGCAAGTCTCTGATAGCGTATCTTCTAGATGAACCAAGCTCACATTGGTTGTATCAAAAAGAGAAAAAAGTCGTCACAAGAAGGAATGTAATTTTCTAGGTGTATTTTTAGGGCTGATCTCGAAACTTACGTTGGGTTTTCTGGATCCTCACGGTATGCTTGGAAAAATCAAATTTTGCATGTACTCCAAAAAAAATCGCAGTTTACCACAGGAAATTCAGTTGTTTGGGAACTGAGTAAATAATAGAGGACAGGGGAAAGGAAAGAAGAGTCAATTATCCCATCAACCTGAGTGGATCAGTTATTATTTTTACCATCTAAATTCATGTTGAATTGTGTGATTCTCGGATGTGACATATGTGTCTTCTTTTCTTTCCCCAATTGGAAGTAGGTGATTGTCAAATGCACCTTTTCAAAATCATTGCGAAAAGCCCACCTAGAATCAGTGACAAATTTTAGGCGATCCGAAGTGTCTGTCGACCAGTAGCCTGATTATTGATGCTCATGTCAGCACAAAAAGACTTAAAAAATCGATCAGTTAAAAGATTATCATGTGTTAGCCTGCTGACAAAGCCTGATAAAGCTTTAACAATCAGGCTGTAGTGTCTCATGGTTGCTTGAATGAATTCAGGGGAGAAGTACATTTTTGCCGGTAAATGAAGAGCAAAGAGGAGACTTGGATATCAGAAGTGACAACAAATTTACTAAGGATATTTTTGGTAAACAGGCATTAGTGCCATTAAGCCCATTTTCAGGAGTACAAGATTTCTGAATCCTCGTAAGATGGCGTATCCAATAAAATGAATGTAGCTTATACATGTTTCTGTACAATAGAAATGAACTAAAGATCATAGAGAGAGAATGGAATGCGAATTTTACAACGTTTTCATGTTTATGGGGGAACATATAACCCTGATCCACTGTATAGTCGTCATCTCTACCCCTGCATCATCCATGCGTTGGCAACTAATGGACAAAGACTTTAGTACTCTAATTTTTCTGTTTAAAATGAGAAAGGCGACATGTTTTTAGTTACAAACCCACCCCTCTCAATTACCATTCATGTTGAAAAAAAAAACTTAAATAATAAGGAACATATCATCTCAGCAGCAGAAAGTCTCTTGCCAATAAAAGAACTTGTGCATGTTTTCAAACAAAAAAAACAAAGGAAAAAAAATATGTTAGAAACTTGCACAGGGCAGCCATCTGCTGTTTTCCACACCCCTTTTCAAAGGTTCAGCAAGTCACAAAGGAATTAGAGTTTAGGCGCAGTTTAAGTAATGGAGGAAGTACATGGTGTTGAATCTTCAATTAGGGATTCTCTCCGAAATAAAATTTTCGGTATACAATCTTTTACTTTCGAATACTCAATGCTGAGGTGCAAAATGAAACAAACTCTACTCATTAGGTGCTCGTTATGTTATCACAAGCCGGAAACATTGACTAGAAAAGATGATAGATATATGTAGTTGTGTCTACAGTGAAATATAATCATTGACTGAAGTTTACTGTTTTTCAAATTTGTGATTTCGAAATCACACCTATGTACTGAACTGTACAAAATTCCCTGATTAGTTAACTTGGATGGTTTTTTTTTCATTCACAGATGCAGTAGATTATACGGGATGCAGCTCTTGCGACAAGCCTGATAACTAGGTGAGTTTTCAATTTTTTGCCAGTACTCTTAAAAATTGTATACGTAGTAAATCATTCTTGGAAGTGAAGGGTTTTTGCCTTAAGATTTTACTCCTCCTTCAGGTTAGTCATTCAAGATAATCAGCTTTTTTACAAATTTTGTTTTTACCCATCTTCTCAAGTATGGTCCATGAGGACAAGATTTAAAAAGTTCCTCGAGAAAATCTGCTTAAAAAGTTTTTCAATAGTGCAGTGACCTAGCTGTTTATTATTTTTGTTGTGTTAAATTTTCTGATACTGAGGACACTTTTCGTATTCGTCAACTTAGATATGTTTCGAAATAATGCGGTGAGATGAAACGGATGCTACAGTTACAAATTTTCGGAAGTGAGAACTTGTCAATTGGAAATGTGGAGCTTGTGGTCACGAAACGGTTGCCAATGAGGATTAGGTACGAAACTTGTGTAAATTCAATGATGATGGTATTATCCTCCAGAAAATTTTGAAGAGAGATTTCATGCATGTTCATTCCACCTTTATATCCTTGAAATTGAGATAAGAGGAGCTTTCGAAGGGAAAATGGCAAATTAAGTACGAAGATCTCCCATTAATAAAGGGTATAAGCCTTGGCCTGATATAATTAAGTCAAGTTTTCAAAACGTTAATGAAGTCTTAGACCATTTGCATTCCACTAAGGTGATGTTTTGAAGCCAAAGCTGAAGGAGGAATAATAAAAATGGAAGATAATTGAGTTTCTTCAAAGAGTGTACCGGTAAAGCAGTTCATTGTCCAGTGGACTTGTGAATACAGAAAACTTCATCCAACTAGAAATAGGCAGATGACAGTGAATGGCATAAGAGACACGTATGTTCTTTGTAGGAAGAGAGAAAAAAAACTTTCGGTGAGGCAGCGGTTGGTAATAATAGAATTACTTTTTTCGATCTCAAGGTCCTCTTGACCAGTGATGTTTTTAATCCTTGGCTTATCATGAGTTATACAAAGAGGGTTATTCAAAATCGGCGATTTTACCCTACGCTTGGATTTTGCCCGGAGTTGGATATGTTGTTCCCTATCACAAGACACGCCTTTTTCCGGCATTGGCAAGTTCACCCGAAATTTTTCCCGCGCGCTACAGCGTTGCCAAGTTGAAAACAGGCAAATTCCGTAAGTGGCATTAAAATTGAGCTATGAAGTTGCGGTTTTAACGAAAATTCTCTAAAAATTACGCACTTTTAGGAAATGACCATGTTTTTAATGTCGCATTAATTTTAACATGCATTATTGCCAAATTTCCGATTTTTAAATTCGACAAATGTTACATATCTGCAAATACCCAAAAAGGCTATCTTCAAATTTGAATAAAAAGTTGTCTAATCGATAGTTCGTTTGATTCCGCATCCATCGATATATTATAGCTTGCTGGGAAACTATTGGTTCGCGAGATATCATCATTTTTGTGAACAGCTTTATGGAGCGACGACGCTTTTTGAGTCCGGGCGGATAGAAATTTTAGCCTCCAAAAACACCAGATAGCATTAATTCCATTGTTTCCTATGTAATTTATAGCGCTGAATCCGAATTTGACCATTTCATAAAAAAAATTGTCACCAAGATATTGCCAAATTTGGCAAAAATTGCTTAAAATCGGCCTTTTTGGCGGATTACAGCCTGTGACTTGCCAGGAGTTGATCAGACGACAAAATTGGTTATTTCCACAGTTAAAACTTGTTAAACTATCTACAAGCTGAGTCAAATTCTTTCTGCTCACAGTAAAATTAAACGCGCGACAAGCAGCAAACTGAAAAAAAAGACACCAAAATTGGCGCTTTTTGCGGTTTTTGTCGTAAGTTTCTTGTTTTCTGATTAAGAGAATGTTTCTTGACTATACTAATGAACAACATGAGCAGAATTTAATAAAATTGAACAATAAAATAAAATCAAACACATTCCAATGTTGCAAAGCTTAAACAAAATACTTTAATTTTCGCTGGTTTTTTCAATAGTATTGTCCTATATTCCTTTTTCACCTCTTATTTTTAAATTTTATAAATGTATCTCTCTTGCAAAATAATACACTTCTGTAGAATAATTTAATTTTCAACTTAGATTTATACTAATAACTAGAGTATTTAGTTCAGAGAGGAAAAATTTATAAAATAGTGAGTATTAACGAATCGTGTCAATAAACCACATTTTGAAACAATAATGGAAAATTTTCTGCTAAAAATTAATGAATAAAATGTACTCCTCAGACTGACTTCAATAAAACAAGACAAAACGCATTGCAATATTGCCAAAATTACGTACAATTGTTGAATTTTGGCGGTATTTGACCGTTATTATTCATCGCCCTATATTTAGTATACAATTTTATTTTATAATTCTGAGAAAATGGAGTTTAATAGAAAAAAGTAACAACACCAACCTGAAGAAGACGCCCAGGAAAGGGCAATAAGGGGCTTAAAAAGGAACAAGGGCGCTCCAAATTACTGAGGACCTGTGGGTGGACAAGGGACTATGGCGGTTAGGCGTCGCGGGCGCGAGAGACCGCTGTTAAAGCGGCTCTTTATCTATGTATGTAGCAATACAATAGTTTGTCGTTACACTCGGCGTAATTCAGATTTTCCTAAGAAACATTCTCTTATTCGGAAAACAAGAAACTTACGACAAAAAGCGCCAATTTTGGTGTCTTTTTTTTCAGTTTGCTGCTTGTCGCGCGTTTAATTTTACTGTGAGCAGAAAGAATTTGACTCAGCTTGTAGATAGTTTAACAAGTTTTAACTGTGGAAATAACCAATTTTGTCGTCTGATCAACTCCTGGCAAGTCACAGGCTGTAATCCGCCAAAAAGGCCGATTTTAAGCAATTTTTGCCAAATTTGGCAACATCTTGGTGACAATTTTTTTTATGAAATGGTCAAATTCGGATTCAGCGCTATAAATTACATAGGAAACAATGGAATTAATGCTATCTGGTGTTTTTGGAGGCTAAAATTTCTATCCGCCCGGACTCAAAAAGCGTCGTCGCTCCATAAAGCTGTTCACAAAAATGATGATATCTCGCGAACCAATAGTTTCCCAGCGAGCTATAATATATCGATGGATGCGGAATCAAACGAACTATCGATTAGACAACTTTTTATTCAAATTTGAAGATAGCCTTTTTGGGTATTTGCAGATATGTAACATTTGTCGAATTTAAAAATCGGAAATTTGGCAATAATGCATGTTAAAATTAATGCGACATTAAAAACATGGTCATTTCCTAAAAGTGCGTAATTTTTAGAGAATTTTCGTTAAAACCGCAACTTCATAGCTCAATTTTAATGCCACTTACGGAATTTGCCTGTTTTCAACTTGGCAACGCTGTAGCGCGCGGGAAAAATTTCGGGTGAACTTGCCAATGCCGGAAAAAGGCGTGTCTTGTGATAGGGAACAACATATCCAACTCCGGGCAAAATCCAAGCGTAGGGTAAAATCGCCGATTTTGAATAACCCTCTTTCAATCGTTTCATGCAGAGGCCGCTCATGTCCATTCTTTCAGTCTTGAGTTTTTTTGAGTTGATAATACATTCGAGAGTTGAATTTAATGATGAATGTACTCGTTTTACACTTTGATGGTGGTGTCAAATCTTGAAAATTATTATAAGCACAAGAAAACCAAAAGCTGGAAAAATATACATTACAGACTTTCGCACGACATGACTCAATTACGAAATGATAAATGCCAGAAAAGATGAATTATGAAACTTAGAATTATGGGTTACATAACTTGGCAACACCTCATAAGGGGCAGGGTTGCCACAGTCCGGGAATTTCATAAAGTCAAGGAAAATGGGAAGTAAAGGGAAATGTCAGGGAAGTTGAATCTTCTTTATTTGCTTTCTAAAATGGGTTCGAGGTCTCGAACTACAAATTTTGCCCAAACACTATTTACAATTATGTCCTCTTAGCCATTTGCCATATCTTCAATTGTCAGGGAATTTCACCAAAATGTAACAGGGAAATGTCAGGGAATTTCATTTTCCAATTTTTGTGGCAACCCTGTTTGATGGAATGACTAATAATTTAATAACCGGAACTTGCTTTGCTATACCACTTATTTGACAGTTTATGATTATTTCTTTTCTCATGTTTTCAGATGTTTGAAGCAGGCAGCCTAGAACACAGGTCTCGAAAGAAAAAGCCAACTTCTTTTGTTCCTCAATGATTACTTTTAGACTGAATTGACGCTGCGTAAAACTGTTTTACTTCTCTCTTACTGCCCTTTTTAAACAATATGTAAATTTTTTTTTAAATTTAATGGTCATTTTGTTTACTTGCTAATTTTTATATTCAGTTATTAGTGTTTGAATGCGTCAGTGAGTTGCTAGTGTAACACTGATTTTTGTTCCTATTTTCGGAAACTTGAATAAATTTCATGCGCTCATGTAAACAAGCTTGTTCTTAGACTAACAGTGCAAATATGGCAAATTTCACCTGAGCCTTTCTTTAGCATGTTCAACCCTTATTTTGTACTTGTATCCCCTTGAAATATCATTACGTTAGCAAGTCAACAGGGAATTACTGATTTTTTGTTTTGTTTTCAAGAACTTAAATCAATTTTCTTTTTTCTACTACCTTATGTCTATTTATCAACATCTCTTTTTCCATACACCATTTTTTCTCATGACTAATATTAGTGAGTGAAATATTTTTTCATGTGTGTTTTAAATTTCTTCCAGTCATTTATTGACTAATAATAGTCGCATTTTGTTCCTGAAGGCCACAAATTTTTTATTTCTCCCTATTTTCTGAATCTGATTGTCTGAAGATGGCTTTATGGCGAAAGTCTCAAAACACTTTCCTCATGTGGAATGTTTCAAGAAGAGCTGATGATGTTTCATTTTCATTTAAATTTTTTCCTTACAATGAAAATCAGTGAATTATTCATAATTTTACCAAATATTCTGCACATGATGCAGGATAACCAGCAAAAATGTCAAGAAATAATGTTCCTTAGCTTATCGTAAGTAATACAGGCAATGTGACAAGAAATCATCAACGTTGTAAATAGAGACATTTAATTTTCAACAACGACGAACATTGGTTGAAAAATAAGAGTGACCATGAGTGAGAAACTCATTAATTTTAAACCATGAACGTTTTGCAGTATTTAAAATAGATTACTATACTCTTAACCTCTTTACACAAGAGAGATGAAGTTTCGTAGCTTTTGAATCACTAAGGGGCTACGTCCCAGTAAATAATCACTGGAAGAAAAAAAAAATCTCAAATTTGCCGCCAAGAAGTATTTTCTCTTGAATCAAGAATTCTGATCATAATCTGGTTATTACAAGCAATATATATGCTTAATTCAATATTTTCATTCATGTATCAAGAAAACTTTAGCTGAAATAAAGATAAAAAAAATTCTTGGCGGCCAATTCAAGAATCATCATGCATCATAATGGATACGGCAACATTGCTCGTGATACCCCCCTTTGTTTTTCTCGAAATTTTCTGATGATGATTCTGGGTGTCCATACTCAATATAAAATCTTTCAAATTGGATGAACAAATGCAATTAATGAAACGACAGTCCTGCTCCGAATTTAAGCGTCTCGCGAATTATGGATGATGCAGCAATGCGACAACATTCCTAGAGATTCCCCCTTGGATATTCTCGGAATTTTCTGATGATGATTCTGGGTGTCCATACTCAATATCTTATGTGTCAAAGGGGATGAAAAAATGACATTTTGAAAACCTGAGAGCCTGCCCTGAATTTACGCGACTCGCGAATTATGGATGATGGAGCGATTTAGCAACATTGCATGACATTTCCTCTTTGGATTTTCTCGAAATTTTCCCAGGATGATTCTGGGTGTGCGTACTCAATATCTTATGCGTCAAAGGGGATGCACGAATGAAAACTTGAAAACCTGAGAGCCTGCCCTGAATTTACGCGACTCGCGAATTATGGATGATGGAGCAATTCAACAACATTGCATGAAATTTCCCCTTTGGATTCTCTCGAAATTTTCGGAGGATGGTCTTCGATATCCATCCTCAATAAATATAATCCGTCAAAACGGACGATTTGATTTTCTTTTTCTCATAAAAAAATAGATGATTTGTTTTCGAAATGGATTAAATACTTAATTCAATTAATTAACGGTAAACATTGATCCCGGAACAAATTCCGCTGGTTTATGAAGGTTCCGGATCTTTCAGAATACTACCTGTTCCGAGAACATTGGACATCAACTTTGTAGGTAACTCTGTAGCTCACCTCAGTCAAGTGCCGGCATCAGCAATTCAATGCCGTTGCCATACTCCGTTGACGTGGCGCGCTTTGCGATTTATCAATTGATTTGCTATTGTAACCTATGGGAAAAGATCGATAGATAGAGCGTTCGTAACGAACGACTTGTAACCATCGATTCTTTACCATAGTTTCTAACAGGGACATTGCGATATTCGATCATTCACAAAATTTGTCACAAAATCACGCCTCGGCACTGTCTCCGATATTGCTATTGCTCTGTTTGCGTTTCGCACCGGCTCGAGCGAATGTAAATGTTCCTGAGGATTTCGTGCTAAGCCAACAATATTGCAAGGTTATTTTGATCGTAGAATTCATTTTTGACCTTGACTTTTCTTGATATAATGACGCATCTACACAATTTTATGTGTTCTTTCAAACTTTTCGTAGAAACATAAAAATATAAGTTAGGTATCTACTCAAAGATAAATTTTACTCGTTCTTGTGGGTATTTCGTGTTCAAGGCTACCTAATAAAATTCGGATTCCTTGGGGTCAATTTCCTGGCTGTCCCGCGGTCTTTGACTGGAGCTAATCTAAAATGAGAGCTAGAAAAAAGCCACTTACAAGTATTTTGGGACACCCTGTACAAACAATGGGGGGGTAAGTATTGAATACACTGGGATTTTGAGATGAAACAAGAAACAAAATGGAATTTAAATCATTTCAGCCATTGCATCTTTATTGCAGAAAATTAAAATATGAATTTCACTCTGGTGGTTACATGAATGATGGTATTACCAATTAATTTTACACTCAGGCTGAGCAAAAAAAAATCCTTACTGAATCAAAATAAAACCTAAATTATTCAACAACAACTAAGAAGTACAGGAATACATAACACAGATTTACATAAGATCACTCATCGTTTTCGTAATCAGCAGGGTTTTTGCGATGGATCTTTTCATTTTCTTTCTTTGCCCAATCAACCAGAACAAGTGCGCCAGTGAAAGCTGAAAAAAATTGGAAAAAAAATGAAATAAAATTGAGAGAGAGCAACAAAGAACTTAACACGACACAGAATAGTTTCAAAGTAGCCCTGGTTACTACCCCATACAAGTCGGGTAGAGATCCCAAGTTAAATGATAATAAGAAATGGCTTTTACAGGCATGCTAGTCCTGTAAAATCATTACAAGCATTTGAGTGGATAATCTCTGTAACATCACATTCATACACTTATATTTGACTTTGATTATTTCATTTATTATTAATGTCAACTCAAGAAGAACGCATCTATGATGTCAGTCGTTGACAAGAGAAATGTTAACCACTGTACTTTTCTGAAATTTAGAATAAAATATTGACAGTGAAACTCCCATACCATGTATCTTGTTTGCGGTGCTTTAGAATCTCCCGCCCCCTTTTCATTTTTTTGGAGGGAGTATAAATCAAAATTAATCTTTGAAGTTTTCACAAAATTTTCTTCGCACAGAGAAGAAAAACTAAGGAGGTTTTATAAAATTGACGTTAAGTAGTTCTCCAATTAATAAATAAAGCATGAAAGGAAATCTGCTTGTCGCAAACCAAGATACGTGGTTTGGGAGTTTCACCATTGATATACCTTTACTTTCTTTTAAGTCTAAGATAAGTTGGATTGCATTTAGCAAAAAGGAACCAGTGCAATTACAGTGTTTTCAAAATGGTACAACTTCTCCTTTCCTTTCAAAAATACTTAATACAAGTACAGGATTAAAATGTAAACAATTATTTTCCTTTAATTTGACAATTTTTTGGGAAGCCAAAACTACTTGCTATTCTGGGAGATATTTTAGATAATTATGAAGAAGCAACATTTTTACAACATTGTAATCACACTAGTTCCTTTTTGCTAAATGCGATCCAGTAAATATTTTACCAAACTACTTCCTAATACTTAAGTCTCACAGAATGCATCCATGAACAGTCACTCCTCTTTCCAGGAACTTTCTGCCACTGAAGTTGAGGTCAATCGGTTGGTCTTTTGATCAAAGAAGTTCTGGACCCTTGCTCCGTTTGGAGCATTTCATACAATGTGTTGGAGTTTTTTTTTGAGTCGTTAATAGAAGTTTTTGGAATTTTTAGCTTTTTCCTTCTCAGAGTGTTGTCTACCCAGCACAACTCTGTTTCATCAGCTTATTACTCAACATTATTCAAGCCACATTTTCTGGATGTTTTTCTCTATAGGTGCTGTAAGCACTATTGAGATTTCCAAAAAAATAAAAAAATAATGTAGGTAGTATCATTATCGCACTACTAATAGGTAATTCCAGTCGTTCCACTTAAACAGAACCAATTGTCTTGAATAAAAAAAATACTTACGCATGAGGATTTTAAACATCCTCAATCTGATCCTCCTGATGGCATTAGGAAAACCTTCTGAGAAGAATCCTTTGAAAGCTTTTTGTTCATAGGGGGAAATTTGATGATAGACAATATGCCTGATATCTTTTCTCATACCACCCCATTGATCACTTCGAAGAACTTGCGTCAAACTTGGCATTTTCGGAGCTTTGGCTGAAAACAATGAAAAGATAGGAGATCAGAAAGAATATTTAGAGGTGAAGTGACAGAAACAACTGATGAATTTTTAAGAACAAACTTGGGAGCAGAGGGATAACGCACCAAAATGTTACAGATGAAGCGAGTACCAATTACACAAAATCAGCTGTTCGTATCTAGATGAAGCCAGTCTTCAGTCTTCAGCCTTCTGGAGCCCAAAACAGTACATTAGTATAAATTAATATTACCATTTCTCTGTCTTTCATTTTTAACTCTTAATCAAAATTTTGTTTTCCGCTTTTTCATTGTTTTCTTGGATTCAGGAGTAATTCCTTTATGATGTTTTTTTCTGAAGGCTTGTAACTCCCCCCAAATGAGCTTCAACTTAAGGGAGATAATTTACAGTTTTATGTTAAGTTTTAAAAATACTTTTCTCATGTAAATTTTCAAAAAAAAAAAAAAAAAAAAAAGAGAGAAAAAACAGTGGGAAAAAATGAAATAAAAGTCACTCCTGACTTGACATTTGCTTTCCAAGTCACCTAACCTTGGATAAAAATTACAGTGAAAATTAATAGACTTATTTGGTGGCTACATCATTCAATACAGGTAATCATGGACCAAGAGAATAGTATCTAAATTATTTCTTGGTCCATGACATCATATCATCGAACCCTTGGTTCAAACGTAAACAAACACAGAACCTTGTTTCTGGTATGTTTCTGATTCGCGCCCTTTGCACCATGATGGCCAAATTGAAATGCGTTAAAGTGTTTTTTACAATCAAAAGTTCTCATATGTAGTGCGTCTTTGATTGATTTATGAGCGGCCAATGACTAAATTTTAAAGAATCAACACAAAACTCATGAAGAAATCGCACATGAGGTTATGTTAGCTTGTTTTGGTTTGAACCAAGAGCTTGATATTATATCGCATGACATAGTCACTGAATCAGTCTATGGAATTGAGTGTAGAGGGAGGGCTAAAGACTCATTTTGGGGAGAGAGTGCTAAAGACTCAGCTTAAAGTCAGTAAAAGTGGGCATGACTCTAGCTAAATTGCAGTTCTTGGCGAGTATAAAGATCAACAAGAAAGGAAAGCCACTGCGAAAAATGTGAAACTTAAAAATGTCTGCATTATTTATTCCAGTTTCCTTGGTAAATACACGAGGAACCGCATTGGTTAAAATTCACTTAAATAGACTCTTGCGCCAACTTGTATAACGGGGGCAACGAGTTACTCCTCTCGGACATTAGGAAAATTATGCTGAGGATGAAGGTAGGTGAATGGACTTGAATAATTTGTAAGTAACAACAAAAGGCATTAAAACCAGGTTTGAGATCTGGACTCGTTTCTCTGAAACATTAGGTACAGCTCTACAAATTGATGGACCTTGGAAGATCCAACTTCATGGAAAGTCTTCAAATCATCTGCAACAACCCTTTGCTATGTAACTTTAATGCAAAAAAAAAAAAAAAAAAAATATTCAAGACTTGGTTCTGATGATGTTAAAGGGGAAAATTCAATAATAAAAGAAAATAATTTAAGAAAATGCTCTACAGCACTTACTAATGTGCCGATATCAAGTTGTACTTGGAAAACCCTTAAGCCTAAATTTTGAAACACCTAATTCACCCTTATAAGTGAGTACAGAAACTGAGTCTCAAGTTAGATGAGACGAACAATTTGGTTTTAATGCAAAGATCAACCATAAAATTTACTTACAAAATTAGACCACAGCAGCGAAAGGTTGAAAGTAATTTTTTTGAGTTTTTGGACAGTTGACTGTGATAAGGTTAAAAGTGTCAATAATAGCAGCGTTGTCAGCTCAAAAATTAATTACTATACAGACGAAAGGAAGAACATTTTTAAAAGAATAAGCTGTTCAAAAATGCAGCTAATTGATACGAAAATATCTTTAAATCTGCATATTGATGAATATAGAAAATCAAAATTGATGGTTGAAATCAAGTGAAATTCATAAAAAATCTAAATGTCTTAATTTAATTTAGCTTTTACAACATTGTTGTGAGGAGTGAGGTTATGCATCAATGTTTTGCTTTTGATGGTTCCTCGAGTTCGAGTTTCACATGAGTTTCACCCACATGGCCCAGTGACTGTTTTACTCTTTTCTTGTAAAAGGACAATCCTCATCATGAAAGACAAGAATTTTAAAAAGATTAAGAGAAAGAACCCTCCTACTGAAAAAATGCCAGGTAATTGTTCAACTTACTCTTTTTATATCCCAAGATCTTAGCCAAAATTGATAGGCCAAGTGACAGTTTTATTTCCCTCATTTGACAACTAATGCAACAAACTCGGGAAATAGGTAATGTCTTTGCTCTTTTAATGAAAATATTATCATCTGCTGAATAACCCATGTGATGATTCATTCAGAGTTTCTTTGCAATCTTTCGTTACACTGAAAGAGATGGATTCAATCCCGTAATGTGCGTTCCATCAAAGTTAACCCACCCAGTACCTATTGTTCAGCACTTCCGTTCTTTAAATACATCTCAATGGATCTGATGTTAGTCATAGATTTTTGAGTATTGGATTCAATTGTTAGTTACTCAGTCACTTTTAAATACATCAGTCATTGAGTAATCATGGAATACTAAACCATGAGGTCTGTTGGGCATTGAGTAATTTTATTTCTATACACTTTACTTTGACCAAGCATCTAATGACAGTGCTCATGATCATATAAGTAAATGAGAGAAGTATTAGTGTAATGGTGAGAGAAACCTCCCATTTTTTATTGAAAGTGCGCCTACCAGGGATTCTAACGGTCATGAGTTGAGTCCCCGAAGACTTAGATTCTAGACTCAGGGAGAGAGAGAGATTTGCGGTTGGCCCACAAGCAGACCAAAGCACAAGAGGCTAGTCGACTACAGTGATTATTGGCTGACTCCAACCTATAGTCTGATACCCGGCAGCGGCTGACGTCAGGCAATTAACTTAACGTACAGGGCTTTTTTTTATCTGAGGAACGCGATGATAGCGGTTCGGGCTGGTTCGACCATCCTGAACCAACCTCAACCTAACTCGGAAGAGTGGTCCAATTGTTCCACTGGAACACATGGAACGCGATAAAAAAGTGATGCGGTCCACTGTGATTCGAATTTAAAAAAAGCCCTATAGGGTTGAGTTACTTTGTCATCAAATGATGAGGCTCAAGCTCAAGGGTACCTAAAAGCAGGCAGGGATCAATTTGCTAGCATTGAACTTCTGAAAGAGTTAACTTAATAGGTTGAGTCCTAAGTCAGACCCTTGCGGAACTCTGACTCCCAGACTTTTTCTCAAGCTCTTGAGTTTGCCCACTAACTTAACTCCTTATCCATAACAATTACATTTCTGACTGTTATACAGCTTGACTGTAGTCTTACAACCAAAGCTTTTTGAGTTTTCCTTTTCTTAAAGCTCAATTTTATCTTGTCCTTCTTTTGAGAGTCAAAGGACTGGGCAACATGGCTTGCAAGGGGGAGGTCCCTAGTGCCCACCTCCAATTTTGATTAAATTTTGGAAGAAGGTAGTCATCAGGGAATGAAAATTTGTACAACCGTCTCAGAAAAGCCACGATGAACTTTTGAAATTGCAATTTTCTGCCAGTGAACGATTCATGCTCACAAGCCAAGACATGCCACACAAGTTAACGTTGAGCAGTGGATTGCAGAGTGGATTTTGTCATTTAGACATTTACTCCATCTCGATAACAATCAGGATTTATTAATTTTCTTTTGTTCGCGCCACCATCCCTCCCCTCATGTATGAATTAAAGAAAGAAGATGAAGAAATGTAATATTAACAGAAGAAAAGGGTAGAAAGAGAACAAGGTATCCTAATAATACTGAAGAAAATTCCATGGACTGGGATTTCTTGTTTCTTAAAAAAGAGAAGAAAACAGATATTAAAGTTCATCATATTCTTTTGAATATTTTTAATGTGTATTTATTTTTTCACCTCTCTAGACTCTCATATTATGGATGATTGTGTCATGAACAAAAGGAAAATAAATCCGTATTGTCGTCAAGATAGAATTTTTTGAGGTTTCAAGTTAATTTTTTCTCCTCAAAAGGTAGTAATAACCGATGAGTAATTGGAGCGGATCAAAAAGTTGTTAATGACTATCTAAAGTTAAATGTTATGCCTCTGAGATGGGATTAGAACTCAAACTGTTTGTCTGGAAAATAAATTTGGCAACGTGTTAGTGGCACAGCCCAGTCGGTCTCTGCCTGATAGCTTGGTTGGCATGTACTTGGCACGTAAACGTGAACCAAATTTTGCAATTTATAAAAATTCACCTACACTTTTTTAATGCTCAGTAATGGGGAAGGTTATGTACATATTTTAGTTACCCAAGGAGTACTTTCCGTTTCCCCGAAATTTCATTGGAGACAGACATTAATGGCCTCCTCGTAAACAATGAAATCTGTGTACTATCACACGAAGGTTAGGCTAACACCTTTTTTCCTCTCTATTCTCCAATTTTTCCCTTTCCTTCCAGTGGCAGAAAATGAAGAGGCTTTACCTGGCACCAGAATTGGAATGAGTATTCTACACAACAATGGATTTGATGTTCTCAAAGGCAGTGTCTCAGAGGAAACACTAAAAGGCATTGCTGATATGGGCTTCACAAAAATGACGGAAATTCAGGCAAAAGCCCTCCCTCCATTACTTGAGGGTCGAGACATCATAGGAACAGCCAAAACTGGCTCTGGGAAGACTCTCGCGTTCCTGATCCCAGCCATTGAACTCATGAATAAGTTGAAGTTCATGCCAAGGAATGGTAATATTAGTTTGCATTAACTTTTATTTTATCTAAGCTTTCACCAACTAATTTAGTAGCACGTAAATCCAGAAATTTTTCATTTTATTTCTGAGTTTGACCGAAAATGATTCTAAAAAGTCATATACAATGGATGTTCGCTATTATGAATTTCAAGGGGGAGAGGGGGAGGGGGGTTTCAAGGGATTCAATTTTCACTGAGGGCCTACACCAAATAATTAGGTTTTGAAAATTGCAAGATAATGAAGCATAGAGCAGTTTTGGAAAAAATTCAATATCAGAGAATTTTTAATGAACAATTCATTAGAAAAAGATGCACACTGTCAAAAATCTGATCGTTCATCTCACTACTATTTTCAATTCACATATGTCTTATTCAGCGCAAGTAAAAATAACAAATGGCTCAAATCACTGAGAGTTTAATAACGTAGACACGCTATTGTTGCTTTCACTCCTCTCTTGTGATCATGGTTGTGTGTAATTCACTCCAGTATTTCACTACTGCCCAGAGCCCCGTAGCTCAAGTCTGTAGTCTCATGCACTGATTCTTTTTTACCATCGAATGTAACTTGAGTGAATGGCCAATTTCTTACAGTGCACTATCCTCATATATTTTTTTGCAAATTTATTGCATGTTGACTTTTAAGCCTTAATAGCCAACTGTCACAAGCTTTAAAATTGTCTATGCCTAACTCTGCTGCATACTTCAAAGAGTTTCCTTACTTGCAACATTATAAATATTATGCTATTAAAACTGTCTCCACCTGAAGTTAAGACTAAGTCTAACAAACGATAATAAAAGGAGTAAGGTTGCTTAACCCCAGCCATGTATGCAATCATTTTTTTGTAACCTTGTCTTTAACTTGTAACTCAAAATTCTAAAGTTTTTATCAGATTTGCAGCTTGTAAGGTATGTCAGTCTTTTTAAAAATTACCTTACTTTATTTTTTTCCAGGAACGGGCGTTATCATTATCTCTCCAACAAGAGAGCTTTCTATGCAGACATTTGGTGTGTTGAAAGAACTTATGAAGTACCACAATCATACATATGGATTGGTCATGGGAGGAGCAAATAGGCAAACTGAAGCCCAAAAACTGGCTAAAGGTTTGAGTTTCTTTTCCCCCTTTGTAAATACCTAGGTAATGAGTATCAAGCTAATCTCTTTAAGCCCAGAAGCATTATTCCAATCTGTCTCTATTCCATTTGTGAAGCATTATTAGTTTTACTAGTAACCTTTTTGCTGCATTTAATTTTAGCCCTCTACGTTTGTAAAATAAAATACTCAAAAATTTAATCAATGGGTCTGATGAGGACCAGTTATAAAAATTAAACGCTTGTTTCTCGAATTGTGTTCTTGGAGTTTCAGTGCTTTTGAAGTCTGACATTTTGCCGCACCAGTAGTTTTTTATGTTCTGCATAATGATTAAAAGTCTGAATCAAAGAATTAACTTTATTGCCCTTGCCCAATCTAAACGATGAAATTGCAGCACCACAGGCCTTAGGAAGGACTAATGATTCAGAACTTCTTTGTAATGGAGAATTTGCATGCAAATTTTTTATTGCTTCATCTGAAAGTGCTTAAAGAGCTGATTTCACAGTATTTTTCATAATATTTTTCTGATATGGGAAACCGTATAAAAATGGATTCACAAGTGAAAAAATGCGCTGCCTAGTGACATCATCTGACGGCATTTCCCATTTAAACGCACGTATTTGAGCAGATTAGATCATTTTGTCATTCCTTCTCCAATAATTATTCAATTCAAGAAGCAAGGGTATCCTCGTGTTCAGTTCACTCAGTCATCTCCATGTAAACACGAAATTCATCAAATTTCAGACACTTACAAATTCTCCATTAAAAAGTAGTGATAGAGAAGTTGATATAAAATTTGAGCAAAATGAGAAGAAGGACAGGAAAATACTTGCATGGCGGGAGGAATGAAGTTAAAAAAAAAAAACATAAAGTTTAGAAGCAAAAGAAAAAGGAAAGTTATCAAAATTCCAGCAGACTTCAATATTCATACATTTAAGTGTATCAAGCCGATAGCCAAGGATATCTTCCCTATAGTATCCCAATGGCATTCCTTTTATATCCTTCCTATATTCCTTTTTATTCGGGAATTATAATAATCTTTGCTGTTTGCAATGAACAACTAAGCAGGAACAAGAAAGTTTTAAACCATATCTCTCATTTGCTTCATTTTTTCCTTTCATTTTTTTTCTTTGCCTGGTCATTCAGAAATATTTACTTTAATTCTTCTATCAGTAATTTGTTGTTTTTCCAGGTGTCAATATACTTGTGGCAACTCCTGGTAGATTACTTGATCATTTACAAAATACCCCAACATTTTTATACAAAAACCTCCATTGTCTCATCATTGATGAAGCAGACAGAATTCTAGACATTGGATTCGAAGAAGATCTTAAAATGATAATTAACCTACTTCCAAGTAAGTGAAATCCTGTAAAGAGAATCCTCAAATCACATACTTACAAGACCGGAAGCTTAAAAAATTTAATGTATATTTTATATTATATCATATTCTTTGATATTATGTATTGTCGCAATTTTTCCCCCTTTTTTTTACTAACTACACATATTTTATTTTTTTTTGGCTAAAATTGAGTATGACAATGGGAGTATTAAACAATCAGTAAAATGCTTAGTGCGCCATTCTATTTTGTTTAGATAAAAAAAAACTCAATTTTTTTTTATGTATTAAGTAGAGTATGGTGCACCTGAAGTAACTGACTATCGTATTTGAATGTGTACCAAAAATTTTAAGTTGGAAGTTATTGTAGGTTCTTGGCCCATTTCAAAATAGGTTCTCGGAGTTCCTCAAGAAATAATAGCAGTTTGGTGGTTTTTCAAGGGTAAGATAGCAAAATAGACTTAGCGATAACAAATTTAACCCCTACTCTCTTGTCCTTAAGTGCCGTGACCATACCAAAATTTCGGATGAGTCAAGGCCTGGACAAGGGAGGAAGGAGTAAATTTGGATGTATTTCTGCCAAACGGAACTATATGCATAAAGACATGAGCCCTGACACCCATAAGAATATATGCATAATGGGGCTCACGTCATAATGCACATATGTAGTTTCGTTTGGCAGGAAAACTTCCATTTGCCATCCTTAAGTCCATTTTGCTACCTTATCCCTTAAGAAACCACAAAAATACGATTATATTTTGAGGAACTCCGACAACCCATTTTATTTATTAACTCGAATAAAAGGTAAAATGGAATGGAATCCTCCATGTTTATATTAATGATGATATAATATATACATAGGGTGTCCCAAAAGTACTGCCCCTTTTTCCGCAGAGGGCGAAAGAATGCAGATATCAAAATGCGGTTTGTGTGAGGTTATAGTCCTAGTAATTACCTATAAAACAAGACCAAGTTGAGCTCTGTAGCTTAAAATTTGACCGAGATACAGCATTTTGAAAATGACGTGTCAAGGTGGCGCCTACAGGATTTTCAACATTTTTTACGAAAGAAAAAACCAAGTTTAAGAATGAACCGGTTTTAAAAAGAAAAATAAGCGGCCAGAAACATATGGCAACACTGTGTTTTAGGCGGCATTTGGCAACGTGTAAGCGCCCCTATGCAGACCAACGACAGGATTAAACAAACGTGTCTGGTAGTGTCATCCAAGTTGGTCAAGCTTTCCCGTCATGTCAGTCAGAGTTCATCCCTCTGTCGTTTTGGAAGTTTCTTTCGCGATGAGTACCGAATTAAGAAAAGAACAACACCACGTTATTCGTTATTGTTTTCGTCGAGGAATGTCAGTAAAAGACACTTTTAATGAAATGAAAGGCGTGTATAAAGACGACTGTTTGGACAGAAGTAGCATTGGTCGTTGGTTTAAATCTTTTTCTGGCGGCCGCGAATCGGCGGAAAGTCTCGCGAAACCGGGCCGACCGTCTACCTCCCCCACAGACGAATTAATCGGCACCGTTGCTGCTGTTGTTCGAGGAGACCGTCATTTATCCTTGCGTAAGTTTCAGGTGTTGCTTGACATCTCAAAAAGTCCATTGCACCGGATCTTAAAGGACCACCTGCAGATGTGTCGTGTCTGTTCGTCCTGGGGTTCGTCCGTAAAAAATGTTGAAAATCCTGTAGGCGCCACCTTGACACGTCATTTTCAAAATGCTGTATCTCGGTCAAATTTTAAGCTACAGAGCTCAACTTGGTCTTGTTTTATAGGTAATTACTAGGACTATAACCTCACACAAACCGCATTTTGATATCTGCATTCTTTCGCCCTCTGCGGAAAAAGGGGCAGTACTTTTGGGACACCCTATGTATTTATGAAAATTTTTACCTTATGATTTTTAAAAGTAACGTATCCAGTCAGCGCCTCTTGTACTCCTTACATTTTTTTTTTCTTTAATTTTATTTTTTCTCTTTCAGAAAGGAGACAAACTATGTTATTTAGTGCAACAACGACAGAAAAAACAGAAATGCTAAGCAAACTAGCACTGAAGAAAGAGCCTGTTCAAGTTGGTGTTGAAGATAATGATGACAAGGCAACAGTTGAAGGACTTGAGCAAGGTAAATAATTTGATGTGAAAATCAAACTGCAACCCCACTTTTCTCAAAAAACTTGACACACTTTATCAAGGTGTAAAAAGATTGCTTTGATTTCCTCATTATCAGACTTGTGTGTTCAACTCTTTAACTTAAGATGTAATCTGACCCTGCCCGACCCAGAACTAGTATTCAAAGTTTTGTATAAAAAAGTTAAGAGTTTGAAGTTTTAAAATAGTCTTGAACTCATTTCCACCGGAGGTACAAATCAAAATACTAAGCATGTATGAAAGGTCCCTTGAGAAAGCAGGGAGAAAGTTCAGTTTGATTCTCTTCATATTGTTAACTTATTGCGGTCAAAATGACAAACACCGCAAAATGACCAAAAATCAGGAAAAGTTGAAGTAATTATAGATGTCCAACCGTACAATATTATAAGCAAATTATGATCAAAAAATAAGTTACCATACAAAGTAAGTTTCAGATTGGTAACACTACTCCCCAAAACATCAACCGCTCTAAGCCGTTGGCTCAGAACTGGCTCAGCGCGTATGGTTTTCAGCCAAAGCTTTTAGTCAGTAAGTGAGGGGAACGCGTCTTGAAGATCCTTCGATATTTAATGCTATTCTCTTGAGTTTCAGTCATTTTCCTCTTGATATCCTGGACAAAAAGGAATTGTGACCTATCTTGAACCCACCAGCTTAAAGTAAAACGGTCTGCTCTTGTGTTCCATAATCTAGTGTTTCTTCTTTGATCTTCATTTTTTTTCATATTCTTGTCATACTGTTTGCTTACTATCTAGTCCGTTGAAAGCCTTTGGTAGCTGATTCAATCATCCCTTATACCCTTCTTGTTGATGGTCTTGATCCAGGACACCTTCCATTGCTCTGGTATCTCTTTATCCCTAATGCACTGCTACGTCACCTCTATGAGATTTCAAAGACTTTGCCAGTCCTGTTCTTAACCAACTTTTTAAAGATTCCTTCAAAGAGTGCTTTGTCATTCTTCAGCTCCTCAACAGCTTAAATAATGTCCATTATTTGGACCTCCAAGTTAAGCTTATTTTACCATTGTCCATGCTCTTGTGGATAAATTCTTAAGTCCACCCTTTTTTTTTCAAATGTTGATAAACTTACTCAGTGGCAATTGATACCATAATGAACAGACTCTATAAATCACAACTTTACTGTAGATCTTTAATAGAGTTCAGACCATCAACGTAGATATCAAGCAGAGAAGAAGTAAAAGTAACCCCCCCCCCCAGGAAATCCTGTGTTGCCTTTCAGTGTGAAATTATGTGAGGGTAAATGCAAGTCCAACTGTCTTACTTCCCTGGAATTATAAATTAGACATTAAATTGAATGACGTTTGTTTCAGGTTATGTTGTTTGCCCTTCAGAAAAACGATTCTTGCTTTTGTTTACATTTTTAAAAAGGAATCGGAAAAAGAAAGTTATGGTGTTTTTCAGTTCGTGTATGTCTGTTAAATTTCACCATGAATTACTAAATTATATTGATCTTCCTGTCATGAGTATCCATGTAAGTATTTGCACTATTAGAGGCAACATCTAAAATACATTCTTACCTTCGAAAAATGTGGATATTTTTCACAACTCCCTGAATTTGCAGGCGGTATTTCGTGCTCTCCAGAAAGCATACATTTACAATGCCAAATTGATGACTCAACTTGGAAAACTTGTAGCTCAATATGCAACATCAGGAATCTCCTCTCATATGTTATTTCTCAAAAAAAATCAACCTATTCATTGAAATTTCCTTTGATTTTTCTCTATCCTCTCATGACCATTCTGTACAAATTTTATTTTAAAATATCACGTTCTTTTTTCCTCTGTAGAAAAGTAAATTATCAATAGAGTTTTTGAAATAGTACAATTGAGTCACATGCTTTCAGATTTTAGCCATCAGTATGGTCACAGTGATATCAGATTATTCTTGTCCATTACATGTATGTTTTTTCTTTAACCAAGTACAAGAAAATCCCTTTCTCTTACAGGGCGCATTTTAAGTAGAATTTAATTAAAAAGGAATGTTGATCTCTATTTCATCTTAAATAAAAGCCTCGCACATGAAGATTTCATGTGTTAATCTAGGTATATTTGCTGCTTGTTATTATTAGCAAAAAAAAATTTACAGGATACCCGAGTCAAATGTGGACTAGCTATCGATAGTGAATTACAATGTACAAAGAGGGGTCAGAGGACCCAACATGAATGGAAAAAGAGGTGTAAGTTGAAATATAATCAGTTCGTCAAATATGAAGAACGTCAAGTTGTGAGGAGAGAGGGCAAGGGATCAAGCTGTGGAGAAGTCATTAAATACCTCGAAAAGTCAGCAAATCGTTGAACCCTGTAAAATTAGAGAAAAGTCAGGGAATTTTGCAATGAGACCTTGAGCTTCCCTCCTTCGGCTGAAACCTTTATTATTTTCTACTTGTTCTATTGGTGAAAATCAGATCCTCTGCTTCGAAGTTCTTAAATTTTTAATTTTGCCAGTTTCAAGAGATTAAGCGCTAAAATTTGTATGTGAGAAGCATTATCGTGAGAAATTATGTAAAAAGAAAAAAAGACATTGAAAAATCAAGGAATTTTATGTTCAAAAACCCTAAAAATCTTGTTAAAGTCCGGGAATTTTGAAATCTAAGAAAATTTGTAACCCTAAAAGTATAGGAGGTAGCAACAGGACAAAAGAAGTGACAAACAGGTCAAAATTTTCCTCAAAGGAATACTTCATTTAAAAGAGAATTCATGTCATGAAAGGAGATATTAGTAACACGAACAACTACAGTGATGTTTGCTTCGATAAGTTATGTCTACCTCAGATGAAGGTAGCATGTGGACGGAGTTATGCTAATATTCAGAGGTAAATATGAAGAAAACAATATGCGGGGTTTCTAAAGGATCCCTCAGAAGAATAAATGCTCATGAAGAATTAAGGGAAGGCCACGTAGAGTATTCAAGTTCCATTAAATCCTGTAGGAAAGTGCTTCCTCCAAGAGAAGTCCTTTATAGTTTTACATCTAAGAAATTTCTGCTCGTCTTGTGTATACTTTTATTGTAGTAAAATACTGTTTTAGCCTGCAGAAATAATGCTTCCCAGGGTTTGATAATCAAAGAAAACAAGCACATTTCCAAAGGGTAAAATAAGCACCTTTTTTTTGTCTAGGAAAATGTGTTTCCTCTCCATTCTTAATACTCTTGGATTGTGGACTTTTAATTTTTAAATCTCCCAAATGGGGAATTGCAGCTTGACTGTGAATACATCCAGTTGGAAATGTATTTTTCAGTCAACCTTCTGTTTTTTTATTTATGATAATAGTCAATCATATTATTAGCAGCTTTCAGTTTTTGCACAAGGAATTCAGCCCATCTCCTTTCTGCAACTTTTTGCTCCTACATCTCGTCATTTTTATGCATTTCATATATTTAAAAATTCTCGCTTTATTGCCTTGTGTTGAGAGTGTATTCCTTGAAGAGTTGTACTTCTTGAGTGCTTCTGCGTTCCCAGGGAAAACAAAAACAGGAGAAACGAACAACAACCTTCTTCCAATTTTGTAATGCAGAGACAGGAATCCTACTGTGTACAGATGTTGCTGCCAGAGGTCTTGATATCCCTGCTGTTGATTGGATTGTACAGTATGATCCACCTGATGATCCAAAGGTTCGACCTTTTTTCTTAACCTCTCTTATTATCAATAGGAACTAAGGAATTATGCCGAACAGTGTATGGATGGCTTAATTCTATAATGACTGTGTGCCTCCTGTATTTAAAACGCTGATCTTGCTTCTTCCAAACTTAAGTGATCTGGCCATCAACCTCGTTTTGATTGTCAAGGCGTAACTGCTATATGCCTTTTTACCGAAAAATGTCTCTATTTTAATACACTTTTTTTCCAATAAAAAATTTTGGCTCCAAATTATACATGGTGTTCGAAAAGTCCCCTCCCCCCCCCTCTAACTTTTGACCTAATTGAGGTAGAGATTTGAAACTTGGAGGGTGTTCCTAGATCAAAGGGAGCTACTTTTTGACTCCCTCAAAATTTTGGGGGGGTTACGGACCCTAACTTTTAATTTTCAAATGGGAAGACCCCCTTTGTGATACCTCGTTCGAAAGAGCATAAAAAAAGAAAATTTTTCACGCAAACCCGAAGCCATTATCTCAAACCGTTTCAAAATGGCGGCCGGTCAAAGTTCCAAATGGCCGAAAATTGGCACCTGTGCTATTTGCACATTGATTTGCTTGAAACTCGGTATCTGGAGGTATTTTGGCACGAGAAAAATGAATTTGACGTTAGATTTTCAAAAAAACCCTAATTTTTCAAAATGGCCGCCGGTTTAGGCTCAAAGTGGCCGAATATTTGACGAACTCGATTTTTTTGCCAATGGATTCACCTGAAATTCGGTATCTGGGGGTATTTTGACCCGAGAATAACGAATTCGACATTAGATTTTTAAACAAACCCTAATTTTTCAAAATGGCCGCCGATTAAAGTTCAAAATGGTCAACAATTGGCAACCTCGACTTTTTGCCGATAGATTCGCCTGAAACTCGGTGAAATAACGTCGAATTCGTTTTTCTCCCACCCAGATACCCTCAAACACCGAGTTTCAGGCGAATCTATCGGCAAAAAGTCGAGGTTGCCAATTGTTGACCATTTTGAACTTTAATCGGCGGCCATTTTGAAAAATTAGGGTTTGTTTAAAAATCTAATGTCGAATTCGTTATTCTCGGGTCAAAATACCCCCAGATACCGAGTTTCAAGCAAATCAATGTGCAAATAGCACAGGTGCCAATTTTCGGCCATTTGGAACTTTGACCGGCCGCCATTTTGAAACGGTTTGAGATAATGGCTTCGGGTTTGCGTGAAAAATTTTCTTTTTTTATGCTCTTTCGAACGAGGTATCACAAAGGGGGTCTTCCTATTTGAAAATTAAAAGTTAGGGTCCGTAACCCCCCCAAAATTTTGAGGGAGTCAAAAAGTAGCTCCCTTTGATCTAGGAACACCCTCCAAGTTTCAAATCTCTACCTCAATTAGGTCAAAAGTTAGAGGGGGGGGAGGGGACATTTCGTACACCCTGTATTTTTTTGTCCTCAAAAGAAACTTACAGAGACTTCTGCAATCATTAGATTTTGAAGTGTTTGTTCTGGAAGAATTGGTTTAAGTTTGATCGATTAGTAATGGAGCTCTTGCCTAGTTATAATTTGGTCAAAAATTCTCAGAAACTTTAATTGTTTTAACCCTGTTTAATCCACCATTGTTTTCCACAGGAATATATTCACAGAGTTGGAAGAACAGCCAGAGGAGAAGGAGGCAAGGGTAATGCCTTGCTTATTTTGCGACCCGAAGAACTAGGGTTTTTGTATTATCTTAAAAAAGCAAAAATTCCGCTCAATGAATTTGAGTTTTCCTGGAATAAAATAGCGGATATTCAACTGGAGGTAATATTCTTTCTTGATTCTTAAAAATGTTGAGCATAAACATCATCGAAGCTCAAAATATTTAATCTAAATTGAAAGTCAAATTGCATGCCATCCTGTAAATGGCCGAAGATTATTTTCCTTTTTATCTCTAATGTTTCCAATTACAGTATAGTTATCATTTTTCTAATTTTTTAACATTTTTTAAAATTTAATTTAATTTTTAATTTTTTAAAAATACCTTGGCAGGAAACCTCAGATATGAAAAGGATTGAATCCTTGCAACTCGACGCTGCAAGAATTCCTAAGAGTGATATGATTTTATTGTTCTGTGGAAAAGAGTCACCAAAAAATCTGTAAAGAAAGTTACCAAGAAAGCTACAATTAAAAAAAAAAAGTGAAGTGGCGTTAGAAATCTGAGAGGCTTGATTTAGCTCTGCAAGCCATACTGAATGATTTTTGGCCTTTTTAAACTAAAGTGAACCTTTATGCTTATACTGTACATCTTTAGCATTTAAAGTAAATGGACTTATGCTACCACAGGGTCTCCAGCATCAGAATTTTCTCGATTCTATCAGGATTTGAGGTGAATCAAGATTTTATCTCGATTTCATCAGGATTTGGGGAAAAATTGGTCATAAAATCAGGATTTGAGAGAAGTCGGCCATCCGATCAGATTTTTTTATCAAGCTATTTTTTTTATATTAATTTTTTTCTGCAAAAAATCAGGATTTGGAAAAATCAAGAAAGCAGGATTTAGCAGTAAAAAATCAAGATTTCATTAGGATTTCCCAAAATGAAAAAAAACAAGACACCCTGTACACCTTGTACCATTTCATAAATATTGATGCTAGAGACATGACCTTTGTCTCTTTTTAAACTGCATTATCACCCTTCTTTCACCTCTCTTGATTTAATTTATCATAATCTTATTATTTTTTACTCTGTTTTCTCATAATGTGTTTCTGTTTTTTCTTAATGCAGTTAGAAAAGTTAATAGCGAAAAATTACTTCTTACACATTTCTGCAAAGGAAGCATACAAGTCTTATGTTCGAGCATATGATTCTCATCATTTGAAAAATATCTTCGACATTGACACCCTAGATGTGGAAAAAGTCGCCAAATCTTTTGGTTTTTTGGTACCACCAGCTGTTGACCTCCGTATCCTTTTTACACTTATTCGTGAGTGGTAAAATTTTCAGGAAAACTTTTCCATTTACAATTGCTTTGCTAAATATTTCATGCTGCAAAATTCTGTTCCGAAGACAATGGACTAAAATTATGTCAAAAAGGAAGTACAAATTCCTTGTATACCTACTTTTTCAATTAAATAGAATTTTTTCCCCTCAGATAAAAATCGTTCCATAATAATAAACTATAAAAAAAATGTCTAAGGGAAGCATCAAGGTGTCTACAGACTTTTGGAAAAAAATTACATATCGACGGTGTAAGTCGGCAATCACATAACTCGTTTGCGGTGTCTGAAAATCTCCACCTCTATGTTATTTTTTTAAAGGAGAACAAGTTGACATCATTCCTTGAAGTTCTTGCAGAATTTTCTTCGCACAGAGAAGAAAAATCAAGGCAGTTTTAAAGAATTGCCGTTGAGTAGTTTTGCGTTTAAAAAATAAAGTTTGATAAGAAGTCTGCGCCGTCGCAAACCGAGTTGTGTGATCGCCAACTTACACCGCCAATATGTACTGACTTTTTACCGCCTTTTTTCTGACTATTAAACCCTCTCCAAGCTTGTTTCCGATATTGAACAGGAAATAATTTCGTTGCAATAAGAATTGAAAAAAGGAAAAAAATGAAACACAAGTTATTGTTATAGCTACAAGAGACTCATGGAATTGAGTTTTTTTATTCCAATTTGATACTTCTTTCTTGAAGTGAAAGTACATAAAACGTTTGGAAGCAATCAATAGAAACAAGTAGCTCATTGGTAGATGAAAAACAGTGTATTTATAATGACAAGTTTTTTCCTTAACGTTGACTCACAGAAGTGAATTCATCGAAGGGAAAGCGTCCGAGGAAGCGGCACGGAGGAGGTGGATACGGCCATTTCAACAAAATGAATGAAGAAGAGAAAGAGGAAGTAGGATTTATTCATATAAAGAAGAAAAAGAAGATGAAGAAGCCTAAAGAAACAGAAAAGATAGACACCTACACATACCTGAAGGATAAGAACCTTGCTGCACTTATCTAAGTATTCCCTCTTTTATCTAATGTATATCATATGTATAGAATGTACATTTCCAATTGTTTTTTAACTAAGATTTCCCCTTCTTTAAATAAAATAATTATTTTTCAAAAAATCCGAAGTCTGATTAACTCGTGAATAACTGTTTAATAGCAGAACTCGTGAACAACTGTTTAAAAGCAAAACTGAAGCATTGTAGTTTCCTTCAAATGTTTTTCGTTTTGCATTGCCGGTCAAATTCCCATTGTTGAAGCTGTGTCTGGCATGGGGAAGGCCGTCGAGAGATTTTATCTGCCTCTATTACAATCTTGAATTATCATTATCACAAGTATTTTCATCTTCGCCGTTGTAATAAGGGGATCCTGGTTTTGAAGAACATTGTGAGGTCAGAGAGACTTCATGCAACTTTGGATGGAGACTTGACTTTTGACTGCTTCTTTCTTGTGACAAAATCTGGTACATGTCAAGATCTGAACATATTGTTTCATTGTCAGTCTGTCTCCATAGAGAGAATCCGTCATCTTTCTGATCTGTCTCTTTCAATAATCGAATGTTATGGGAGTTTGTGGAACAGTCTGAATTATGACTCAACTCCGACTCTGCGCACATTGAGTCCTCTGTAAACATAGATTCTTCTGTAAACATAGAGGCCTCTGTGATCATAGAATCCTCTGTAAGCATTGAGTCTAAATTTTTGACTGCGCAGTGTGAGTTTCCTCCAATATTACTAGCATAGGGAGTTACATCTTCTAAATCGGCGAGTTCCTCTCCAGATATGACAGAAACCGAAGGCAAAGTATCGTTCTGAGCAGTCTTTCCATACCAAGAGTCAGCGTTTGTAGTCTTGAAGCGTTTAACCGGTGAACGCATGTGTACACTTTGATACCTTACCTTGTCGTTCACTGTTTTGATGCATTCCCAGAATGAACCTTGTGCGTCCATTTCTTGTTCTTCGGCATCTTGAGGGGCTTCGAGTTCTCTTACATCATGGAACTCTTCACCTGTTTTAATAGATTGACACGAACTCTCAGAACTCTGACAAGAAATATTAATCAATGTTGAACTGTGATCAGTGAAGTTCGGTGTTTCATAATTGGCAAAAGAAGAGTTCTTTGTAAAGGTTGTATCGTTTTTTGTTATGGGACTCTCTTTTTCTGAACTTTTATGATTGTCGTTGTTTGCGAATTTACCATATGCTATATCTCTGTGGTAATTTATTGTGTTTGATTCAGCTGATCTCTCAGAATCTGCGTTAGACACGTCCGAGTCGAATGAATTGTACTGTTGCAAATTTGCTAATGCTTGGCTTTTGCACTTAATGACAACGCTGTTTTTATTTGCTGTTGGCAAAACTGTACTTTCTTGAGTAGTCTGTGGACTAATCAAATCTTCATCACTCCCCAAATTTTCAATTCTGAAAGTGACCTCTTCGTTGTCTGTATAAGGTGTCTCAATGGTGCCAGGAGCAATGATTTGTGAGTTTTCGTTATTTTGCGTCAAGTGATCTTCCTCTCTCTCAGAGCAGAGTGTCTGGGAAGTTCTGTTGTATGTTGAATCACATGTAGTAATTTTGGCATTAAGTTTCTCCAGTGTCAGCTGATCGTTGTCGACCATGTTTATCAAATTGATACATAGTTCATCAATTTCAATTTCCTCTTTAACTTGTCCTCTTAAAGCGGTGTTCAGGAACTTCTGTAAAAAACAAATTGCTCGGTAAAAACATTTTTTGGAATTGGTTTCGTTCAAGTGATAATGTTGTCTAGTATTTCCACTCAGTCAAAAGGATCTTGAATGCTACCCATAAACATGGAGCTCTAAATTGCTCAGGAGTAAAAGTTGTATCATTGAACACTACTAAAAGGACTGTTAGACAAGGTATGAATTTAAACTTTCTGATATATTTTCACTCCAAATCTTTTTGCACAACACGATTTGCGCCATGAAAATTACCAAAATTAACTTTGAACGAAGCCATTAACATTTTTGTTCATTATCACTGACGAACAAATCAAATTTCCTGCTCACATAAAAAATACAAGTCCACTTGAATCTAATTAATTATGTACTCGACTTGACAATGAGCAGTATACTTCCCCCAATCTATGCAACTCTAATTGTAAGCAACTATCAAAAGCTTAGCCAAAATGTCAATATTGAGGTTGTCATATTTTTATGTTACAAAGACTGTCACAGTAGAGTTTAGTGTGCAATTTAACCATTGACGTATAATACAATCTAGACCGCGCATTGGGCCCGACTTTAGGCGGGGAAGGTAAGACAGCTAGGGGGGTAAAGACGCGCCTTCAGCCTAGTTGATACCGCCGGACATACGAGCTAAGTGTACCCGTATCAGGCAACGGCACTGGCAAGACTGGCATTTCCACGAATTCCACCATTGTCTAGCCGGTACACTTGCTGAGTGTTGCTGGGTTGCCTATCGTCTCGCTTGAAGGGAGCCTAGTCTCGCCGAAATTTCCTAACGCGCGGTCTAGATTGTATTATACGTCAATGAATTTAACTCAAGTAGAGTATTGCCTTTTACATTATTAGGAAGTCTGACTTGGTGCATGATTATAAAAACATCACTATCTTGATTAAGGGTTACTTCCAGTAATTTTTGTGGTATAAATCGTGTTCTATGTCTTGATGAGAAAACATATATTATAATGCTTAAATTTCCACCTTGTCGAGTGGCTTGATGGGTTACTTCCAGTAAATCGTGTTCTATGTCTTGATGAGAAAACATATATTATAATGCTTAAATTTCCACCTTGTCGAGTGGCTTGATGGGTTACTTCCAGTAATTTTTGTGGTATAAATCGTGTTATATGTCTTGATGAGAAAACATATATTATAATGCTTAAATTTCCACCTTGTCGAGTGGCTTGATGATGAAAAATTATTCAAGCCCATTCCTCCTCCAATTGGTGATTTTTGTCTGTCAACAAGAAACTGAACTTGTAAAGAAAGAAACTGTACTCGCTCCACTCCAGATCTGGTTACAGATCAAGAATCGGAACGTCATGGGGTGGTAGGGTTGGAAGATTATGTGCGTTGATATGTAGGAAAAAATTTCTGAAAAGGCCCATAAAGCGCTTTTTTGAGCCAGATGGCCTCTTAAACTCAAACCTAAGTTTGGAACACCGTTTAGAAGTATATTTGTAACATTGTGCAAGAGAATAGTGCACTACACTTTTACTGTGAGCAGAATTGGGCTGATCCAAACTAAAAAAACTGAATCATCAATGTAAGTTCAAACCTTTTTGGTTTTAGCAAGGTTCTTAGCCAGCACATTGGCAGCCTCTTTTATGCGCTCAGGTAAAGCTGTGCTCTCTGCTAATTTAAGTCCATAATTTTCAATGCTAACAACTCCTTGTAGTAGCTTGTGTGTGAAATGAAGCCGAGGTTTGGTTCCATCTTCAAGTGCGATAATCTCAGCATCAAAATACCAGCTGAAACAAGAATTCTTGTCGTAGAATAATGTAACAAACTACCCGATCTTGTCAAAAGAAAGGAGAAATCGCTCATCTCTTTCGATTAGTTAATAAAGAAACTTATGAAAATGAATTAGAATTTTCCTCCAAGTAAATTATTTAAAAGAATCCATATTATTAATGAAGTGTGTATTTAATGAAATACAATAAGAAATAGTCCTATTAAGACTTGAGTCTGATGAGTTTAAGTGAGAGATTTAGGTGTTTCTTACCATGAGACTTGAGGATACAAGTACTGCAATCTACTCAGAAAGTGGAAGTGAGTTGCAATGAAAGTGTGAACTGTTGAATGGATGAACACCTCGCTCGTGGCCCAGGCGATGGCTGTCCCCTCATCAGTGGCTGTTCCCCGGCAGAATTCATCAATGATCACTAAACTGTTCTTGGTTGCTGAGTGCAAAATGTGAACCATTTCTTTGAGCTTGAAAATAAGAAACCATCGAAAAGTTACTTTCAGATGAAGTGAGCCAAACTTGATCAGCTTTTGAACAATTTTTTTAAGCACTTATGGCTTAGTTTTGAAACTTGCATCAGAAAGCCTTAATTTTGTACAATACAAAATTTCTCAGAAAGTAAGGTGAACCACCCTAGGAGACCTCACTACTTTCTCCATAGGTCTCATTCTGATTTCTCAATAGCCTCAGAAAGAAAGAAAGAGATGGGAGTATGGTATATCAAGACTCATTCAAAAAAAAATTTATCGTTGAAATTAGTGACAAACCGAGAAGATTCTTACAGGTCTACATTTTTCAAATATTTCCGGAGAGCAAACCTCCCCCCCTCTTTTAAATACCCTTTTAAAACCCTTCCTCTGGTGTTGCAGTGGTTGTCTTATTATCCAACTTGCGCCTCTGTGTAGAGGAGCCTACCGACACAATCCTGAGATGTGTCCATCGAACTTAAACGGAAGGAAAAGAGCCTTTTCTCAGTATCTATCATCTGCAATAAAATGAGAGGGATAAAAGTGAAAATTATTAACAGACCTCCAACGTAAAATGAGAGACATTACATTCAATACTATCATCAAAACTGATTCGAGAGAATAAATTGTCGATGAGCTTCACTTCAGCCTGTTCAGCAGGAACGTAGCATCCAATCTGGAAGATTAATTAAAATAACAACAGATGAGCTGCATCGAAACACGCTTTGATATACAAGTGAGTCATTGAGTAGGATATTCATTTTAGAGTAAAGGTCACACCTGCTGAAATAAAAATTTCTAGAAAAGCTGTAGATTATTAACCATGCAATTCTTTTCAACTACAAAAGAGTGTACCTGGAATCAAGTTATATTCAAATATTTCTCTTTTCTAAGATCCAAGTGACTATAATTTGATGAATCCTACTCAAGAGTTATGAAAATTGTGCAGAAAGGTGTTTGAAAGTAGTTTATGTTACGCTCTCACTCTGCTGTGCGAAGGGAAAACGCTGTATGAACATTCGAGAGTTGCCAAATTACCTTCGGATAAATGTTTATTTTTGAGATGAGCTATGAATATTTGTTCTTGAAATTTTCAGAAACTTTAGGTGAAATTGCATACAAATTGTATAGAAAATGGGAAGAAAAATATTCACAAGCTTTCTCATGAATTCCTCATTTGCTAAAGGAAATTTGGCAAAGCCTGAGGGTCCATACGGCGCTTTTCCTAAGCACGGTAGTATAGAGGATGGATCTTTCGGCCAGTGTGACGGGTGTGTATCGGAAATGAAGAACAAATGTAACTGCTTACGGAGTCTGCTCCTGCTGCATAGGGCTAATTTTTCAAACCCACAGGCTAAAAATTGCCACTTAGTATTTTTAATTGCATATCATTATTCAATTTAATTAAAGAAGTATGAGAAGAAAAGACTGCAACTACGTGTCAGATCGTGTGATACCAAGGGGGCTCAAAAATCGTCAGTCAATAGTCTTAAGGCTGCTTGATCTCTCAACCTCCCCTAGCCTCATTTTTGTAATTTCATTGGGCTAATCTGGAGGTATCAATTGGTTTCCCGAGAATGCATGTTATACTTCCATGCTGTGTGAGTTCTCACATGAACACAAGCAGAAATTGACTCCAGTTTAGCAAATCGTTTCCGAGTTATCTGACTAAATTTTGTTTTATCATACTCATTACAACCACTGTATTTTTTCCTGTTCTGGCACAAACTCAACACTTCTTACCTGAGCCATAATTTGAATCAGAGCGATCTGCTTTATGTAGGCGCTTTTGCCTCCCATGTTCGGTCCAGTGATAAGATGATAATTCTTCAAATCCGTAGCAATCTGAAAAAAGTAATCATAATTCATTTCAGTATTCAAATCGTTTTTTATTTTTCACATTATTACAACTAATAGCCATCTGATTTAAGAGAAGATTGTCTATTATAGTTTTATACATTTTTATTACTGTGCTCTCATTAATAAAAAGTTCTTTGAAATGCTGATGAGCTTTTCGCCCATATTTTCCTTCAAATCGAGCCGCTTTGGGCTATGAGAACAAGAATTAAGTCGATTGTATCATCGTACAGTTTTTGAAGGGCTAAAGTACTCACAACATCGTTTCCAACGGGAACAGATGAGTTGGTGAAGTCTAAAATGGGATGTCGTGCTGATTTCAAGACCAATTTGGATCCAAAATTAGGTCGAACATATCCGTTGGTAGAGCTCACCCGAGACAGTGATACGATCATGTCAAGTTCAGCTATGCTATCGCAAATGTTGTACAAGCAGCCAGTGTTCTCTCTTATCTTTTGAAGTAATGTCTGCAACACTCTGTAACACACATTCAACAGTCTTGACTGAAGTTTAACCTTCTATTAACACTGTCTTATTCAATGTTTGAGGACAAAATGAGTATTTTGACGTAGTCTTTTAATTTGAGAGACAAAATATTTTCTTAATGAATACAGGCCTCGCACTGGAAACAGTTGAAGCTTCTTTTTTGAACCCAATCTTCTGCTGCTGAATAAATGTGACAGTCAGGCTAAAGGTAGAAAGTCAAATTGTGCAGCACAGGGAAACACCGGTTTGGAGTTAAAATTATTGATTTTCAGTTCTCAATGCTAAATACTTTCCTATACTCTCTAGAACAGTGGGTCAAAGTTTCAAGCTATTATATGTACTATTGTAATACTGCACTATGATATAAGTGTTTGAAAAGCTGGCAACAGCTGCACTGGTAAACTTCGTCTGTGTTTTTCTCAAATGTACAGTTGATCGCTCTCTAACTTTCATTTGCTGTTAAAGGGTCAGCTGTTGGAATTTAGATAAAAATTTTTAGGAGCAGCCCCAGACAATGGTAACAATAGAAAAAACAAGGAGGAAAAACGGGAAACAAGGCCAAAAACACAATTAATAAAAACCGAGACGTTTCGGCTCAGTTTTGAGTCGTTGTTATCTCACTCCATTTTGCATGACCATTAAAAATTAATTTAGAATAAATAAGTGAATTGAGTGTTGTTCCGTACGCATTGCTCATAAGCTGAACCTCCTGAAGAGCTTGCTTTATACGTTCGTTCTGGAAAATCAATTCTGCAGTAGTCATTGTAACAACGTTCTTTGTCCTTTGAGCTTGTATAAAGACATCAGGCAAGTTCTTGATGCTGAAATCAGGCCGACCTGAAATTTTCAGTGTGATGTGGAATCCTTTGGAGCTTGTATTGTGGCTTTTGAGGGGTAATTCATATTGCTCGGCAAGATCCATCACTTTCATCTGAAATTCTGCGACCAGCTCCGAATATGTGTACCTCGCTACGTCCAACAGGCCGTTCACATCTGCCTTGATTGCGAAGCACCGCTGAAATGTTAACATTGTTTACAAAGTTTGCAAATGTTTACATCTGTTTTACAATGTTTTATAATAATATGAAGTAGATCTCATGCAGAGCTATGTTCTAAGCGTACTAAAAAATTTGAACTTATGAATACTTTGTACCATTTTTAAGTGAGTTTCCTGCTTTCATTCTCCCCTAGTAGCAACAACTGTTAAAAAATCTTTTAAAAAACTCTTAAGTTTTGAAAAGACAACTGTCAAAAAACTGTTAAAATTCTCCTTATAGGAAACTTTTTGTGCCATTTTTTAAGTAAAATTTACAAACGATAAAATTTAAGGAAAAAAAGTGTTAAAAAACTTTAAATATCAAGTTTAGTTATTTAATGCTAAAGCTGTTTGAAAATATGTTAAAAAACTACCATGATATATTAAGAGTTTTTTTTTCAACATTTTTTTCTTAAACTTTACCTCTTGTAAATTTTACTTAAATAAATAGCCAAAGAGGGTTTCCCAGTATGAAATGTTCAATAGTTTCTTTAAGAGTTTTCGAAAAATGTTTTAAAAGGTCATTGCTACCAGGTTAAAATAAAATTCAAAAACTCACTAGTCAGAGAAAATTCGAAACTATCTGACGCGCATTTCGACCCGTTGGATCATCATCAGGGGCGCGACTCTTTTAAAATAATTGATCGCTACCAGGGTTTATATCATTTTTAACTGAGTTTCCTGCTTTAATTCCCAGCTGATTTACAGTTTTAGAAGTGAGAGGGAATTTTTTCTTGGTTTGGCTGCAGCCAACGTTCATGAAGACTTACTTTCATTTTAATTTAGTCTACTCAACTAAATGTAAGAACTGCAGCAAAAAGATTGTTACTTCAACTGGGATTGTAATCCTTAGGTGGGAAACTTCTCTGATCAAAACCATGCTTAATCTAATCTGGAAATTGAATTTTTAGCCTAACTAAAGTTGCTAGATGGTATCAAAGCGTGAGGTTTTTTCTTATTTACCTAGTCGAGAACACAGACACTGTGTACTTTTAGTGTAGAGCATATGAATAGAAATAAGAAATCCCAGGCGAGCACCTGTGATTTTATTCCTTATTCTTCTAAATGAAGCGATAGCAAGTAATTTTATTGACATCAATTGAAAAGTGTCTTTTGGTACCTGTCCAACATGCTTTTTACGTATCAAAGTTTTTAATTCATGTTATACCTGGAATTGAGCTGCAGCATAGCCCGTAACTCGTGTGGTGTCTTTGTCCAGTATTTTATCAATCTCATTTGCAAGATCTTTGAAGCGTGGATCGGTCAAAGTTTTTATCATTTTCTCAAAATATTTGGTCTCAGTTGTTTGTAGGATTTGGTACAAACTTGGAATAACATCAAGAACTGTTTTTAGCAAGATCACGTAATTGATCATAACTACAGAACTGTCATCAATTTTTCGGTTAGCAGGAACAAAGCAAATTTTCAGAAGGGCATCAATATCAGGGATTTTTGCCAGAGTGCCCTGCAGGAAACAATAAAAAAAAAATTTAAATGGATGTTCTCAAAGTCGCATTAATGACTTGTGTCAATTCCTTCTATATGTGACCCTTAAGATCATTATATGAACTGGTGAAGCATTGCTAAAACTTTAAAAAAAAAACCCAGTTCTTGACAGTAACATGTTCAGACTTTTATGGATAAGAGCCAGTCATTAATTTTCCTTAATTATCGTAGGCATACTTTTTTTTTTCCTACAGTGACATAGATGTTCTCTAAAATTTCATGAAAGAACTTGGATCCTTTGTTTCAATTATTTCTAAAAAAATAAAAAGTACAGGAAAAGTTTGAAGCATCAAAATGAAACTACATATGTTGGTATCTGACATTGCTGTCAGTAACCTAGTTAGCTGTAAACACAATGTTTTCTTCTTTTTCTAATCATACTTTAATTATATGTCAAAACTATTCTATCATTACTTTTTTTTGTTATCTATACCAGCAAGAGGAATGCCTATTCAAACAATGTCTAGTTCAATCACTTTTTAATAATTTTATTGAAGAAAATAGGAAGAGTAAGCAGCCAGAATGCATTTTCAAGCAAATTTTTTGGAGTGATGATTTGACAGAAGCAAGGAAGAAAGTATGAAAGAATTCAAACAAGAGTTAATAATTACCTGAATGCTCTTACGTAATTCTATGTTATTTATCAACTCTGTAACACAATCAAGCCGATGATTTAAATCTTCTTCTATGAAGGATGGCTGCAAAATCGCGGATCGCAATCGCCTCTTTCCGCCAAAAGTGTAGCAGTGATTCAATATTCCGAACAAGCTTCGAGCCTCACATTTGTTCGATTGAGAGAGAAGGAGTTCCAAGTTGTCCATGGTGTCAAAGTCAATCATCATTTTTTCGCCAGCTGCTTGATATTCCATTGGCACTGATTGGGAGGCGAGTGTTACATTCTCTACATACTCAACGTACTTAACCAAAGCAGCTGCTGCCGCAAGTGTGAAGTACTTTCGCACTACAAGGAGTTCAATCGATGAACATTCAGGCAAATGTAATGATTTTACTGAGTTCATGCCCTCCTGGTCATTGTAAAATCTCCTGTGCACCGATTTTTGATCCACCCCTGGCAACTTCTTCTGGATCCGTTGGAGAAGTTTTGAGTTCTTTTGATTTTCAACAATTGTGTTGGGGAAAAGGAGCTGAAATTGTGAAGCATTCGTCAATCGTAAAAGTGTATATGACCTCAAGTTCCATGCATTATTATGGCTTCATGCGATTTTCTTATCATCGATGTAAATTGCAATATAGCTGCATCAATTCATGCAACACTATTAGTCCTACTGCTGGCAGCAGGTCTTGGAGCCAATAGTTTTGCCAAAATTATCTTTTCTTTCCTCTTTCTATTAAAAAAGATCAGGAAACATAGGAGAAAAAACGAACTGGTAGAGGGCAATTCAGAAGCATATATCGGCCTTTATACTTGACAGGTATTTTCAATTATTTTCTTTAAGTCACTGGCCAAGGTGCAAAACCGTGTATCTCCATTTGTGATGTAATTGCAGACATCCTGTCATACTTAATTTTTCATTTGGAAAGTTAGTCAACTTAATTTCTTGAGAACTCTCATATGATTTTTCATCTGTGTTCGCAGAGTAACATACTGTATAATTTTCGAGCTGTAAAATCGGATTGTTTCTCTATGGAAAAATAAAATAGAGGCGGATATTTTGAAACATCGCAATGAAGATACATAGTTTCTGACTTTGACCATGTATGACTGTCAACGGGAGAAATTACCTTATTTTCAGTAGAACTATCTCAGAGGAGTCAGGATCGGTCGAAGTATTAGATTGTGATATTTCATTGGACCTTTCAGGCTCTCAATCTTCAAGAATAAGTTGTGAGTGGTCCGATTCATTTTGAATTATCAGAGGCTTAAATTTGCTTCATAATCTCGCAATTTTGTTACTTAAATACGGCGAATCCAAATTTGGAATGGCTTTTCCTTGAAACTACTCATATTTTTAACTGGTTCTTTCAAACAGCTGCAATTTGTTGTTTGAAAATGTTCCTAAAACATTCCCTTGTGTTCTAATGTCTATGACTTTTTTTTTCTTTTTGTGTCGTACTGCAATTTCAGGACGTTATTATGGATTGTAAAATCCATCCCTTTTCCCATGGATGGTCGTAATGGTTTAAAAGTCTATGATTTTTCCTAAGTGTTGAAAATTTTAACATTTTTTCTTGGAATAAATTATATTGAGCCACAAAAGTTGCAATCTACAGGATTGAAAATCGGCTGAATCAGGCTGCCTTAATACTATTCCAGCTTCACCTTTATTTTTTGTCCGTTAGAACATGGAAGATAAAAATTTCAAGCTTCAAGAAAAGTTAAAAGTAAAAACTTACAATGGCAGGGTTGAGAACATTTAGTTTTGCTATCGTGTTGGTATAATTATGAGTGTCACTGAGCTGGCACAAGATCAAACATGGACGATGTACATCCATAGCAGCAAGACCAACCTCACCACAAGCATTTCCTCTTCCTTCTGTGATAGCTAATTTTGGAAGAAAATGTGACATGAAAGGTAGATCTGAGTTTATAAAAAAAACTCTAAGTGATGGAAAAAAGCGAAAACAAATATTTATTTGCGCATGATTAACAATAGAATTAGAGCAATATAATAAGTAAAAAACACCGAGAATATTCAAACGACCTTACATTCATATCTACTAATATTCTTATTGAGCTTTCTGTTAAATACATCCTGTTTCACCAAATCAAAAAAGGTTACTTTGACTCACCGATAATAACACGAGATTGATTCGAAGTAGAAGTTGTTGCTGAGCTAGACGATCTTTTTGATACACTTGTGGTTCTCTCTGTTCCTCGCTTTTGAGATGATTGTGAGGAACAAGTCCAACTGTTCACGTTTCTAGTACTCCTAAAAATTTAAAAATTCCACTTTCATTCATTTCATCAGTCTCTAAATGTACATAATTTAATTCAAAGGGAAAAAAGTAGACTAGACTTCTTCAGGAACATTGACTAAGAAAAAAGTTATTTCCAGAAGCTAATAGAACTTAAAAACTTCAGAAAGGGGATAGCTCTCAAAAAAAAAAAAAAACTTTTGTAATATCTACTCATAGAGTAGGGCAGCTCTGTTATTCTTTTTCATGTGAAAGTGTTACCTTTGCATGAATATGAGTTTTTTGTCATGTTATTTTAGTCCGTCTCATAAAAAATATTACTTTATTCTCATTTCTGTATTTTGCATATTTTGCTGTTTATTTAACTTTTTTCACTTTTAAATTTTACATAAATTTTACTTAAAATAAAAAGGGTCTCCCAATTAGTAAACATTTCAGTATTTTACAAGTCCACATTTACTTGTGTAAGGAGATTCGTCAAGCTCAAGTGACGTAGTCAAACTGGTATGCGATGTATGGCATATCAATTAGGTCCAAATTCTCGGCAGATTTTAAATTTTTAGCAAAAAAAAGGACGATAGCCCCTGTGCATGAGCCTAAAGAATCATTCTAAACCCAAAAATCGGCAAAAATAAGAGAAATGAAAGCAGAATAGTGTTCGGAAAAAACCTCCAATTCGATACAGAAATCGATAGTTGAATTGAATGCAAGGTTTTTTCCCAACACACTATTCTGCTTTCATTTCTCTGAAATTTGCCGATTTTTGGGTTTAATATGATTCTTTAAGCTCATGCGCAGGAGCTATCGTCCTTTTCTACTAAAAATTCAAAATCTGCTATTTTATACCTAATCAATATGCCAGTTTGACCTTGTCACTTGAGCTTGACAGATCACCTCAATACTACAAGGGCTTACATTAAAAAGTAGGTGGAAAATTACAGAAGATCTCAGAACAAATAATTAACATTGTCCATTAAATTTAGATATTGTTGTCATAAGAAATTTTGTTATCATAACGTTAGGCAATGCACTTTGATCCATTTACTTCAAAGTAGCTGCTTTGACCAGAAACAAATATTACTCTTGCCGTTAAGGACAGAGGAATTATATGTCCATCATTTATAAAGTATAAAAGCTTCAAGGTCTTTTTTTGTACTTCTTTTTATTAATGTGAAAAGAAAAATATATTAACCGAGAGGAAATTGGTGTTCTTGAAGAAGATGATGTAGGCTTTGTCGCGGTCGTCAAAGACTGATATTCTGGTCTATACGACTGAGACGATGAAGAGGGACTATTCGAGCTGATGCTGCGCTGAAAGTTTACTCCTTTTGATGATTCACTTGACCTTGTTTCTGTTGAAATTGCTGATTGTACACCAGTTCGATTAACCATTGGAGATTCATACTTAATATTGGGTGGAATCGGCTGGTATGATGAGAGTGATAAACTTGGTTTCTTAGAAGCAGCAAAATGCTTTAGGAATTCTGTTGGTTTTGCGAACACTAGATGAATGTTAAACAAAAAAAAATTATGGAATCAGTTGAAAGAAATATAATCAATTGACACCTGACTATAGGATGTTTCTTTCCTCTTCTATATGGCTTGCTCCATGTTTTGATCCTGAGTCAACAGGAACTGCAACCACACATAGAGAGTCCCTGCACGGTTTCCAATTTGCAGTCTGTCCTCCAACTCAATATTCTGATGCTCTCATCTTAAAGGTGGCATAATCTCTGTTTTAGATTGGTAAGTATACCTGATTTTCATATGGTTACCCTACTCATGCATCATTCAGCTTGATTCAGCATGCTTTCAGGCTACACCTGGTTTTTACATGATTAGAGTCTGCGCCAAATAAGTTTACACACCACCAGACTGCGACTGAAGATCCGCCATCCTGTTTCTTGCATCCACTTCTAATGCTAAGTAAATTGACGTTGGAACATCTTCTATCGCAATCTAAAAGTGTGTAAACTTACTTATAGCCTGGACTCCACCATCGGAGCAAATTAAAGCATTATCTGAAGTTTTAAAAGTTAAAGAAACCTCCGTCCCAGCTTATTTGCTGATTTTTTCGTAATCGCAATTAAGTAAGAAAAATAGGTGCTAATAAGAGCAGATTAATGACGGCTCTGCTCTAAACCTTTGATGTAGGTAGATACATACCTAACATGAATAAAACCCCAGGCAAAGAGACATCCTTCCTAAAATCGCTAAACATTTACAAGTTTAGTCCTTCATCAACTTTCTGCCCAAGGGTTTCCTGAAGTTGAACTGAATTCATACACGTATCAAAATTAATTCAGTTAAACTGATTTAAATTAGTAAGCTTTCATTACTCACCCGGATTCACCACAGGATGCATCAGCTTTCGATCTTCTTGTTTTGAATTATTCTTGTTATTATTCACCTGATTCATTTTCCACCTAAAATTACTCAGAAATCAGTTCCAAAAATAATCGAAGCTAAATAAAATTGTTTGAGTAACAACAATGCTCTGGAAATGAAGATCACAGTCTTGACATTCGCGAGAATTTCCGCGTGATCAGTACCTCCTCTATCACTATCAGTTCCGACGAATGCACGAGCGGATATCCGTTTTTTTCGGCGGATATCCGGCGCATTGCACAGACCAATCAACGTCCACTGACTTTACAACGTTGCCGCTCTGCAGTTTCTTCAGTCCGGATCTTCCGGACCTACAGATTTCAATGAGAGATACTCGAGAATTCGAGATAAGTATGAAACGTCGATAATCATTCGCCTTGGATTTATTTCCAAGTAGAATTTTATTTGCAAAATGTGGTAAAATTCTGATCGCGACCATGCTGCGAGGTGCGAACAAGTTGAAAATATTGCGTCAATGCAGTGTGTGAACTTGGCAACATCAGCAGGTAACAAACAATAATAAAAAACAGCTGTTCTATCTTGGTTCTATCTAGCTGTTGCCTGAAGTACAGTGTTTGTTGGTTTGGTACAACAACTATTAGTTTTCAGAGTATATATTTTCATAATTTTATGAATATGAGTATCTCATGTGATACTCATCCTGAGTTTCTCATCATTTCTAATGTTTGTTTCCTTAACATTCCACAATTCAATTAATGAATTGTGTCCCTTATCAACGAAGCAACTGTTAGTCTATACGTCCGTGCTGAGAGCTCATCAAAATGGCAAAAATGGATAAAGAAAGGTATGGAACGGCTTTTAAATGTACTCATTATTTTTGGTAGGTGAGGCACTCTTTTCATTTTTTCTTCTTTGTACTTATTCAAATTGACCATGTAGCATGAGCCGGACAAAACCGAACAGTAGACGCCAAGATGATACTAGCCTGAAGCCAAGTTTTGTCAAGTCTTTTTTTAGTCTAATTTTTCTTTTTATGTGACTTGGATCATAACTTTGGACATTGTAGAATTACGTAGCCTCTTTGATTAGAAGTATAGTGTGCCTCAAAGAGTTATCAACTACAATGGTAATGTTGAAGAAGGGTGTACCTTCTTCAGGTGCTTTGACAAACTAAACTGTTTTGGACCATTTACAAACGGAATTCTCTGATGCTGAATGGTTGATGTAGCTTGTCTGTGATGAATTATCTGATGCCTCATTTGTAAAAGATTGAACGGCCGTTATTTTTGATCGTCGCACACATAGAGTACAATACAGTCGCTATGTAGGTACTTGAGTGCCAACGAAGTCACTTTTTGAGGCTGTTTTGTTTAGGAGTCCCTAGACCAGCTTTAGGCAACTGGCAATGCTGTTTGCACAAGATCTCAGCCCCAGGCTTAGCAGACAATACAAGTGTAAAATTCATTTCACACAAACTGGGAGTTTCATATATTTTTTAATTTGTTATGACTTGGGTCAACATAACGTGCCGAAATTTGCAAAAATAATTATCAATTTACATTCATAAATCCGGGTAACTACTCATTGCCTGCAATTCTCCCACATACCATGAAAATATGCCGCATGGTTCAGGTGAGGTGCAGAAGATGATTATATGAGGTTGAAACACTTCCCAAACGATGACGGTTACCCGTAGGTGAATTTCCCTGCAGGAGAGTATCTCTTTTTGCCCTTTGTCCTCTAAAAAAATGTTGACCATTTGGGACTGTCTAAATCCAGTAGACTCCTTGGAGCGCAAATTGTCTCCCCCCCCTTTCCCCCTCTGAGCTTCCCAAAAAAATTCCAATTATGTTCATGCTGATAGACAAGCAATAAGGATTTGTTCTCGAGGTCACTCAAGATGGTTAAAATGGACCGCGTTTAACAGAAAGGAATCAAGCCACATCTGCTATTGCCAATTTTAACCGGGCAATTTGATTTTTAAGAAAAAACGTTTGTGCGGATCCCTTTGAAAATGTTAAGGAATTTGCTTTCGTACTATGGAGAAAATTCACTGAAATTTGCACGACAATCCGCACAACTGTTTTTATGTAAAAAATTAAATTAGCCAATTAAATTTGGCAATAGCTGATGTGCCTTGGTTCCTTTCTGTTTAACGCGGTCCAAATGGAATTCCCAATGGGGTTTCAAATTGGCACTTCTCTTGTCCAATGAACCTTGTTCAATACTACTCATTGTACTAGAGGGCACATTGTTTGCTTTCATTCGACTCAATGACATCTCAGCAAAGATTATCCAATTTTTTCTTTTTTTTTTATGCAGCATCACACAATTTTTAACATCATTTATTTTGTTTTTCTCGACTTCTTTTTCAGATTCTCCTTGCTTTTATTGGAGCCAGGGGAGTACTATTTTGAAGATTTCAGTGTGTTTCTGGAACCTGAGAAGCAAGACTCACTTGAAGATCTTCAATTTGGTCGACTAAGAGTTTGCTCCAAATCACTCGTGTTCGATCCAAAAAATAACTCTGACCCGATCATTAAAATCCCACTCAAGGACTGTGTAGATATTAAAAGTGATAAAGGGTAAGAGTCTCACTGATCACAGCTTTCATTGATGGGACTACATTTTGCAATCGGGAACTACAATTCCTGGCTCATCCGTAAAAACTCTTATGTGCATTGGGAAATTAATGGTACATACATTGTTTTTCAGCCACACAAGAATTTTTAGTTCCTTATTGCAAAATGTAGTCCAATTGTGTATATACATGTAAGGGGCTTGGAGGACAAGGCGCATAAGTGTAGTTTTTGAAAAATGAATGAAATGATTTTTTTTTTTTTTAATGATTTCAAGTAAAACTAGTCCTAAAGCATATTCTGTGAAAAATTTGCTCCCAAATTCCAATTTTTAAGCATCAAAACGTCAGTTTGAACTTTCTGTCCACCATGAGGATCCATGTAATTTCGAAACTTTAAACATGTGTTTCTCGAAATAGCAAAAACTTCACTTATGCGCCTTGTCCTCCAAGCCCCTCATTTTTGCTTTACAGTTAAAGAACATCAAATGCCAATCTCTTTGCCACAAGGGAACAGAAGTTTCTTCGCATCCCTGATGCAACTAATGCAACCATTTTTTATTTTTTCTTCCTTCTTTTAATGAATGGATGTTCTCAAACATGAAGTCTGTGTTTGAAAAATGGGACAAAGCCAAACTAGCTTCAACATTCATTTCATAGAATATACCAGGTACCTTTTGTCATCAGCTCTCTACTGACTGTTTGTGTTTACTTTTCAGGAGAGTAGACAGTAACCAAAGAATAATTGTTGACTGCTCTTCATTTGTTGAAATGCTTGAAGGCAATGTTTTAGCACCGTATACATTTAAAAGTGTAAGTTGTGCTTTTATTTTGACCTTGCCCTTTTTCCTCTCTCACCCAGTTGTCCATTTGGACCTTACTTAAGAAATATTTTTCCTCTTTTCTCATGATAAATTTAGTTTATAAAAAACATATGTTTACTCTCAAGGCAATGGGGAAATACTAAAATTCTTGGCACCAATCTTTCTCCTCCATTGATTAGAACCTATAATATCTATTATTATTATGAAGTTTTATTGGGGGTACAGAACACAAGGGATCGTGGGGTTCAGGATCGCAGGTTACCTTAAGAAAAGGTAGGGAAAATGAGGACGGCCACATTTTCCTTCTCTCTCCTAATTATAGGAGCAGGACTGCACCAAAAATATTGCAACCACTATTGCACTGTGAAAGTTCGCAGCAAAGTTCTGCAACTGCAATTTTGCGCAAAAATCTTGCAATTTTTTGCTCTGCTGATGAAGATTTCCAAACACTCTCCTTACTTATTTCTTAGAGAGAATTGTCCTTTATCATACTGAAATTGATTTTAAAGCTGCCATTAAAAATTGGAAAATTCCCTCAGCCACAAAGAAAATTTGGAACCTATCAAAAATCTACTTGGAAGATTTTGTTTCCCAGGAAAGAACTTTCCACTAGCACAAATTAGCAGCAAATTAAAATATTTTTTTATTTTCATTCAATATGTAGTTTTTACCATTTTGCAGAGGAAGTCTAATTTTCCTTAGGTGTGCTGGTAACCCTTCATAGATCATCAGCAGTAAAAAAGCAAAAAATAAACATTTAAACTAATTTTTCCAAGCATTTTTGCCACAATATACTTCTAAAATATGAAATATTCAGTTGCCAGAGTACTTATAATGTTTTGGCTGCTGATTGTAATTTATTCATTGTTTGGTTTTTACAGCTGCGCAGAAAATTTTATTTTACTCTCCTGTATGCTAAGGTAGATGATTGTTTACCTCACATCTCTCAACTTCTGCGCGCATCATCTCTTCCCATAGCAGAGCAGAATCAAATGGTAAGGTGCATCAACTTTTTACTTTTTATTTGCAAATCCTATTCTGTAGAGATACCTTAAAAATTAATCCTTTGTCCTTTACAAGAAGTTTTAGAAGTGAAATTGAAATCTGAATGTGTGAAGGTTTCCAGAAAGTTTAGAAAAATGGAGAGTTTTCGTGTGCACTGACAATGTTTTCTCCTTGAAGTATTTTAAGTCTTCACAAAATTACTGATAAATTTATCAGATTTTCCAAAATAATCTCTTAAATTGCTCCATTTCTAAATGAAGAAAGTTAATAGAAAAAAGTTAATGATAAAAGTTTTTTCTCCCATTTGTTTACGCACCATCAAGACAGGTATCTGCACATGGTCTTACATGGTGGCAATTCTTAAAATGGTGTGTCTCACTTTCTCCATATTTGAATCCTCATTAGTTCTGGCAACTTAGTAAAGGTGGAGCCTCCCCCTTTTGACCCTTTTTTTGAGCTGGACTACTTTATTCCTTATGAGTTAATCATTTTTGAAAGCCTCCTGGATCTCCCATGATATTTGCCTTCGCCTCATCAGAACTCGAAAAATTTCAATTTTGACTCCTCTCATAATTTGCTATTTGTGGTATTTTAACATGACCTTTAATATAAACATATGTACGGGTTTTTTCAGATAGCGGCAATCGCTTATGCTCGGCAGTGTCGCGTGAAATTCAAGCCCATATGGCTGGAAGACATGTTCGAAAAGATAGTGTTGGAGACCATTGGGAATAAAATCACACCACTAGTTGTGAATCCTGGTCGCATAGTCCTCTCCTCTAGTAATTTGTATTTTCAGCCTTTCAACAACATGGAGCCAGTAAGTCTTTAAGGATACTATTTTTAAATTTATCACATCATCACAAAATGACACACAACTTGAAAAGAGGAAAAAAGATTTAGTCAATTGGGCCCCATGTATAATAGGTGGGAAGTTGTACAAGAAGTTACCAGCCAACATGAAGCAGTGAGATCGTTAATGTATGATTCAAAGCAATCCTTAGACCTTGTGTCTACGGAACGTTTTCATGGGATTTGTCCCAAGTTCGAATCGCAGGAATGAAACTTCTGGGATTTTTCCCAGTCACAGTGTCCACAGGACAGGGCTCTTACGGTCCTGCAACAAGTTTGCACGTTAAGATAATCAGTAAAAGTCATGTCTAATTGTGTCATAATGTGCCTAATTGTCAATCGTGTTCAATTATTATTATAACGAAACAAATGTGAAATATGGAGTAAACAGCAAAATATCGCACAATTTGCTTTTACTTCTTCCTCCTCCTCCTCTTTCAGTTGGTCTTAGGGGTACAAGGACTATGCTTGGTATTGGGAAAAAGAGTGATTAACTCCATTTTTCCCCCATTTTGTGAGTGGGATTTTTTTTCTGGACAAATCCTGTGAAACGACCTGTGGAGACAAGGCCTTAGACTTATGACAGATGACTGTTTTTACTGCGTCGAGGAGTACCTGGAATCCCAAGTTATCAACTATTTTTTTCAAATTTTGACTAAAAATATGAGCTATGTTTTTTGTAAGCTTGTGAGCTATGTTTATTGTAGATGAGCTTTCAAGACTTTTACCAATGGTCCTATTTGGAAAAATCCTTAAGTTTTTGAGTAGCAGAGAAGAGGAAGACTTTGTATTAGCGCAATGAAATTTATCGAAAAATCCTTGCAAAATCCACTGCCTCTTAATTTTGAAACAATTAAAATAAACTACTGACTCTTACGTAACAGAGTCTCTGAAATGTGATGTTCACTGATTATTCAAACTTTTTGTGAAATTTGATAGCTCCTTCACTATCATTTTATCACATTCTTCGGATAGTAAACGATGATAGAATTTGTCGAAAGTGGAAGGCTGACGTAAAACTGGATTTGACCTTCCCCCCCCTTCCACTTCTCGTAAGACTCTGTGAGGCAAGCCCAGACCTCCTTCCCATTCTCCCTTCGGCAGCTTACGTAATACTTGAACTCGCAGCAGTAAAATTACTTGTTGCTAAAACAGCTCCTTTTTTTAAAAAAAATTGATTCAATTTATCTTAGTGTCTGATGCATTTACTTTCAGCATGACGTACTCAAAATTCCCTTGTCGGACATATCAAGAATCATCCGTCGCAGATTTCTCTTGCAACAAGTGGTAATTTTATATCTTTGTCTTTCATTTTCATTCTTGCACTGTCAAAGAATAAGTGATTTCCCTTACTGTAACTGTACTTTGAGGAAATATCAGGTCAAGTTTAGGAAGAAAAAACGGAGTACATTCAAACACCACCATAATTTTACATTTTTCTCTATCTTGCTAGGGAGCTGTAAGTTTAACCAGTTTTTATTTTACAAAAAAATGTTAACTTTAAAAGATAGTGAGTGAAAGTGTCATTCTGCTACATGCTCTCAATGATTTTCAAGGCAAAGCAGAAATTGCAAAATCCCAGCAACATTTCAAGGCACCTAATTTCTCTTTGCTACACTCAGTCCAATTTCAGAAGGCTCTAATGAATGTCAAACCTATGCTAAGTCTTTGGTCTGTAAGGAGTTAATGAAAGTTAAATTAACTAAGTTTATATCCAACTTCATGCATTAATTCAAAAAAATTCTTTAACGAATCCAATTATTTCATCATTGGAAGTAAATTTTTCCTTACCTTAAACATCTCTAGATTTGCTAAGTTCTTAAAATTTCAACCAAGTAAACGCAGGGAAATTTTGTCTTTTTTTTTGTTCCGAAGAAGCCCAAATCGAAGAGACCAAGTTAAGAAACGTTCGTTCTTTGAACTGATCTTATACTCTCTTTTTGCCTCCGCAGGGTATTGAAATCTACTGTAAGGAGACCTGTTCAGTCAAACACTTGTATCTGTCTTTTAAAACTTGTGGAGCAAGAGATACTCTCTACAATTGTCTTCTAGATCAACCAGAACTTCGGCTTAGTCATGCAGATCAGGAAGTAATGACACTGCAATGGCAAAGCGGCGCTCTCTCCAATTATGATTATCTTCTTTATTTAAACAGGTACTGAAGTAAAATCAGCAATCATACAATGCATTTTGTTAATTCAAAATTAAGTAGCTCTTTGGAAAGGATGCTTGCCTTAAAATATAAAGTTTCAAGAGAAGCATGTTTTAAGTTTCCGATATTATTTTCTCATGGCTGAGAGGAACCCAGATTGGATTGTTTTGTTTAAACGAAAGTTAGCACTCATATATTAAAATTTGGCTATTGATGAAACTAAAATATATTTGGGTGTTATGAAAAGAATTCTTAAAAATTTAAGGGTATTTTATGGAAAGCTTCAAATTGTTAGATTAATTTCAAAAGTATTTTCACTATCTTCTATCTGGCTGTCCTCATTTTGAACTTTTCACATAATTGCATTTTAGGAAATTGTTTTATCCATTTAAATTAAAATTTGACTGTAGACTGATTTTCTAGAACTTGGAAAAACTCGAACTTGGTGTGAATATTTGGGAAAACTCAAAGTCGTATAATCAAAGTCCTCAGAATACGGACCACTGCTGCCTAAATATTTTCAACTCTGCTCTTTTGCTCTACAACATTGCAAATCATGCAATTTCTTGAATGATCCTTTACTTTTATCACATGTCTATGCTTATACATTTCTGTAAATTTATTGTTTAACAGTTTAGCAGATAGAAATTTTAATGACCTCACTCAGTATCCTGTCTTTCCATGGGTCATTGCGGACTATACTTCAACAAAATTAGACTTGAAGAATCCGAAATCTTTTAGAGATCTCACAAAACCTATAGGTGCTTTGAATCCTGAGCGGCTCAGTAGACTAAAGGTATTGCTCCCAGTTTTAACTTGCTTTAATGGATTAGTAGACAAGGCTCAAATTTCTGCATTCTGATACACGTTTCATGATCAAAATTTCACGTAAAACACGATGCGTACATCGAAAATTACCGAAATCAACCCGTTATGAAGATATTTAATGATTCTTGATGCGTGAATTCAAACCACCCGCTCATGAAAACTCAATGCTCTACGTGACTCACATCGCGCGCTAAACGTTATCATGACAGTCTCTGCGATATAAAAATCTGGCAACCTTAATCTTGACGCTTTAGCTCAGCTATTGCAAGTTGTTCATAGTTTGAACAGTACATTGTGGGAAATGAACATCGCTTGATTGAGAAGCTTGCTGAAACCGTTGTAGTGCACGATTTGACTCACGTAGAGCTTTGAGTTTCTTGTGAGCGGGCAGTTCAAACTCCTCGTAACCAATGTGAAATATAAACGTTAATATCTTTGTTAGGAGTTGATTTCGGTAATTTTCGTTACGCAAATCGTGTTCTACGTGAAATTCTGGTCAAGAATCATGTATTAGAATGCTTAAATTCGTACCTTGTCTATTGGTCCATTCTTACAGATGTAGATGAGCACCTATTTTCACTTCAATGAAGAATGTTTTCAATCAAATCATACACCAAAGATGGTCCTCGCCCCCTCTTTTGTTTTAATGAAAATCTCATTCAGACTCAGTTGATATTATTTTATTTTTACTTAATTAAGTATGAAATTTGGTTCTGGTCGCTTTCGTTAGTTTCTTTTCCTACAAGAAAAAGAGAAAGTAGTCAGCAAATCCAGGATTGAAATTTGAGAACCATCCAAATTCCAAATGGAATCTCTTCTGTGGAGTCTATATAGGTGAAGTTTCTCCTGACTTTGACCGCTAAGCAGCTTCCTTCTCCTGTTTTGAAAATTTGTTAATCCTACGTATTTTTTCTATTTTCGAAAGATAAAATACCTTTCTGTCTTACAAAGTGTGATTTCAACGAATGTCTTTGTTGTAGGAGCGCTATAATGAGATGCCGAATCCCAAGTTCCTGTACGGATCTCATTATTCAACTCCAGGATTTGTTTTATTTTATTTGGTGAGAAAATACCCTCACTATATGTTGTGTCTTCAAAATGGTCGCTTTGATCATCCTGATAGAATGTTTAACAGGTAAATGAAAATGTTTTTCTGCTGGCTGCTTGTTGAAAATGATAGACAGAGCGATAAACAAAGAAGACAAAAAGGATATGGAGGGATCCTATTGGTGTAAGTGGGGGATTGCAATGGACAAAGGAGGTAGGCAATAAACTAGCTAAGTGCAACCCACCGGAGAGCCTATAGTTAGTCCATCCTTTTCTCCCTTGGTCCATAAGAAACACTCATTTCAACCCATAGGATTGCTCCATACTTCTAATGCCTTCTTTGTCTATTGCTTTATTTATCAATCTCAAAAATCAACCTGCTGCTTGTCTTAGTTTCTTAATCTTTTTTTAGCCTTAAAGTTACAGGTTTAGTAATTTGGGTTAGGTTCATTATCGACAACTCTTCGAGTTTTGAGTAAAAGAGTCAAAGAAAATTTTGTTATCCTTTTCAAACGATTATTATTATCTTAAAATTAAACATATTGGTTTAAAAATTCTTGCCAATTCCTAGTACATAGCTTTTAAAATTCTTGCAATGCTTTAGCTTATATTGGTAAATTCATTGGTACAATGAATGTTAACAACTTCACTGATTTTTCCAACCAAGCCTATCATTGTTAAAATTAATTCCATGAAAATGTTTTTTTCCTACTTTTTTTCTCCTCTTTTTTAATTAAAATAAATTCCAGATCATTATGGTTTAATTAATTATCACATCAACACTTTTGTTGGTACATTACTTTTTAGTGAATTTTCCAAAGGAAATACACTATTTTCACCCTTTTATTTCATGTGTTCATGGATTTTGTGCTCTTTTCAGTATCCCAGACATGTGGAGAAATGTACTAACTAATATGTCTGACTTCAAAGAGCTAGTTCCTGAATTTTATGATTCCTCACAAGAAGGCGACTTTTTAGAAAATCGTTTCGGAATCCACTTTGGTTATAGGCATGATGGAAGTCGTGTAAATGATGTTGCGTTACCTCCATGGGCTTCTGGTAAGCGTTTTGAAAATGTCCCCATTTTTTTAAAGGGTGTTTGCGAGTCCTGAAATTTTATGAACTGCAATTTAAATGCGGAAATGTCTAAGTAAGTCAGTAAGCACCTAAAAAGTGTCAGCGTTATACAAATCGTTTAGAACTGTTTAGATTGTATGTGTTAGTTAAAGTGGTAATTTAGAAAACATGAATATTATGGTTTTGCCAAAGTGCTGTTAAACAAGATACATGAACATCAGATACATTATTTCCCTTGCTGACGCATTTCAGGAATTTTGTCATCTTAAAAGCAAATGTACATGAGACAGAAAGAAGAACATAATAAGATAAACATATTTCATAACTTAAAGTATAACTATCAGTATCAGGCAAAAAACAAAAGGACAAAATATAACATACAAGTTGACAAGTTATACAAAATAGTGAACATAATTATAAAACCATGTAACTATGCTCGAACGATGATCCCAAAATAACTCGTATTTTCATCTAGTTTACTGAAAGTCATCATTGCAAATTCTTACTGCAGTATTTTTTTTTTTTTTGCTATGTCTAAATCTAGCTTTCTTTTTCTCTCTTACAGTGTACCATTTTTGTTTTTCTTATTTACAGGACCAAAAGATTTTGTCACAAAGCTTCGGAGTGCGTTGGAATCTGACTACGTCTCAGCACATTTACATCACTGGATTGACCTAATTTTTGGGTACAAACAAACAGGTGTTGAAGCTGAGAAAGCAAATAATTGTAAGTAGTATGACGGGTGTTGGGTGGTTTAGAAACAAGGCTTTCTTTCACCAATGTCAATCAGAGGTGCAAAAAATCTGGCTCTGAAAGACTTAAGTGCAATGAAAGAAATAACTTGAAAAGCCTCATCTTTCTTTTAAAAATGCCATAATATTGTTTTCCTTTCAAATGAGATACACGTAAAATCCAAAGCTACATGTGGCGAATGTCTCATTGTTCCATCTAATCCCTCTGCCTACGGATTTGAAAGACAGTTACGCTCAATTAATGCAGTAATTATTAATTAATGTTGGTAGAATTCTTGATTAATTAGCTGAACATTACGTATAAGGAGAGCTCTGTACAAATTTTGTCATTGAATCCTCATTTCAGTTGCAATTTCTTTTGAAGCATCCTCAGTAATCAGGAAATATTTTTCATGATTTTTTGAGTGGCGCAAGCTGCATATTGCCATGCTGTACTCATTTCGACAAAAATTAAAGCGTACACAGCCTCTCTTACCATAATACTTTGCCAAATTACTGATCAACAAATAGACTTGTGCACGTAGCCCCTCTTTCTCTAGATCCTCCTTTCCTCTTCCGCCTTTTGTTTTTCCAGCACCGATTAAAAAAAATTTGACTGCACTGTACATGTCTTTTCAAATATTTTTTATTAATTTGTTGTAGTGTTTTATTACTTGTGCTATGAGGGAGCGGTCGATTTGGAATCAATAACCGATTGGAATCAGAGGCATGCCCTGGAAGTGCAGATAATGGAGTTTGGTCAAATACCAAAGAAAGTTTTTTCAGTTCCACATCCTCCTCGCTCCACTACCAACATCTCTAGTATTACATCCAACATTACACCTTGCCCAGGTATGTAATTGGGTCACCTTTCTCCTGAATTCTTCTTCTTACAAAAGTTACAAATTCCAGAAAGATGTCCCTTTGCTCCCTGGAGGCAGATTTAAGTTTTTCTCATCTACAATATCTCCAAAATTTTAAAAATTGCCCACTCGAAGAAATTTCAAGTTTGAAGACTTGTGCCTGTCTCCCCTTCTGTGTGCAAAAGAACAGAAAGAAAGGGAGCGAGAGAGACGGACAATGCGCATGTGTTGCTGCTGCCTAGCGGAAATGGGACTCGAAACCATCTTGCAGCTCGCTTGCAAGAACGGTCGGCTGGAACAATAAGGCTGGAAATTTTATGAGTTAAGTAAACAGAATAAAACTTGAACCGTGTTTGTTCGTTTCTTCAGGCAGGCCAGCGAGGAGTTACAATACACTATCTGATAGAATGAACGCTCTAGTGAAAATCAAATGGTGACTGGGTGCCTCAATTTAATTTTAAACAACTGCCACTTTTTTCCTGAATACTTGACGGCTTCATTCTCAAGTTTGTAAATTTTAGTATTACAAACTTCATGTATAGTGGTTTTGATTATCTCACAAGGGTTAGAAGAAATCTAAGTCAAAGGATAAAACTCTAATCGACTCCTTTCACTTTTCCTGTAGAAACATTTATACTCACATTAAAATGTTCTGACAGGTATCACGCAAGCAAATGGTTATTGGGGAAGTGTTGAAACTCTGAAACCGTGTTTGAAAGCCCTTACGCACAGAGAAGCTGTGACAAGTACAGCACTGACATCAGATGCCCGACTTGTACTGTCTGTTGGAAGAGACACAGTTCTTAAAATGACAAATGTAGCAAGTGGAAAACTGGAGCGAAGCATCATTCTTTCTTCAATGACTCTTTCATCTGTTATTATTCTCCCTGACGACCTGACAGTTATTGTTGGATCGTGGGATAGCACAATCATTGTTTATGATATTAAATGTGCCCGTACTATTGACACAATTCATGGTCATGAAGATGCAGTCTCTTGTATCGGCTGGAACCAAGAGCGGAAAATTCTCATCACAGGTAACTTTTTAAGTAATAGTACTATCTCTTGCAGAAATATGTAAAATTTATCGATAGGTCTTTTTTCTCATGAAAATTTCCAAAAGCTAACTCTATTTTCAGTATCATGATAACTTTTCAACAGCTAAAGAGCAATATTGTAGTATTCTTGCTTATTTTGTGTGCCTTTCATCAAGCAGTGCATGGCTAGAAACTTGTTGTAAACTTCTCAAATTTTGAAAAAGTTCTCCTCTTTACGAGAGTCTCTAATTTAAAAATTGTTAAAGTTACCACATTTCAAAGATGGCAAGGGAAGAGAAACCTTGGAGTTTTTTCAGCTTGTCTTATAATATAAAATGTCAAGACGGGGGACGCAAAAAATTCGAGTATTTTATGGAAAATAGAGTGCAACAGAATGCAGTTGGCTATGTAAAAAGTGGAAATGGCAATAGCCATAAAATCTATGACAGAATCTGACATGTTGGCATGCAAGCTCCGTCTGTCACGCAGAATAGAAAAATCACGGAAATTCTTGAGAATTGACTTTGAGTTGTTCTTTATTTAAATGATAAAGTATGATAGGAAGTTTGCACCGTTGCAAAGCAAGATATATGGTTTGGGAGTTTATACGCCGGTATTCATATTACTTAGCAGGGAGATGTACACTCAGCTTTTTGATCATACAAAAACAATCCTCAGGGGCTGACAAGTACTGTTTCTAAAACGGAACAAAAGTAACATAAATGAACAATATCAACATTTTGTATAAAATTTAAGTTTGGAATGAAAATTTGACTACAAATAAAGAGAAAAATTAACAGTAATGATAACAATCTTGTGAGCATCAGAAATATCGATAGTGATTATGTTTCTTTTCGGTATTTGTTAGAGTCCAAACCCAATAGCAGTAAAATGCGAACAAACTAGTCAAAACTAGTTTTAACTTACAATTAGTCCTATAGGTAAAATCCGAACTATATTTTCATTTTGGGATTTCATGAAAGATTTGTTAAAACTAGGTTTGACAGCGGGCAATTATTTAATTAGAAACCGTTTATTTCCATTGGGTTTTTTTAGCAGCTTTTAGTTGTAACTTTAGTTTTTACCGTGTACTCGGATTTTTTGTCGGCCTCCTATGGTGTAGTGGTTGTAGCGCTAGCTCTATGATCGGGAGGTCCCGGATCCGATTCTTGGCCAGGCGACCCGAGTTTGATGGTCTCAAACATTGCTTGGGACTCAGTAGGGATGGAGGGGAGGGGCTTGACTGAAGCGCAGGATTAGCCCTTGTAGGCTATTTGAAGTAGTAAAAAAAATGTGTTTCGGGTTTGGACTCTAAAATAGTAGTATACAACAGTAATCAAGTCGTGGATGGAGAAAATACTAGAATATTCAATGGTGCAATTGAAAAAAATCCTAAATCAAATTTCCCACCCCCCCATTTCAATCATTCAATGGAGAATTTGCAAGGGTCTGAAATTTGATGAATTTCCTGTTTAAGTGGAATCCTCTGAGTGAACTGAACACGAAGATACCCTTGATTCATAAATTGAGCAATTATTAGAGGAGATATGACAAAATAACCGATTCCGCTAAAATACATGTGTTTAAATGGGAAATGCCGCCAGATGACGTCACAAGGCGGCACATTTTCTCACTTTTAAATCAATTTTTCTCCAATTTCCCATGTCAGAAAAAAATTATGAAAAATATTGCGAACTCAGCTCATTAGGCACTTTCAGATGAAGCAATAAAAAAATTGCGTGCAAATTCTCCATTATTTACACTGAGTTTATACCTCCAGGTTCATGGGACTGTTCGGTACGGATTTGGCAGGCGCAGTATCCATGGTCACCAATCAAAGCGGCTTCGACACGTCTTGCCAACCTGGACCATGATTCACGCGTGAAGTGCCTCAGTATCTGTGAAACTTTAGTTGCAAGTGGAACTGAGGACGGTGAGCTGTTTCTGTGGTCTCTTGACTCTTTTCGTTTGGTCAAAGAGCTTCCATCTCATTTTGCTGCCGTGAATGACATCTGTTTCAGCCCGGATGAAACAAAACTGATATCATGCTCTAATGATCAGTGGTTCAAAGTGTTTGATCTCAGCTCCGGGCTCGAGGTTTATGCTAAGATGCTCGAGCAAGAATTGATGTGTCTGGCATGGGATGGGCTTAATCTCCTTATTGGAGATACGATTGGGGCCTTGTATGTCTTTGATTTGAAGACCGCTACGATTAAAGATAAAATTGAAGCGCATAAAGAGGCAATCCTCACTTTGGCTGCATCACCATGTAAGCCAGTAGTCGTGTCTGGTGGCGAGGATCATAGAGTCATAATATGGGACCGAATAATTGCTCACTAGTTAATTTCATCTCAATAACCATTTGAGTAATTTTTTTTCCATATCTGTTTAAACAGACTATTCATTTATGCGGTCAAATTAATGAGTCCTGATTTGTTTCAAGTATCTGAGGATGTTAAGTGGTAGCCCAATAGTAGGAGGGAAAGAAATAACCCTTTTGTTGGTTTTTTTATCTTTCAAATTGAATTATTACGTGTCGAAACTCCTTAAACAAAACAATTTATCTTGTCTTAAGCAATGGGTCAGTTGAGTCCTTTTTCTTTTTGGTATGTGTCATTCAAAAGTTTTAAGTGATCGTAGTTTACTTTTTCAGAACGACAACTGGGAGAAAAATGCAAAAAATTAGGGTAGCGGAAAAAGGGGTTTGAACTGCGCGCCCTTTGATTTTTAATTTATGCGTCACAATGAGAAAGAACTTATAAGAAAGAATACACTGCGACATCGACAAGTGTTATTGATCTGCAGAAAGTTAAGACTAGGTTGTGAGATTTTGACTAATTCAGCTGTCAGCTAAGGTATTTATCGGATTTCCTCATTGCTGCATTCACTAAGATCCTTTCTTTCAAAATGTTTAAAGATTATTCAAACCCCAAAAAACTAACCTAACTTTGAATGAGATGTCAATAATGATTTGAATGGCAGCATTAAAAGTAGTTAGTAAATAAGCAAGCAGCATCCTCCCCCTCCCTCCCTCATTTCTCTATCTGTAATGCGTAAATTTAAATTGTGATGGCGGTAATGAATGGGACGCTTTTTTTTATGATGAATTTTTGGTATGATTTTGTGTGTGATTTCACCATACACATCGTTTTTCTTTCGAAAACTCTGTAAATCAACTATATCCAGCCCAATCCCTCCCAAAGTCAACTGACTTATTTATACATAAACTTCATACGTAGTAGCATGGTTTAATTGTCAGTGCCGCCAAAAATAATTGTGTGAACTCAATGGATACCCTTTGATGCTTGTGAGCATGTGGTTTTTTTTAAAAAAAAACTGGACTGCATGGATTGAAGCTCATCAGGTGTCAATTTACCATTATATGTTTTCTCGTCTAAGCTCAGTTGCACAGAAAAGTTGAGTATCTTATACAGTTCATTGCATTGTTTTCTCCCAAGTTGTTGTTTTGTAAACGAAACTTTTTCCAACTTTTTTGCTCATTTAGATTGGTTAATATCTCCAAGTGCGAGTAGGGGTTTTTGATATATCCTTAGCACCCGAGACTTGAATAGAATTACCCTTTGATTTATTAAAACCTTTCGGTTATTGAAGTTATCACTGTAGCAGTCACTTACCTAAAAATTTTTTACACCAGCGTCCGGGCAAATGATAAAAGAATGAAACAAAAAAACGTAAAGAATGTAAATATTTGAATAATGAAGTTTTAGAACTTTAGTCTCTTAGACTCTAAGTTTTTTTTGTTATTTTGAAAGAAGAAACCATTAATTTATCTCATATGAAAACTATTTAGAAATCATAGGTCAAGAACTGTAGACGCGACTCATGGAATTGGGCTGCATTTATACCATATTATGTCAGAAACTTGGGAGTTTTCTAAATATATACTGTTTTCAGATGGTAAATTATCCCTGGCGTAATGAAGTTCTTCCTAGTTCAAAGGATTTGTTAAATCCAACTCAAAAGAATTTAGATCTTAAAAAAAGGGAAATATTAGGCTGAAACTTCTTCATTTGCGGAGGAAATGGATTGATGATTTTTCCCCCTTTTCTCTCACCCCCTGTAATTCCAATATCAGCCTATCATTCTGTGCAAATTTTTGCCTTCGTCCGAACCAAATTCACAAGCCTTGTAGATGTCTCTCCCTGCATACCCTTTAACTAAAATAGAAAGGGTGATTCTCTGTCAATGATCCCTCACTCTCATGTCAACAGATGCTAAGTCTTTGATCCAGCCAATTTAAGTGAGTCCCTGGCACTTCATTAAATGTTGGAACCACCCAGTGAGAGCAGTAAATTTTTGGATTTAAGTTGTCAGTGTAAAAATCAGCCAGTGTGCTCTTGTCTGTAACTCTTGTCAGTTTCAGAAGTCGTAGAGCAGGCCCACAATCTTTTTGCTGGACCGATAAAACGTAATGTTGTCTCTGGAAAAACTCTGTGAAGAAGAATGTTCTATGGCGACAATTTTCACATGGTTTCTCTGGAGAGTTTGGGTAATACTTGGAAAATAAATGTATCCAGAAAAACGTCATCATGGGATGTGACTGGAATAATTGAAAAACATTCACAGGCCATTTTTTGAGAATCTTCTCAGTTTATGTTGCTTGAACCCTTCCCCTGTAAATCATTTTGTTTTCCAGTAAAACTTTATATCTATTGATTAACGTGTTTATTTTTAACTTAAATTTTTAAGTGTTGAAGTTTGCATTAAGATGTTTTATTGATATTTTTCTGAACCTGCCGTATTTTTATATTGATTGTATTTTTTGAACTATCTCATTTTTAACTAATAGGTCTCCAGAAGCTCCATGTACTTATGATGATAACATATTCTTTATCGTATTGTGATAATTTTTTCATCAGCGCTTCCTTTCATATCATGGGCTGGTTTTACCCCTCTCCAGTCTTATAAAATTTGTAATTCATAGAATGGATAATTGCGGTAAGTTTTGTGAACTAGCATTTTAAGAACTATTAGTTTTCAATGTAAATGTTACTCAAATCAAATGGCTCATTTCATTTCATTTCATGTTATTTACATGAAGTTCGTCTCTTTCTCTTGCAAAAAAATGTTTTTATTTCATTTTGGGTCTCGTCTAGCAGCTGAGTTAAGTTTCTGTTATTACCTAATCGTGCGTAAAGCTTCAACTTCCTTTAAACCTCACATTTATACTCACATGATGCGTTTTTTCACTTGATCAAGTTTTGATTTTCATCTTTTACCATGATGGAAAAAATAGAAATCTCTATCTGAGAGATAGAGATGTTCTCTAAAATAAGCAAAGATGAGCAGTAATTCGATATTTTAAATGAGATTAATCACTTGAAGTACAGTTCGACCTGTCATTCGGATGTAAAAATATGCATGTGTAATAACTGGGTCATAAATCTGTATCAGCAGCTCCGTAATGAAAGATAGGTTTTTTAATGACTCTCATTCTCTGATGAAGGATGTATACCTGAACTTGATCATCCTCAGGTCATAGATTTACGATATGTTTGGCAGGGCAACTCGCATTTTGATGACAAGCGATGATTTTTTGAAAGGAAAACTCACTCTTTTGAGGTTCTACTGGACCAAATTCAATGTTGTATAACTCAATAAAAAGTCGAGAGGGTGCGAGTGGTTTTCAGATATTTTTTACTGATTGTCTCTTCCTATAATAATTTAGGAGATGTGAAATCTTGAAATTTACTTTTTAAACGACTTTCATTAATAAACAATACTCCATCTCTGGATAATACTTTGATTTCTTTTTTTTGTATGGAAGTTCCTGTAGAAATTCTCCCTAAAATGAATATATTTTTTTGATTAGTGTGAATGTGATAAAGTACCTACTACACCTCAAGTTTCAGGAGGTAGCAAAAATTAATTTTTGCCTTATAGTTTTATTTTTGGTGTAATTTCCGTAGGAAATACAATATTGCGTTTTAAAGTTGTTTTATCATTATTATATTGTTTCAGTTTTCTAGTCGTATTAAGTAATCTTTATTATTTTAGTTTTAAATGCCCTTGTACCTTGTTATTAACAAATTCTTCCCAATTAAATTCTCAAGAGAGAAACTGTCAAAAATTGAAATGCTCGTTTCAATGTTGACTTCTGATGTTGGTCTTTCAAATATTTTACAGTTTGGTAGGTAGTTTTTGTCAGTGGTGAACTTGAAAATTGTAAAAATCACACTTGAAACCATGCAGTTCAAATTAGTCGTTGAATGAGGAAATTCATGTTTTCTTTTTTATTGAATTTCATTTTGAAGTAATTTTACATTTTTTGTACGTTTTTAATATTTCCTGCTCAATTTTTTTGGCTTTAAAGCTCTCTCAACAAGTCCTGTATCTTTGTAAGCTCTTTATGAATGATCTGCTTTGTGAATGAAAACTGTTATCTTCCTGGATGTTTCAACTTCACTGTGAGATATTTTTCATTAAAATTACCTGTATAGTTGACAATTGAATTTATAAATATTTCTGTTTCATCTCTTCAGGAAAATTAATTGTCAAGGCACAAAATAAAATTGTTTTTACTCAGTTTATACTGTTTTGCTATTTATTCTAGTACCTTTTATTCTTACGTGAGTTCAACAGTAGTGATCTAAAATCCAATTCGCCACGTAATCATGTTTCTGAAGGTAATCTTGCAACTGGAGCAAAGTCTAGGTAGTTAAAAATACTTTTTCTCAAAACTCCAACGGGCCATAAATTCTTAGCAGAGAAGGAGAATGTAGCCTATTTAGGTCTGCATTTTCCTCAGATGGTTGTCCCCTCAAAATTTGCATTATCAAGTGCAACTTAATTTGATTTTGTGGTGTGTAAAAAAAAGAACAGGTCTGAGGGTTCACTGGTAATTAAACCAATACTGTTGATCTAGGTATTATCACAAATCTTAGATTCGATTGGACATATTTCTATCAAACGGAACTAAGCGCCAATTTGAGTTCCTTTTGAGGAATTTAGAATCCCGGATAGCGCGTTCTGTCAAACGGACCTAAGCGCCATGGAAAAGCACTGCGAGTATAGTGCGAAATAAGCCGGACGCCCGATTCCGCCGCCAATCCAAGCCCCCCTCTACCTTCCTCATCCCATGGCGCTTAGGTCCGTTTGATAGAAATACGTCTAATTTTGAAATACCTACTTCATTGTAGTCAGTTTAATTGAAGATGGCTAATAAGAACAACTTTTCGACAAAATAAAGGGATGAAAAAAACCAGATGTAAAGCAAATATTTTCAAGGAAGATTTTATTAAAGAAAGTAAATTTAATACCTAGGGGGGGTTTAGGGTGGATCTTCAGCTTTTGCACAATGCATTCTAGGTGTGATTGATATATCCCAAATTCCAACCTGGGTGAATTATTTTGGAAAAATCTAAATCTCAGTCTGCAGATAAATCATTGAAGAATGTTCTAACTGAATATTGCCCTCCGGAATCTTAAAACAAAGTCAAAAATACTGTTTCCAGTTAACGATATCGATACGTACACTGAACTTGGTTGCAAAATGGAAACGGTGTGCTTTTGACTTTACTTCCAGATTGTGGAGAATGATTTCCGGCGGGAACATTCTTCAATGATTTATCTACAGACTGAACTATCGATTTTCCCAAAATAATTCTCCTGAAGATTGAAATTTGAGATGTATCGATTGTACCCAGAATGCATTGCGCAAAAGCTGACGACCCACCTTAAAACTTTCTTGGAAGAGAGCAACCAGAAAATATCACAAGTTCCATGAAGGTGAACTAACCTCTACATGATCAATGTTTTATTCTGATGACCTCAATTCTACATACTTTTCATTCATTCATTCATTATCAATTTTATGCGTGACTGAATTAAAACACTATGTTTTTGCACAATTCCCCTGGAAAGACTAGGGGAAAAAAACAGAAATTTTCACCGATACAACCTAAGACTTGGCATGGCACAATATGGCTACAGTCTTTGAGGGAAATGAAGGAAAATAATTTTTTTCGATTTTGAGTGAAAAGCAGAGCATGCATCTCTTACAATTAATACTGCTGTGCTGCCTATTATCTTTAAGGGACCCTCACCATTAAAATTATTGTAAAAATGATAGTTGATAATGTTGCTGAGTCATATTTGCCACAAATATCATTTAGTTGGATTCAGTGTGTGCAAGAAAGGTATTAAAAGCCAACTCTCTCTTACACATCGAGTCAAGGAGCAATCCTCGTTATGAGTATCCGAAATAAATTTTCAAAGTATCTTGTCAAATTTGATGTTATTTTTACTCAGTATTAGTGCTGCTAAACATAATGGATCAGTTTCTGGAATTTACTTGTACATTACGATAATAAACCGTGAGGCAGGGCAACATAGTGGCGGATCTTATACCTAGATCACTTAGAATCACCTCAAAGATTCTAAACATAAGATATTTCTTCACTGGCAGAATAAAATTCAAAATGACTCAGAAATGTCTGACTCGCAGCAAGCACAGTCTGATATGTTAGTGCAGCCAGTTTCCTTGAATATGCGAGCCAAAATTATGAGGATAGAGCTGAGAAAATGGTTGAGATGATTTTTGCTGTGATCTAACTTACTGCTAAAAAACCAGAGGTCATAATGGATTAAAACAGTTCTTTTCATGACGCAAGAGAGTTACATTCCGTGATTTCATACATTCTGCATTCCTAGAATGCTAATACATACAGGCCTTGTGAAATGCCACGCAATTTTTTGCAATAAATACAAATAAATCATTATTTGATTTATTGAGCAATCTTACAGGTACTCAGTGATTTACTTGAAAACAATTACAATGCCTTATGTCAGTACTTCTATTACAGAAAGGCCTGGTACAATAAGTAGGTGAGAATTTTAACTGTGTATGAGAATAATCAGTGAGTGCCTCCTTTGGAAATTTTCTCTGTTACACATTCCTTCGGGATCTTCTAACTCTGAAGTGAACCTCCAAATGTCTTTTTATATCATGTATTTTTTTAAATTTTCCTGGACAGTGAGCACAGTGGAACAAGAAATCTTTCGTGGAGTGAACTTGAGACAAGTGTTGCTTCAGGAGGGATTCGAGTCTGAATTTTTGTGGACATAGAGGGCAGGGATATTCATGAAAGTGAACGTTACTCAAATGTTTTTTAACTTTTTTCTTTGAAGCAAATGTATCCGAACAGTAGGCACAAGCATATATACCATGATTAACATGAATGTGCTCTCTTACTTTAACTTTGGAGGAATATTTTCTTGAACAGTGGGGGCATGGAAACCGAAGTTTTGGTGGAATTTGTTTCTTTTTAGGGTGGTATTTCAAATGACTTCTTAATTCTCTGTCAGTTTTACAATGCCTAAAACAAATGGTGCATTTGTGAATTGAATGGACTACCACATGTTCATTCAGATCTTCAGCCGAGTCAAATTGTTCTGAACACTGGGGGCAAGGGTGAGATGGCTCTTGCGATTCTTTCTTTAACACAGATTCTCTTTCCCAGGCTAAGGGATCCACTTCAGATTCGTCCATCAGGCTTAAATTATCTGAACAATGAAAGTATGTATGTACATCTGATAAGTTTGCTTTCATATTAGACTGAGGGACAGGAGAAAGAGGTGGAAGATTCACCGTATGAATCTCAGCTGGAACCAAAGGACGAAGAACTTCCATCTGATTCCAGCTGGCAGGTAAAGAAGACTCATCACAGTCTGTGTGCACAGACTTCCCACTGGAGTAAAGACTTGGTTCCTCCGGTGGAGTAATACATATTCTGTTAACAGCTACTTCTGAAGATACCAGGTTTGGCTTATTCTCACTGAGAACCTGGATAGAGCTGGTGAGTGGTCCAAGCTGTGGTTCTACTTTAAATTGGAGATGAGCACCTCTGGTACTGGCGCAATCAATTCCTGAAGTTTCACTGCTACACAGCTTTGCAAAACAACCACTTGGATGACTGCCATCCTCATTGCTTTCACACTTGATATCGAAATTTTGGTGGATGAATTCTTCTTTCAGGTCAAAAAGTGGCTCCTCTTTGATATCCGCTTTGAGATCCATTTTCAACAAGTTTTTAGAATCAAGCGATTACCAATGAAGAGTTCTCACGAAAAAGTCTGCAATCCTAGAGGCTCATCAGTTTTCACCTGAGGGCAAAGGTACAATTCCGATTAAAAAATCTGAGGTTGAAATATAGTTTAGCTTTTCCATTTGAAAAAGCAATAAAAATCTAATGGCGATGACAGAAATAAAATATTAAAATGGAAACAACTAGAGTTAACCTGATGAAACCTAGAAGAAAAACCCTAAATAGTAGTAAAACAGAAAAAGTAAAAACTGCTTCACCCAGTACTTTCGCGGGAGAGATTGGCACTCAATACAACTTTGATGAAAGAAAATCTGCTGCAGTGCATTCACTATAAGAAATCCTATTCTGATTGCCTGGAAATAGATGATGAATAGCTTAGTTGTCATCAGATAGGTTGACACTTGTTTACATTCTGCTTGCAAGCGATTGTGATGGAATTGCCTCATTGTGATTAAGGGTTGACTGCAGCCCAATCATGAGCGTAGTCAATCCTCAATTTCCATTGAACAACTGCTTTGCGGTTGCATGTGAATGGACTGGAAACACAACCAACATAGTTGACAACACCTCAATCAATGGTGGAACGGCAGGAACTTGTATCTTGGTTGGGATGTTGCAGACTTGCAGTCTTACTTGATTATACAAATGGAAGAATACTAAACATCATTCGTTAAAAACTTCCTGATTTTCTCTTCTCCGTAGGAAGAAATATCTAAGAAAATTCCAAGGAATGGTGCTGATTTGTTCTTTGAAGAAGAAAAAATGAGAGCCAAAATTTTGAAACCAGGGATTTGAAGTGCCTCACGAGGTTATGCCGTACAGCATAGGCTCACAGCATCAGCATTAATGTTGTATGCCCAGGTGGCGGCCCTGCGCCTAATGCGCACGACCCACCAGCGCCGGCTTCGATGCCCAATGCTGACGTGCCAGCCCGGCCAGCATTAAGCGCTGATGCTGAGGTTTGATGCTGCCTAAGGGACCAAAATGGGCTTCACCTTTTGATGCTGGGGCCTCGGCTCTCGGTCCAATGCAGCATCAATTTTCGGTCCTGCGACCCAGCCTCATTACTGTCGGCCCACACCTTGCCGGGAAGTCCCAAGAAGTGGACGCCGAGGAGGGGTTGAAAACACAGCCCGGTGCCATTAGCCACCTGGCCCAGGGCGCTGGCGTCCGACTTGTCTAAATGAGGCTGCTTCACTTTTGACACTGGGTACCCAGCATCAAAATTGATGTGGCATCAGGAAGTCAAGCCAGGTGTCAGCTTCACCAGGTTAAGCCGCCTCATGGGCAAATGCAATGCTCCAGCGCACTGTCTGGTGCGCCAGATACCTGCCTTGCGCAGCGATGCCGCTCCGTTTATGATGCTGCCTTAAACCGCAGCTCTAGATCCCAGTTCGAAACACAACAAATGGAATAGGAAACAAACAAATACAAATGGAAACCTATGCGTTCCTGCAGTTTCACCATCGCTAGAAAAGGCCATTATGTGCTTGCGCTTGCTCTGATTGACTGGCAAAGAGGCAAGTTGGTAAGAAATAATACATACTTACATTCTTAATATTAATATCCGTTTGAGCAAGTCCTGGAAAATTTGAATAATTATTCTATTCCAAGTTGACTGTCTCCCTGAAGGTCCAGAGCAGAATGTTCGATAAGGTCATCGTACAGAAGTTGTTGTTAGTTTATTGTTTCAGCTTATTTCTTTGGTATTTTTTGGTAGAGGAGGGGGCTGAGAGTCCGGGTTTTAGCCTTACAATTAGTTAAAAAAAAAAAAAAAAAACAATCACTGTAATTATTTCAGTCTGTTGTTAGTGTTATCACGTTGTCGCTGTTGTTGGTTGTTATCACACACAATGTTGTCACAAATTCTGCTTATCAGCAATGATCAGCAGTTGGTGTTGGATCAGCACATCAGAAAAATGATGGCTGATGTCCCGATGAGTCCCGACTTATATTTCCCCTCTTTCCTCCTCGCTGACCTTTTTTTATCCCTTCCCGAATTGCCGGATCCCCTCTCCCTTCCTGCTGTTTGCATGTTTTAGGTTATCTATCTGTGTAGTTTATTTTTGTTGTCTCTTTTGCGATTGATTATACAGATTTGTCATCCGTGCGAGCTGTAATCTTTCGTTTATTACATAATTGTTAGTGTAAACTTGGACATTTTCGCATCATGGAAGATGATGTGTTTGAAATTCCTTTATCTTCATTATCTTGCGAAAGACTGGATGATGATCAACACATTCTAATAGCAAATTCTTTATCCGATGAAACCTCTGACTTCATTCGCCCTCAGGATGATTTAGTGTCTTCGGATGATATCCTCAGGAATGGTGTTCTAATCCAGACCAGCAAAGGGTATTATTCAACTTACTTACTTACCTCTTATTTCACTCCTTTTTATTTGCCTATGCAACTTATTCACCTTGTGTTTACAACGTCAAGCCACACCTGTTTACATGGGCTCCATGCGGGTCTCAAGGAGCTCATTGCTGCTTCGTGTCTTTTGCCTCTAAAGTATAGTTCCTGAACTTCGTGTCAAGGAGTAGTAAAGTATGTAATGATTTCACAATGGAACAGCCAAACTCTTGAATATAAACTTGAATATACTTTGCAACACAGCGAGATAATACCTCAGATCAGTTCATTATACTATTCACTTACTCTTTTATTCTAGCTGTACATAATTGAGTGGTGATCTTTAGCATCGCCCGTAACCTCTCTGTGAGGGTGGTATCACGATAACTGGAATAATTTGGTCGCAGCAATAGATATCACATTTTTCAGTCATATTTTTGTTGTAATGATAATCACTCAAATTTTTTTGCATTAATCTACACAGGGTTACGTGTTATAACGCTTTTCAATGATTTGTTACTCTATTTTTCAATTTTAATATATAAATGGCTGAAAATGTGCTGTCTGTTACGCTGACTTTTTACTGTGTAAGAGGCAGCACATTTTCAGCCATTTATGTATTAAAATTGAAAAGTAGAGCAATAAATCATTAAAAAGCATTATAATATGTAACCCTTTAAAGATTAATGCGAAAAAATTCTAGTAATTATCATTAGTATTGAAAATATGATTGAAAAATGTGTTGTCTGTTACGGCGACAAAACTATTCCAGTTATCGTGAAACCACCCATGAGCTCCAGTATGCGTTAGGTGATTCAAGTAATGTTCCAACTTTGGTCTCGCAACACCTTGTCACAGAATTTCAAGATCACAAATCCTAGTCTTTTCAGCCTCAGTGTTTCTCAGTAACATTTCTCTGAAATCAAGACGTATTTAACTCTTTTTCTTTAACTAATCTAAGTCCCAAAACCACTGAAACTCAAACTAGTGAAATCAAATATTTAATTAACTTTATAGATATTCAATTACAATTTGATTGATTACCACTTAATTTCATCAAATAAATGACAAGGAAGGTGTAGTACTTGCCAAAAAGGAAGTTTCATAGTACACTTTTCTGCAAAAGTTGTGTTGAGAGTGCTGCTGCTTTAGGAGTTTGACAAAATTGACAGGGTGCTTCAACTTTTTTAGGCTCCACAATTATTGAGGCCCTAAATTGTCAGGGCAATGAGAAGGCAGAACATTGATTCTCTAACTAGCTTTAAATAAAATTTCTCAAAATGAGTTGTCGCCTGACTGCCATTGTCATATTAATATGATGCATCCATTAATAGTTTATATTGATTTTGAATTCTTGAGCAATTGTATTATGGGACGTCTTGGTCAAATTTTTAGCACCAATTTTCTGAAATGTGTTAATGTTATACACTTATATTAAGACAATCACATAATAATTGTGTAATAGACTTCATGATTTTATGAGAATAACAAATTCTGTTGTGCTGCCGTTTCCCATTGGCGCATTGGCTCTTTCTCTTCAGCCTATTCTATAACTGCTGGTTGGGTTTTATGTGTCAAAGTATTTTCATCAGATAATTATCTCCTTTTTTACAGAATAGAGTGGATTTCATTAACAGAAGCATTGACAAGTGAAGTTGGAGATTTGAACTTATCTGTTGAAGATTTTCATAGTGTAACTTCGCAATTTTTCGATTCTCAAGACTTAACTGATCACTCCGATGATCAGTTTGATTTTCATCATCTTGCATCGCCATTGGTATGAGTCTTTGATACACTATAAACTTTTCAATCTTATATAAAGGATGATCTAAAATTCCCGCACAACCCTTGAAAGCCCCTTTTACTCCTGTTCAGGGGAGTCTCTTTTACCCTTTCCGGTCCAATGTCGGATATATTCGCCGTGAAAAATAATGCGTTTAGGTCCGATGTCGGATATAGTCGCCCGAAAGTTTTAACCTCTGTGCAGGCCTGATGTCGGGTATATTCAACTGCTCCAGCAAGTGGCGGCCTCTGGTGGACCCTTTGGAAATCACTGTCTTTGTTGACAACATCGCTGCTACCTTAACCTCGCTTCTCGTGGCCGTGGAAAACTGCTGCGGACCGGAAAGGGTTCAATATTGGGGGTTCCGAAAATTTGTTTTCTTAGACCTAAAAGTACTTACAAAATTACACGTCTCTAACTCAGTTTATTATAAAATTACAGGGGTGATGCCTAGTGCTGGTGGCTCCAGACTTTTGGATCACCCTGTAGGACTGTACTTATGTTCAGTTTTCATTCTTGGTCTGAATTGATGTTGAAGCTAAATAATGTAACAAGTTCTTTCCCTTTTCTTTCGCAGTTGGAAAGTATCGAGGAAACTTGTGAAAGTTCAACAGGACTAGAAGACGATGATCTCACACCAGCATGTGCTCCAAAGCTTACCCTTTCACCTACTTCACATTCCCGTCCAAGTACAGCTGACCGATCTGCCTCGACTGCTACCAACTCCGAAAGTAACAACAGCGACTCCTCTACCTTTTCTGTTGCTCCCAATCAGGTTTGTCTTCTCGTGTGTTCATTTTTTATCCAAGGTTACCGGAGGGCCGGGAAAATAAAAGAAAGTCAGGAAATTCGTGACGACAGGGAAAAGTCAGGAAATTTATTTATGCATTGCATGCAAACATAGAGCAATTTGATGGTGTAAGTCGGCAATCACATAACTCGGTTTGCGACATCGCAGACTTCTTGTCATACTTTATTTTTGAAACAGAAAACTACTCAACGGCAATTCTCTAAAACTGCCTTGATTTTTCTTCTCTGTGATAAGAAAATTCTGCAAAAACTTCAAGGAATGATGTCAATTTGTTCTCCTCTAAAAAATAATATAGAGGCAGAGATTTTCAGACATCGCAAACGAGTTATGTGATTGCCAACTTACACCGTTGAATTGCCAAATAAAACTACCAATACCATTTACAGAAGTTTACTTGTACCACATAAATTGATTATAACGGAGTCCTCATTTCAATAATAGCGTTTTAATCACCTTTTGGCTAATTTTATGTTTTTATTATTCTCTAAAACGCCCATGCAGCATAATCTATTCTACCCAAGGCCTACCTACTCAGAGGTCTACCTAGAGGTCGAAAGCTCATTTTAAACTGAGATCCTAGTTAAACTTGGCTCAAGCATGCCAGGCCTAAGTCTAATTTACCCCGGGTTTGCTATCTTTTCCTAACAATGTCGAAAATCAGCCCATTGAAAGGTCATTTAGAGCTGTAATTTAGAGCTTTGTCAACCCCTCCCCCAGGGAACCAGGTCGGACTCTTGAATATTCTGAAGTGTGGAATTTATGTCTATATATGTCAAACCAAAGCCCGGCTTGGGCTCATTTCAAGCTGAAATTCTTGTCACCCCCTTTCCCAGGTGCCAGGTCCAACTCTTGAATTCTTCAGAGTGTGCATTTATTTGTATCCAAGGGAAATGAATAGATACAATCTTGTCATCTCCATACCTTTAAATGTATGTTTAATTATTTGCAGGTGAAAAGGAAAGGTGGTTGGCCAAAAGGTAGAAAACGGAAACCTGAACTCTCAGAAAATCGGCCGCCAAAGGCTCCATCCACTGGCTATGTCCTGTATTTGAATGAGAAAAGAAAATTGTTGAAAAACCGACCATTTCCAGAGGTAAGCCACCATTTTCCCTGTGCATCCTATTCTTTTTACCTTAAAGCTTGTTTGCCTCACGGGTACTATTGTCCCTCCTTTGGCAATTTGTAAGCAATTCGAAATTCCACAAATATGAATCTATTAACCCGCCATGGCATGATTTAATTTTGGATCTCAGATTCTGGGGGACACTAATCTATTTTGTAGCTTGCATAAAAAACATTGAGCGCCAAATTTTTTTTCAATATTTTAAACCCTCGGGAATCAGTTATTCAAAACAAAGAAAAAATTAATGGAAATGCAAAATCATGCCACAGGGGAAAGATTAAATTGTTAAAAACCCAAAAAATACGTTGTTACGAATTTGTTACGCTATGCCATAGAGGGTCAAGTGGAAGAACTCCTACGATACATTATGCTTTGTTTGTGGCTTATATTGAATGCTTTACTGCTGATCGAAACAAGCGTGTTCCATGCAAAGGAGATGATAGAAAAACAACATTTATTTTCCCTCCCCCCCTCCCCCCATCCAGATTTCCTTGAAACTTGGTTGATAGATTACCCATACTTGAGCCCTCCTTTTTCCAAATTTTCAGACCCCTAATAAATTTTGGTTGCTCCAGTTTCAACATTCTTAACTTTTATTTTCAGGTTACCAAAATTCTTGGAAACGAATGGAGTAGAATGAGTCTTGCAAAGAAGAAAGTATATCTAGACAGAGCTGAAAGAGACAAAATTCGTTACAAAGAAGAGCTCAGGAAATACCATAAGTCAGACGCGTACCTCTCATACTTAAGGAGGAAAAGAATAAAAAGTAAGATTTTCCAGTTAATAATAGGAAGGAGCACATCAATTTAATATTGAAAAAAAAGTCAATCCATCTGAATGACATTTTAGTTGAATCTATAGTTCCTATGTAGGGAGAGTTAATACATCTCGGGTCCTGATGTCACTAACAGTCAGAAAAGTTATATGGTTTAATAATCTTTTTCTTAACATTTGAAAATTTCCGAATTTCTTGCCTCTGTCCCCATTCTCATTTTGTTTGCTCCGAGACATACCCTTATCTCCCCAGTCTATGATCTTTGTAAGTGGTGAAACTGTAATCTTTATGACCGTTTAAACGCTAAAGAAGCCTTTAAGACAAGAGTCAACCAGAAGTGGATTCCACATGTCTTAAATCTCAGTAAAAAAGGATTTTAGGAGAACCTGCACTGGAGGTGAACAACTACCAAACCATCCAACAAATAATGATAAAAGTATGGTTTATTTTAAAACTTTAAGCTAGAAACGGAACTAGTATGTGTATCTAGGCACATTTCAGCTGTCTTGTCTCGAAAAATATCTATGAAATTGTTTTTTCAGCCCTCTTTCCTTACTCTAATTCATTTTTCAGTTGAAAGCCTCTGATGATGATATTTCAGTGAAAAAGCCCTACGTTGCGTTCACCTCAGGATAATAGCTAGTTCTTTCTTTCATTTCACTTTCAATTTCTCTGCTATCCTTATAATACTCGCACAAAAGAAAACCACTCTCATTAATTTTAATTTTTTCCAGGTTTGCAGGCAAATGGCACGGAGGAGTCTGACATTGATGCTACTGACTTTGATGTAAGTCATGAAATTTTAATGTTTGTTTGAATGAGTAACTAATATCAAATCTACAGAAACTGTGCCATGTCCACTCTACCTAGTTGCTTCATGTTGCAAGGATCAGCACTTTGGACTCCTCTTTCCTGAAAAGAGCATTCTTTTCCAAAGGGTGGTGTTTGTTCGATAATTTATTTTCTTCCTATATATCTCCCCAAGTGAATCAATTATTTGAGTACTAGTCAGAAAGCATCAACTTTCTTTGAACAGAAATTACTTTCAGTGGTTGCATCGGCATTTTCTGAGTGAGGGGTGCATCTTTTAATGACTCCCTTGCCAAATTCCTGATGCAATGTTTTAGTTGAAGTGCCGATATTAAGGTTTTATGTATTTCTGTCATAGTTCTGTCCATAATAAACATTTTTAAAGAAAATCAATTAATTTTCAGTAGAGCCTTGTGAATACCCTGAACATATCCATAGAATCGCATTTTTTTAGTGGTGAAAGAATTCTAGTTCAGATCAAGGAAATTGGGGGAAATCATAGGACTCAGTCCCTTGTAACACAGCGAGATGACACTTATCATATTTTTAGAGCTAAGAACTGTTGTAATATGCCAAATTATGGCAACGCTGTGACCAGGTCCACCAACCTCGCCTCCGTGCGGTCCCTATCAAGATAAAGCGTTGCGAGATTAAGTCCTATACAAATGCGTTTTGAATATTTAATTAAGTAAAAGTTTATAACTTGCTCAGTATATTTAAAAATTATTATTATTCATTGTCTAAAAACTACAGCTTTACCTGTCTTTTTCCCCATCTTTTAGGAGGAGGATAATGAAGAACTCTATTGCCGAGCATGCAATCAATGGTTCACGTCATTTCATAACAAGAAAGAGCATATGTACGGAAGGCAACATTTTCAGGTATTGCTGAAAAACTCAAGGAAACTGTAATATGTAAATACCTGCAGCACACTTTTGTGATGTTAATTCTTGTTCTAATGCAGAACAATGTGGTTTTTACGAAGCCCACAGATTTTACCCTATAAGTCATTTTACTGAGTTTCATCTCAAGTATTTCATAGCAAGTTTTTTTTTTTTTTTTTTAAAAAAAAAATTACAATTTAAACTTTATTCAACTCTTGAACCAAGTGCAAATGTTCAAAATCCACTTTTTTCAATCAGGGTGTCTAGCATCAGGAAAAAACGGAAAATATCAGGAATATTGGCCGATCAGGAAAAAATCAGGAAAATCGGAAAAATCGGACGTTTTATCAGGAATTTTTCTCATGCAAATCTCCTCAGCGGAGAAAGTCTTAATGCCTTTTGCCTATTGTGCCAGGAGTCGAGAAAAATCAGGAAAATATCAGGAATTTTCAAAATGGAAAAATCAGGAATTTTTTGTAAAATATCAGGATTTTTCAAAATTAAAAAATACTAGACACCTGTCAATTTAAAATGATTAATTAGGGTAATTTTTACTTTTCATCAATGTTGACTATGAGTTTATTTTGAAATAATTTACTTTTTACCTTGCTCTCCATGTACAATTTTACAGGGAAAACAGATTGTTAAATTCTTTCACTCATTTATCCATGCTTTTAGACACACTGCAAGAGTATTCTAAAGCACATTTTTGAGGTTGAAAATAGTTGAGCCCCATGTGTAAAGGGTAGAAAATTTCTCCTTTATATAAACACAGAGTGACTGCCGGAAAGTAAGGAGATATTTTAAATTTCTGCCCCATCTTCAGTATGATCAAGTGATTTTATGTTAATTAATTTCAGAACGTCAAGTTAATGGGGAGTGGAAGTGGGTCTGCACAAGAGGGCAGCAGCTCCGTTCAGTCTCTTGATGAATCAAGTTTAGACGCAGCGCCATTACCACCTCCACGATTTAGCTATCTTCGTACCAACGACACGCTGTCTACCTCCTCGGAAGCAAATATGGAAGATGCAATCGCATTAGTTATGCACCTCAATTCAGGTATTTTTACCTATCCTACTTTGACAGTTTTTCAAATATTGCCGAAGATATTAATAAGAACAAAAATTTTAAAAATTATTGTGGAATCAGTTTTTTTGGTGAAGTAAGTGATCAGAAAGAGTATGGAGCATTAATCTTAGGCAAGAAAGATCCATTTCATTCTCTTTAGGGGTTTTAAAAATGAACTATCTAGAATAGGTTGCATCTATACCGTTTATTAAAGGGATACAGGATTATTCATTGTGGAAGATCTTGGCTCTCATAGCTCATATAACTAAGGAACAGCTCCTTCAGAGACATGGTATTATCAATTTATCACTTTAATGCCAGCAGCGGCCTGATTGTTGAAATTGATAGACAAAGAAGACAAAAGAGATATGGGAGGATCCAAAGACATTGAATCTTGTAGACCGTGCGTCCGGCTTGGTTTTGTACGGGCGAAGCGTGACATGTTTCTTGGAGCCCCATGATGGACAGCCGGGAATGGGGAAAGAGCGTGTGTCCCAAGCGGTCGAAGAAACTGCAGAGAAGCTATGGAGAATTCATTCGCGCACTTGGTTTTTCGAGAATATCTCGTTTTGAGTCCATTTCTAGACAAAATACCTAAGAAGAAAAGTTTTAGAAAGTATAATTTTACAATCAAATAGCAATGTTTTATTTTTCCGAACTAGTTATTAAACGAGAAAAAAAGCCTTTCAATTTGACGAAAATTCACTGGAGCTGCTACTGCGCATGAGCAGATGTGTGCAGTTGGGACACACAAACTTATCGATGCCATTGATGCTAGGTCCAGTGCGCCATGCGAATTTTTAAAAGTTGTCCTGCCTACCATGACACAGGATGCATGGGACCGTCATGTAGACCGTGGTCTACATGATTCAATGTTTTTGGGGGGATCCCATTGTGGGAAGCTGGTGGTTGTAATGGACAGAAGAGGTAGGCAATAGACTATCAGCAACCCTTAAGAGACCCTTTAGTGAGTTCATCATTTTCTCCCTTAGTCAACTCCCCATTTCAACCAATAGGATCGCTCCGTACTCCTCACGTCTTCTTTGTCAATCGCTTTGTCTATCAATTTAAACAATCAGCCTGCAAACGCCTCGCACAGAAATAATTCTTCAGCACAAAATCAATCAAAGCCGAATATCCGTCTGCCAATCTGTAAAGCAAATCTATTTTTATCCATAATTATTGCCCGAAAAAAACCTGTAGGTGAACAATTTAGACTGGATTATCACTGTTTTTTGTCTTTGTAAACCTTTTTATCAAAGAATTTTATCCGTTCTTTACAGATAGAGAAAAAGAAGTAAAACAACTCCAAAACCATGTAGCTGAACAAGAACAGAGGCACAAGCAAGTGTTAAGTCAAGTAGTGAAATTGAAGGAAGAAGAAGCCCGCCTGTTAGCGCTGCTTCAAAAGCAGCAAGCAGAAGCAAAGCAGTACAAAGCAAAAATGAGCTCCTATGCAAGTGATATTCGGAAGTTGTATCGCTTAACGAAAACCAAAGGAAAAGGTTCGTAGGAACTTGTTTACGCGTCACAGTGATTAATTATGTATTTTTACAGTGCAATCGGAGCACTTGTTTCTTTCTTGATTTCCCTTAGTAATACCGTTCATTTATAATTTTATCCATTTTGCATTTGTGGTCGTCGAAGACCGAAGCTGAACTACTCTCAGAGTATCAAACATTTATTTTAAAATTCGGTGCTTTTTTTCTGTATTTATGTTTTTAAATTATTTTATTTTATGTAAGGCATTTGAAGTGTCAAGAAACCAAACAAACTCAAAAAGGCGGCAAAATTAGAGATTTTAAAGTTAGGAATTTAATTTAACTTCGGAATTATTGTTACTTAGCTAAACAAATTTTGTTTGTAAATCGCATCAAGTACTGTATTGCATATTCTCAGTGTGAAGTTGTGAGCTTTTATAGCCAGCATGTTTTTGAGATGGCTTTGTCATAATTGCTCATCTTGCTGAAAAATAGCCCATTCCAAAAGTAAAAACTAAATGTGAAGTCCTCAAAATATTGAGAAAGTTTGTAGGCCAATTATAGTCATAAGAACAATGAGGGAGAAATAGAAAACTAATGACATCACAGAATCCAAAATGTAAAATTCAGAACTCCTGGAAGTACCTGATGAAATTTGCATGTTGAGAAATGCCAAAAGTAAAATATGTCCCTAGTATGATTAAATAACTCAAATCTGCTGTTTGTCATTAAGGAATTCTCAAAATATGTATCGCAGTTTCTCTAATGTACCAGACAATCAAAGATGATTAGATAAGACTGCAATTCCGGTGCAATTTCCTCCCCTAACCATTGAAAAAATATTATCAAAATTCACTTCAGCTCTAAATAGTTACCTCAAGTAGACCAAAAATAGCCAATCATGTTTTTCAGGAGAATATTGAAATCATTAAACTCAAATTTTATTGGCAGTAAAGTTACATTTCTGCATGAGCCTTATGATTAAAAAATCAGAAATCAAGCGTTCACGTAAGTGAATACAATCTATTCTTGTAATAGGTTAAAAATTAGTTAAAAACTGGAATGGTTTAGTGACTTACTTGTTTGGAATAACTGAAGGGTTCTGTCAAGTGTTGAACGAAAGTTTCTTAAAAATAATCATATCTCTTTATACTAAGGCAAGGTTTCCTCTTTTTACTTGACTCATATTTTTAAATGCTCTCTCTTTCTTTTACATTTTTCTTTTTTCTCACTCTTTTCCACTGCAGCTTACTTCCTCCGATGATTTCCGAAAACCTTGTATTTTTGTCAGCCAAGTCTGGCTAATTTTTCACCAATAAGTAACACCTACCTCCAGGAATAAAAGATGCTCTTAAAATTTCTTGTTACCGAGTAAACACGGCTCTGCAAGGACCTGATTTCATTATTATTCTTGTTTCTTTCGCCGAAGTGAAATGATTCTAATAAGCCGTACGTCCTCCTTCAGCCTGTTTTTTAAATTTTGCTTTTGTAACTCCTTTGTTTACTCTCTTTTCTGACTGCAAAATTTTAATGGTTTGATAACAATACGATCAATTTGTGAAATTATCTAGCGTCGGTTTTGAGTGGTGTCAATTTCCTAATCTGTTAACTGTGACTTATGCTGAGAATTTTCGTGAGAAATTTGATCATGCAGTTTATGATGCAAGATTTGTACCTATGGTGATACTCTGATCCTCAGCGTAGAAGAAATTATTTTTAGTCTCGTCTTAGGATTAAAATTGAGATGGTAGAGCAGTACATTACTTTATTTAGCATATTTTTCTTTCCTTGTGATACTGATCTTATACTTGAATGATTTTTATAATTGTTTTGCATCATTAAATTGTGTTTTCATAATTTGAATACCATTATTTGGTTTTTCCTTATTTTTGTGCATTAATTTTGTTTTATGACATTCTTCTTCATCTTCCCTGAAAGACTAGGGCATATCCCTGTTTGTCAGGCCATCTAGTATGTACCAAGCAAACAAAAAACATCACTAAGAATAAGACTCGTCAAACTGATAAAATAAGAACAGCAATGAAATATTCGATCATCTTCTGGAGAAGAAACCTGCTTTGTGCCTACCTTAGGGGGGGGGGTGGTGGTTCGTTGGCGTAATTTTTTCCCTTGGGGTTTTTAACATTATTGGAAGATAGTGCTTTACTCATTTGAATTTGTGATTTCTGAAAGGGAACTTGCCCAATTCGACATCAGCTTTAATGCACATAAAAACACCAACGTTTTGTGGCTGTTGGAAAGCATCTGATTAATTTCTAAGCTAGCCGACATGGATTCTGCTATTATTAGAGTAAAGTGTACTTTTGCAGTTAACTGCTTTATTTAATCTTTATTTAGGACAACCAAGTTCTGCACAAAAATGTTTCTTTTTCTTGAGATTTCATTGAATTTGCAAAAAGTATATTTGGAGGGAGAGCTGTTTAAATTTTCTCCGTCACATCGTGGATGAAGCAATATTTAATACATTTTTAATGTAAATAGAGTAAATTTTGAATTTGATCTACTACAGCCACAAATAGAAGTGCATTTAAGCCACGTTCAGCAAAACGGCATCATGTGTTTTAGGAACATGGGCTCCTCTTGAACAGGCTGAACTGAGGTAAGCTGGCGACTGCCNCAGGGCAGCAAGGTGACACATTCTTAACTGCAAATTTTCTTCGACCTTGAACTGTTCATTGGAGCAATCACAAAATATTTAGACCTCAGTTCTTTATTGGAAAGAAAAGAAAAGCTTGCACAGCTTGACACCCCTGATGTGACTTGCGTCCTCTGTTTGTCTTGTATTGCTTTAATGTTGCATACTCCGCTTCCAACCTCACTTTTCAAACTGAAGATGAAATTAAGGAAACTACTGGAATACACTTGATTCTGATTTTTTCATTCTTTATCTTGATTAAAACGTAAAAAAACAGGAGTGTAAAAATTCATCTGTATACAAATCTTATTGAATTAAAAATTTAAAAATAACACAATAATCAAGGTGAACAAAAATCATTTGCTTGCTTTGAATTTTGTCCGAATTGCATCATTATAACCTTCCTTGTTGCGTGCTAATTCGATGGCCAAAAATTGTATCCTTGGAACTATGAAGGAGTTGGATTCAGAATAATCTTCCTTACAATCAGCTCTCAGTAAAGTGCCAAAACTATAATTCTCTACAACTGTTTTGAAATTTTCACAAAAAGGACGCCACTTCTGAAAATGAGAAAAATATAATTCTTTAGATATGATGGGCAAAAAATTATGGTATTTGGTTCAGCAAAGATAACGGCAAGAGGCCATTTAGTATGTTGGCTTCTATATCTCAGAATGCATTATTTCCAAGACTCAGGTAAGTAGACGGAACTTGGTTCGCTTTAAATTTTGCTTTATAATTCAAAATTGGAAAGAAATTATTAAAAGTATTAGGTATGTACTATCGCCGAATTTAGTTTCGCGCATAGGCCGCTCCAAATCAAATGTAAACTGTGCGACACTCACAGAGGAACGAGTGCGTCTTCATGAGAGCGTTATCAGGCAACTCACCGCGCCGTCGCTAAATAGTCACCAGAGACTCTGCGCAAAACTAAATTCGGCGATAGTACAACCAAGCGTGGCTAACTTTGAATTGCTATCAGGGTGTCCATCGGTCCCCAAAAGTTCCCGATCATCCCCGGTTTTGGAAGGGTGTCTCTGATATCCCCGAAAGTTCCCAATTTTCTTGTTCAGGTCCCCAAAAAATGACAAAAATCATCCCAAACACTGGCATTTTTAAATTTTCCCATCAGCTGCGGATGTGCGGTATAACCAGGAATAAAAAAACTGAAGTGTTGCTTGGTTTTTCGTATGTTTTCACCAGTTCATCATGACTTGTAAAATTAGTCGTATAAAATACGCCTTTTAATGCTCTAACTAGCTTCCTTCCTCTTAGTATTTCCGGGAAAAAAGTCAATCCCCGACAATCCCCAATTTTGGTTTTTTATAACTGATAGACACCCTGGCTATTTATTCATGTCTTTTTTGGACACTATGAAGTCCAGATACAGTCAGAGGTTGTTAACTACTATTTATTTCAGAGCTCTCTAACTGAGAAACATTCTTTTAATTGAACACTCACTTACAGAACTAAGATGTTCTTTTTTCAGCATATGAATTGAAAAAACTCATAAAAACCATGGTTAAACAATTAATTCAATAGGTGGTCAAAGAGGCACCACCATGTGGCAGGTTAAAAATTTCAGGAATATGGAAGAAAGGTAAGAAGGCAAGGTATGAGAACAGGAGAGCTGATTGATTTTTTCCAGTTTTCAGAGAGACAATATTTAATACGCCAGTGTTTTTCGATTGTTATTCTTCTTGCTTGCTCACATTTAATTAGACATGAGATTCCTGTCATTCCTTATCCCAAAGCCAAATACAATTTAGGAAGAAGGCCCACCCTCTCTTGGTGGGCAAGCTTGCTGTACCTACTGCATTTCAACATTTTACAGATATTGTACTTTAGTATTGTACGAGAGTAGATATTTAGGTAAGTACAGTCTAACGAAGAGATCACATTAGTATTAAATAGTTGTAATTTCTCGAAAATTTCAGGAAGACCTTCAAGACCTTTGTTTCCTTCGATGAATAATCCCTCTTGCTGTGACAAAGGGAGGCAGGAGAATTTAACTAACTTTGGGTAGTGTTGTATCCTAAGTTGGTAGTCCTATCAGTTGTAGAAGGACTGAGTTTGAAAACTATACCAGGTTAAGCAAAAACCAAATCTGGTCATGCTGAAGTTTATTGCCTTGGTTTAAACTGTGTCCATGTATTCATTGTGCTATTCATACCGAGTCCTGAAGGAAGAACCGATAAATACTGAACCTACTTCTTTCTGTTCGGGGCTCTTGAGTTCATTTTCATTGATAATATCTACTTTCATGTCAGGAAATTCATTTCTAAAGGAGGTGTAAATAATTTCGTCATGAGGAGTCAACTTTAGAAGTTTTGGGTCAACTGCACAAAGAATCTGGAAAAGCAAAATGATACAGACATCAACAAACAAATTTAAAACTTTTAGTGGCTCATATGATTCTTTATCCTCCTTTTTTAAGAAAATCAAAGAACTGACATAGCAATGGAGCAGTCTTGAGAATTGGAGGTAGAAAGGCTTTCTTTGTAAGAAGGTATGATAATATTGCATCTTTGGGAAATTTTCTTTGGGCATGACAAATGAAACCAGCGCTTCAGCTACAGAACTCAGCTTTAGCAGTTGAGAAATGATTCAGTTGCACTAGTCACAGAATTGCTGAGGAATGCATAGAATGCTTAAAAATAGACTAATCAAACCAAGAACTTATTTTGAGAAAATATTCAGATGATTATTAATAATTAGTCAAAAACGTTCATTAGGACCAATCAATTTTTCAAGATAGAGCTTATGGAAATGCAGAAAAACTGGAAGGAGGTTAAAAAGACTTACATTGAAATAAACTTCGGCATGTTCACCTGCTTTAATTGCCCAGAGCGCTTCAACTGTTGGCTAGTTGGTAAGGAAAAAAAATTAATTACTGACTGAGAGACAAAAAGGTGCTTTGAAGTAAAAAAAATTTAATAGTAAAATCCTTTTAAAATAAAATGAGAGATGCTGTCTCTGTGAGGTACAGGATAAATTTGCAAAACAACCCATTCAGATTTAGTAGTTCAGCAGCAACTTAATCAGTTGCATGACTGTCGCAAAAGGACAGGTGTTCAAAATTAAGGACCATAAGAATGAATACTTTCTTTTATTCATGTATATTTCTTTGAAAATTCATCAAGTTTCCTTAGAAAAGGTTGTATTTGTTCTATCTTCCGATTGACGGGATGTTGTATGATACATCCTTATTTTTTCCATAGACTGATTTAGTGGCTTCGTCATTTGACATAATATCGAACCCTTGCTTCAAATGTAAACAAACACAGAACCTTGTTTCTGATTTGCGCCATGATGGTAAAATGCGTCCAAGTGTTTCTTACAATCCAAAGCTCGAGTGTTTCATAAGTCTTCAATTAATTTAGGACCGGTCAATGATTAAATTTTAATTAATTAATACAGTTCACTCATGAAGAATTCGGACATGAGATTATGTTAGTTTGTTTTGGTTTGAACCATGAGCTCGATATTATATCGAATATTGTAATCACTATATCAGTCTATTGCTTACGTCTAAGAAATAAATTAAACCAGTTTTTTGCTTTGGTGTGGGCTCATTAGCATGTAACGTCTCATATTTTCTTTCTTTAAATACAAAATAGGAGGAAAAGTGCAAATGCTCACATCATTTCCAAATTCTTCTGCTGGACGAGTAAATATGTCATCCAGAGTCGGAGGAGATTTTGCAGTAGTACTGAAAAAATGAAAATGAAAAATCATGATAAGACAATACATCCCTGGTTGTATGTTGCTTCCTTTTAGGTCAGAAAAATTCTAGATGGATGACCTTAATTTTGAGAAGTTATTAGACATATAGAATGAAATTGACAAATGATTCAAACTTTTTTACTTCTTTCTTTTTCCTTTGGCTTTGGACTTCAGGCCCTTAAAATTATTCCCTCTTTCCAAATTTTCAGGCACTCAGTCAGGCAAGTGATCCTGCATTTTTGGCATCCCTAGGTTCATTACCTCTTACCTATAGATACTTAGTGTTGAAAAGTTTCCTAAGACAATGAGCCCTGAGATTCTTCAACAATTCTTGAGAGAGTTAGGAAGTAGTACTCGGCATTCATTCTGAAAGCCTCATTCCAATTAATGAAAAGGATCGAATGACGAGAAAACGAATGCAAATTGTAGTTGAATAATAGCACAAAAGACATATATGTACCTTGTAGTCATGTCGATAACAATTCCTGTTGGTGGAGCTGTCACACGATTGTCAAGTTCCGCTTGATGAAAGACTGAAAGTTGATTAACTAATTGACTGGGTCTTCTGACAGCGTTACAAAGTCATTAAATTTGATTGATTTAAAATGTTATGAGCTTACAGCGCATGGAAAAACTACTTTGACAATGGGCAATGAATACTGACCACTGTTAATAAATGAATGATAACTTTCCTAACCTCACTGTCCTACTGTTTGTGTTTGTGTTCTAAGCCCTAAGTACACCATTAGCAGGTGGCTCAGTATTTTTTTATTTGAGCGTTCTAATTGGTCAAAGATGCAAACTCTCCTCTCGATCACTAGACTCCAATTTGTTCGTGAGAATACAGCTTAGTGCCTTTTGTGTTTACGTTTCGCCTTTCGCACATTCGCTTTCGCAATGAAATCAATATTCAGAAAGGAATAGTTTTATTCCGAGACTTTCTCCAAAAAACCGTGATGTTTTTTCCACTTGAAGTTTACTAATCTGAAGCTGTCTCATTTCCAGTTAACGTTTGTTTTGTCTGTAGTTCATTTCATTTTTTTATCAACAAAATAATTGATATGACAATCAAGTTTAGGTTAAGCAACTCCCACCCCTATACGTGCGCCGCAGTGAAATATTCTTATGATATTAATACATACCTATCTCTTTAAAGAGGTGGTCAGGATTCAGAACTTCGTAAGCTTTACAATGCCAGCATACGATGGTCTTTTCCTAAACATGCAATCTAATTGACATGCCCATCCTATCAATTGTAGGTTTTAGAAAGTGAAAACTTCCGTACCAACGTACCAAGTCTAAATGTCAGAAAATTTTCAATCCGCAGTCATCACACCTGAAGAATAATACTTTTGAAAAAATGAAGAAGTGGAAAGTGTCACAATAGCTGTGTATCATTAACAGAACTTTAATCCTCGCAAGCAACTTTATATCAAACCCAGAATGGTACGTCTCGTCATTTGCGTCACCTTTCCTTTGAAGTGACACTACTTAGTATCTTAAATTTCACATTTACTATTTGCACTTGCAAACTATCCTTTAATAATATCTCAAAGATTTGAAGTATATATTTTTATGCTTTGTACCACTCTAAACAGGTCTGCTGCTTCGTATCGTTGTTAGGAAATTAGTTAAATTCTTACGTTTTTCGAAGATTCATTATGAGATCAATCATGGGAACTTAACAGTCAAAGCTCCCAAAGTTATGTATTTGTGTTCAATATAACACACCTTTTTTCCTGGAAATTTTAGCAATTCATTATATATTTTCGGAAAATGACAAGCTCATATGCGATACTGAGTGAGTTCCATGATCATACTATGAGCATAATTTCAAAGCATATCCATCAACACTCGCATTTTTGCAGTTTCACTGTTGATTTGCACCTATTTTGCCTGAATACATCATCAAAGGGCAAACTTTGGTAATTTGGATCAACAAAATGTTCACTTCCAAGTGTTCATAGTTCTGTGCAGTTTGTTGACATCAGTTCGTCAGTTTCGGCTTCATAAACCTGACATGGTCCCAGAGAAACACCTTGGGAATTGTGTTAATGTTGAAGCGAGTAGTTACAGTGTTATTGATTTGTCCTTTTTTTCTTTCAGGCTTCAGAAGCATTATTTTTCTTACTTCCTTTGGCGTCCATCCTGCAAGTGGCTTATGGATTCTACGTGCCAGGTGTAGCTCCAGTTGAATTTGCCTTCAAGGACCGCATTGAAGTAAAAGCTGTCAAGATGACGAGCGTTCACACACAGCTTCCATATGAATACTACTCCTTGCCTTTTTGTACACCATCGAGTGGCATTGTTTACAAAACGGAAAATTTAGGTAATTGTATTTACCCTCTCTGCAAGTTATTTTTCCTGGTCAAAGGTTAATCAGAGACGAGAGACCCTCCTTTGGCCCTTGACGGCAGATGGAAACTTTTACTCTCGAGGATTCAACACTTCCTTATGATCAATTACGATATTCAATACATAAATATCTACTAAATAGATGATGAACTCGGGTGGGGTTTTGAGCCAAGTGAGTTTGCCAAGCTTCAGTGTGGTTGGAAAACAAAGTACTCAATGCGTTGTTCAACCTCCACTCAGTAGGTTGATCAAACTGCAGAGTCATAGGTTGGGAAGGAAAGATATGGTTGATCAGGCAAACCATAACTTCATTTTCCGTACTGTAAACATTTTTGTGAATTTAATCTGCAATTTTCCAATTCTCTAAGAGGATTTTGCGAAGGCAATTTGCTTGTAAATCTCTCCAAAACACTGAAAAATGCTCTGATAGCCACTCATAAGAGGGAAGAGAGAAAGAAAAAAATTAGTTAATTTTCCTCTCCATTTTATTCAAGCTGCTCTTGAAAATTAGGTAACTTGGTGAAACTTCTAGAAGCTTGAAAAATTGTTGTTTTAATCATTTTTAAAAGATTCTGTTACTCACAGTAATTGATATATTTATTTATTTTGTCATTATACACTTTTAACCTTTCTGTGAAACTACTACTTGTTTATTGTTTTTTTGTCTCTTCTTAATTTTGACTGTCTTGCATCTAAATAGGGGAAATTCTTCGTGGTGACCGAATTGTCAATACACCATATGAAGTGAAAATGGCGGAAAATGTATCATGCAAAGAACTCTGTGTGAAAGAATGGACGGAAGCAGACCAAGAATTGGTTCAAGATCGAATATTACATGAATATTCCGTCAGTCTGTAAGTATGCATAGTAAATTGCAAGCACAATCTCTGGCAATTTTTCAAGATTTTTTTACTGCAGATTTGAGCATATCAATGGCTAAAGTACAAAACCACGTATCTCCGTTTGTGACGTTGCAGACTTCCTTTCGTGCTTTATTTTTTCTTTGGAAAACTAATCAATGTAATTTCTTGGAGACTTCCCTCATTTTTCTCATTTTTTATTGGAATACACTGTATGAATTTCAAGCTAAAAAGATGGTTTATTTCTCTTTAAAAAAATGAACTATGAGTGGAAATTATGAAATACTGCTGTTAAAATATGTGGTTTTGTACTTCAGCCATCTATATCAAGAAACTCTGCCAAAGGGTGAGCATGAGATTGAGTCTCAAGGTAGAACTGTAGGATGGAAAAAATTCTTAATTGCACACCCACTCTCCACCACCCACACGGGCGCCTACACAAATGAAAGGGTTCTAAAAATGTGGAAAGAGGGAAAATTTCACAAGTAAAAAAGTCGATACTCTAAGGGAAGAAGAAAGAAGAGGTCATCACCTTTGGAAATTGATGAAAAATTTTGTGGAAAGCAAATGAGGAAAATGTGAGTAGCGAGCAGGCAGACGCATGAAAGTGTAGAAGCTTGGAAGATTCTGCACCTCTTGTAGAGCTCGTGGAGTTGTTGAAAAAATTTCATGAAGAAATTCAAAGAGAGAAGGAAAGAAAGAACCACTTTTGTGAATTGCTGATATTTTTTGTGAATTGTTATTTTTGGTCATTTTTCATTCCTCCAAGGACGTAAAAACACTCCTCTGTTTAGTCAAATAATTTATGCTTTCTGTCATTCCACTATGAAAGGAAGCTGCATGAAATCAAGGCTAAATTACCTATAAGCTCGCTTTTGGCAGAAAGTAGGAGAAAATTGCTAAAATCTTGATACAAACAATGGTTTTTTTACTGTTTTATGGAATTACTGAACATAGGAAATATTTGTTTGATCCTCTTAATCTACTGCTGTGTCCCTAAAAATCAAGGGTCCAACCTTATACCTGCTCGCTGTTCATCAGTTATCTAATTAGACTAAAATTGCTGCAGATTTCATCGTAGCAAAATTTCAACTAACAAAAAGTGGAATGAAAAGGAAAAACTATTTCTGTTTGCAGAAGATTCAGAAAACGCAGAAGTTCATAGAATATATCATTGTCTATTCAAATATCATTTGCATCATTTCAGGCTCGTTGACAATTTACCGTGTGCAACAAGAATCATCAATCGTGAGACTGATGAGTTTAATTACCAACATGGATATCAGCTCGGTTTTGTCAAACCAGATGGCACCACATACATCAACAATCATCTGAATCTCATTTTATTTTATCACCGCACAACATCGTAAGTACTGTTTTACTTTGATCATGGGTTTTCATCTGCTTTTTCATACCATAAACCATCAATCTTCCCTCATGTTATCCCAGCTCTTCAGTTAAAGTGTACATTGTCTTTTATCAGTAATTCTCATTGCAAGGATAGGGCTTTTGGTCTAAAATTCCAGGGTACGAATGAAGGGACTATGGTTTGTCAAAACTCTTCAACTTGTGTAATCCTAAAAAGAAGTCTAATCTTTTTTCCAATAAATGCATCATTTCCTTCCTAAACTTTTTCTTTACTTTCAAGGACAATAAGGGATCAGAACACTCCAAGACTCAGACTCTTGTAACGGAATGGGGAGGTAAAAAAATTTGAATTTTAGCAAGACTCAATTATGGAGTGATAAAAAATGTGATCTTTACTCTTCTCATTTGCCATATTAATTTGTCTGTAATATTTTCTTTTTTGTCGCCAGGAATATGTACAGAGTAGTCGGTTTTGAAGTTCAAACTCAAAGTATTGATTACAATTCCTTCATCAAAGATGGTGATAGTTGTAAATTCCAAGTCAAGAGTCAACCTCAGAAGGTCAAGGCTGGTTCAGCAAATAAAGTCAGGTAGGTAATACATGTCTGAATTAATCTTTCTCAAGGTAATTGAGCCAGGTAGTATCTTAGTTGAAATTCCATCTAAATTGTCTTGTAATAAAATGTTGATAACTGTGTCGGCTACTCATGACTGTTGTGCGTTAGTAAAAAAAACCTCTCTTAGTGCTGCCTATCACAAGATTAAGGAGCTGTCCAGAAAAAGGGCACATAGCAAAAAATCGTGTTTAAGAAAAATGCATTTAAAGTTTCCATCATTATTCTACGGCCACTGACTGTGACTTACGTTTGAAATTGGGAGTCCAAGCTGCGATGTAAGTTATCATCAGTGACCGGAAAGTAATGATGGAAACCTAAGATACATTTTTTTCATACGCAATTTTTTGCTGTGTGCCCTTTTTCCGGAAAGCTCCTCGATTGTATCTGACATTATTTATTCAATGTCAGGCAGCCTGTTCTATGAAATGCAGACAAGAACGTAAAAATGTAATTTTTCCTCACTATTTTTAAATATTGATTATTTTGGGGGTAGTATTAATGAGTGTCCATAAGATGAAGTTATTATGTTAAAAGATGAAAAGTGAAAACTCGAATTTTTCAGTTAGTAACCAGATTTATCATTAAGTTTGATTGGGAATTTAAACCTCTTTTTGGTCGACCACTTTTTTGCCTAGCTTGATCTAAACATTATCTTAGTGGTGTAGATTCCAAAAGTAGTCATTTTTATTTTCCTTTTGCTTCAGTATCATTATGATATAAAATTTACCTCTCAATGTGGATTTAGGGAAAACTTGCAGGTTAACTTTAGGCGCTATGTTCTGATCACTGAATTTATCAGGAATTTTTTTAGGATAAAATTAGGTCTATCAAGCTTTGAGAATATCAAGTATAGACAATATGAATCAATTGTAATGTGATTGTATTGTATTGATCGAGTTGTAAGGTGATTTTTCCTCTGTGAAAGTTCATTGTCCTAAACTGTTCAAAAGAACAAAAATTTCTCAACGCAAAATAGTCCGTGTTGTACAGCTCCATTTGTGTCACTCATGTGCACAGACGCTCTTTGGGTTGTTTTATTTATTTTCAAAACCTAATGGGAACTGACAACTCAGCTTGACAAAACATCAGTCATTGTTTAATGTATTTGTATTTTAGGAAGAATGAATGATATAATTTTTTTTTCTTTGTCATCTATTTTCTAACACTATGTTTCTTTCATGAATCAGATTTACCTACTCTGTAACATGGCAAGAATCTGATGTAAGTTGGGCATCACGCTGGGATATTTATCTGGCAATGAACGACTCTCACATTCATTGGTTTTCCATCGTCAATTCTTTAGCCATCATTTTCTTCCTGTCTGGTTAGTGCAGAATTTTTTCATTTGAAGTTTCTCTTTCAAAAAGTAGATTTGCATGTATAATTCTTCAATCCAGAAAATATTTCTTAATTTTTAAACACAGTTTGTTTAAAACAATTATCATGGTAATTGCAGTTTTTAGTAATGACTACAAACTGACTAACAGATCATACCACACTTTCCTAGTGTATCTCTATTTATACTTCTAAATATCTTACATTATATTGATCTGTGATGCTAAGAAAGGAGCTCTAAAGTTAGCAATACTGATTTGTGCAGGTATGTAGGAAAAAAAAAGTAATTTTCTTATTGTTTCCTCTGAGCATAATGTAGCTGTAACCGTCAATCCACGATTTTTAGGCAAACCTAGTTTTACCTCGGCAAACCTATGTTTGCAAAGAGGGTCATCAGGCAAACTTAGGTTAGAAAATTTTAGACTAATCTAGGTTTGCCAAATGCCATTTCAGACAAACTCCGATTTTGCTTTTTACCGCAAATATGACCGCACCACTTAACTTTTTTTACGGCAAGACCGTGGCGCTTAACTTTTTTTTTACCGCAAATACAACTGTACTGCTCAACTTTTTTCTTAGTGCAAATGTAATGTTGGTGGGCTGATTGTGTAGTCCAAATAGATTGAAGTAGACTGTAATTCAGGAACACGTACAACACTGAGAAAGGCTACAAGTAAAGGGGAAAATAGCATGGAAAATTGATAATTACATAAATAGTCGTCACCTTATTATTATTTTAAACATTTTTATGACATTTTTTACAGTACTTAGGCAATTATCAATTTTCCATGCTATTTTCCTCTTTACTTGTAGCCTTTTTCAGTGTTGTATGTGTTCCTGAATTAAAGTCTCCTTCAATCTGTAAAAATTTGGTCTCTGCAATCTGCATATCAAAGTTACATTTGCGGTAAAAAAAAGTTAAGTGGTACGGTCATACTTGCGGTGAAAACAAAATCAGGGTTTGCTGGTAACATAGCTAATATACCAGGACATCAATTTTAAAAAAAATGCAACTAATAATTCATCCTCTCATCAAATTTTAATGATTAACTTGGTTCTCCAGGAATTTTAACTATCATAATGATTCGCACAATTCGCAAAGACATCGCTCAGTACAACAAAGGCATGGAAGACGTTGCTGAGGAAAGTGGCTGGAAGCTCGTGCATGGAGATGTGTTCCGTCCTCCTCGGAATCCACGTCTTTTTTCGGCTGTGATCGGCTCTGGCGTTCAGATCTTTTCTGTTGCGCTGAGTACCATTTGTGAGTTCCCCTTTTCAATTTTTAAACATCTAATTATCAAATCAGAGAAGCTTCAAAGTCTCTGAATACTTTCTAAAGGTTATTAATGGCCTGTTTGTGTAGTAAACCTGTAGGCCAGTCTGCAGTTTTTCCAAATAATTTAAGGTGTTTCATTGCTGTCTGATAATTTAAATGTTTTCATCGATAAAATTCGGAAATTGCCATCTGTGAAGCACTCCAGTGGCACAATCTTGAAGAAAAAAATTCACAATACTTTAAGAATCAAAATTTACTAGCAAGGATCATCACTTACTTCAAACTTTTTCACAAGAAATTTGACTTTACAGATCGTCTCACAATTTTTTTTTTTTTTTTTTTTTTTTTCAGTTTTGGCTATGTTAGGTATGTTGTCACCTGCTTCAAGAGGAGCTTTACTAACTGCTGCCATCAGTACTTACGTATTTAATGGTGTACTTGCTGGTTATGTGTCAGGACGAATTTATAGGACTTTAAAAGGAAGAGAATGGAAAAAGTCAGCTGTTTTAGTAAGTTGATTAATTGTCTTTTTCAGCTCTTATGCTTTCAAATGACTTAAGAATATTGTGGACTCATCAATATATCCCATTAGGCTATAAAAATATGTTTTGCTTCAATTTGTTGAGATTCACTTTTGGTTGATTTGAGGCTGATTATAAGATCTAATTTTCTTCAATTTTGTAAAACTTACATTTTCAAACGATTTTGGACTGACAGTTCATCCAGGGTATCCTAAATCCAAAGTAAATAACATCAAGCATCAGCACCACTTCAATCAGGGTTACCAAAGATAGGGAATACTGGGACAGCAGGGAAATGTCAGGGAAAACCTGGGAATGTCAAGGAAAATGATGAAAATGTTTTGGCAAAATTGTTGAGTCACCTTTATTTGCTCTCTAGAATAGTTTTGACGTTTCTAACAACGAATTTTGCCTGAGAACTATTTCAAATTATTCTTTTAAACCATTTAACATATCTTCAATTGTCAGGGCAATTTACCAAAATGTGTCCGGAAAATCAGGGAAATGTCAGGGAACAGCATTTTCTTAATTCTATGGCAACCCTGCCTCAATAAATTATCAAGTATGAGTTTTATTTAGGTCATCTTCAAAAATTCAGATTGAAAAGAAGTAGATCCATGTCTCAAAGGGTTTAGTGAAAGCTTATGAAGAAAAAACAATCAAGGGACCGAAGGAAGTTCTTTTGCAGTCTGCAGTATTTAAATATAAGATTGTTATCGTAACATCATAGTCATTTGTACTAATTTTTCTAAAACATAAATTCCCATTTCAGAGGAAAGACACTCATACAGAACATAGATTCCCCTCCAAAAATTACATTGTTTGGAGCAGCACTAGTTGTGATCATCAGGAAGGCCCCTGCAAATGCATTTTGGGTTTAACTGAACACATCATCAACGCAGAGCATTTTACCTTATCCACCGCAATCTGTGCTTTGTTTAATGACCACTTTTATTTTTGAAACAGAATTTTAGGAGAGGATGATATATCCAGTTGGAGACAAAACAGGTTGGCGGTCACATCCAAATAGTTGAAAGTAGTGTTGCTCCAAACAGAATGTTTCTGATAAAGAAATTTTGCTCTCACTTAGTTTTATTCCCTAGACATGTTTTGTTTGAAACAACACATTGTTTCTGTTTTTTTTTCTTCTTTTACAAGATTCTGAACAAACAATGAAAGAGCAAATTCGAGTTTTAGGTTAGAAAACAGCATTGTCTTGGGCAACAACATAAATACGACTTGCTCTGAGCACATTGCAGTTGTTGTACAACAATGTTCCTTCAGTGCTTTCCAAGTTTTCCGTGCGAAAATAAGCCCTGCCCCCACAACACAAAACATTTTGAACAAAATGCAATTGTTGCTTGTTTTCTCAACTTGTTGCGAGTGTTGCCTCCGAACAAAATACGGCTCCTATCAATAAGAATTTCTATTTTATAGAAAACAGTACTTCTAACCATGATGCAATCCCAGCACCTCAGTCTCAAACCTATTATTGGGTTTTAATTCCTTTTTTTTTTGTTTTTCAGTTTTCCTCAAGTATTGATTTTTCTTTTCTCTCTGATTTTAGACGGGATTGCTTCATCCAGGATTCGTCCTTGGGACCTGTTTTATTCTCAACTTTCTCATCTGGGGTGAAAAGTCGAGTGGGGCTGTCCCCTTCCCGACAATGCTGCTATTAGCTGCTCTGTGGATTGGAGTACTACTTCCTTTGGTTGTGTTAGGCGCATATTTTGGTTACAGAAAACCACCTTTTGCACATCCTGTCAGAACGAATCAAATTCCCCGGCAGGTTCCGCAGCAGTTGTGGTATATGAATCCTGTTCTCTGGTAAGATACAATTCAAATTTTTGAATGAGATGAGAGAGCCTGTAATACATTTTGGATGATTTACAATGACAGATGGATCCAGGCTGGAACTAAGCATTTATTCCTCGGACGGATCATCAGTACATGCTGGTTTTCTGCCATTTTCTTGTCATTTGTAGGTTGTACTTGAACACATTTTTGATGAGTTTCTTTAAGCAAGATATATTGGACGGCATTTTACAATAATTAGGAACTTCAGTTTATGGGCCAATTTAGAAACAACGTATGTACCATTAGTTTCCTTATGCTTATAAGTGTTTTGCGGATGAGCTAGAAATTGTATGTAGTTTCCAATTGCAAAATGCGGTCCAATTAGCACTTGCACTTACTCGTTTTGAAATGAGAAAAAGTAACAAAAATCTCAGGGTAGAATGATGCCTTTGAAACATCACAGTTGTGTGTAGTTATAAGTGGTCGATGAGGTCAATGCTGACGAATTTTCGGACTACCCTCCCAATATATCCTGAGAATGCAACAATGATTGTTGTTCTCTGCCAATATCCAGTGATGCTATGTTATAAGGATATCCTAGTGACACTCTCTCTCATCTTTTCTCTTGTCTATTATTGATCTGACTTTATTGAAAATCATTGAATTTAAAGATCTTGGTTACCTGAAGGAGTCGGAGGGGAGCTAAGTCAATAATAAAGTTAAGAAGTGTCTTAGTGTTTTTTGTTAATACATAATAAATTTAAGTATGAGCCTATGGATTTTATCCCTCCAATAGTATCAGTGATTGAATTAGAGTGCCTTGCATATTCAATGAAAAGGGATTTGTTGTATGGATGTATTTGCCCACAAAAAATCTACTTGAGTAGGAAGCCTCTCTCTGGTATAAGTGTTTATCTTTTCAGGAAAACAAATAAGTATGAGAATGAAATCAATTTAAAATTCGAAGAGTTGAGAGTGAAATACAGCTTTCCAAGTTTTGAGAATAGTAATCATGGTTACAAGATATTTTTTAATGGAAATTATTAATCCTGGCTTTGAGGTTTGTCACCTATTTTGGTGAGATATTATCATGTCCTCCTTTTCCTTAGAAGTTTAACACAACTTTTCTGTTCTCTTTACAGCACATTAATGGCAGGAATTTTGCCTTTCGGTGCAGTCTTCATAGAGTTGTTCTTCATTCTGACAGCAATTTGGGAAAATCAATTTTACTACTTGTTTGGTTTCCTATTCCTAGTTTTTATCATTCTCATCATTCTATGTGCCCAGATTGCAATTGTGATGGTATATTCGCAACTACGTGGAGAGGTAAGTGCCTTCATGCCTTCTTTTTGTTGCAAATTGGAGCTGATGCATGAGATTAAATTGGACTATATTTTGCAATTCAAAACTACGAGTTCTCGCTTATTGGTAAAGACTATTATGTACATAGGAAAACTAATGGTACAAACGCTGTTTCCTAACTGAGACAGATATTCTAATTGCAAAATCTAGTCCAATGGACAGTAAAATCCCAATGGCTCCAGAATAAAAGATTACTCTAAAATGTTGGTTGTTCAACCAAAAAGTCTGGAAAAACCGCTTCTGTTGCTGAGGGAATTATAAATATTGGTGTACGCACAAATAAAGGGAGGAAAAGGTGAAAATTTCCCATAGCCCTCAAATCTCTGCCGGTGGCCGAGGTGCAACTTGTCTCTGATATCTTCAAAGCGTTCCAACAATAAAATGGTAGAAGCTGAGAATTTAAGTGGTAGTGGATCTCAAGACATGGCACAAATTTAGATATTCTGATCCACTTTTCACACTGTCCACATGTACGCATTCAAGTTAGGTAATAGAATTGGAAAATGGAAAAACTTAACCTCAAAAAATACATTAACATTATCTCTGACTGGCTCAGGGAACCTGCCATACTTTCTTCATGACTGAAATTCCAACTAACTTGTGGTTGTTAACATCTTTTATGGCTTGATTCCATAAAATGTACAAGAACAGAGAGAATTTGGTGAATATGGATTTTGAATGTCTGGAAAGTTGTAGGTGGCAGCCCTGACAGGGACCAAACTTAGAAGAATGTTAACAATAACCAGCTAGTTAGTATTATAGCCTTGAAGAAGGGACTACAGGGCCTTGAACTGCGGCTATGCTTATGTGAATTTATTTTGTGAGTTTACGTCTCTAATTTTCCAATTTTCTTTCCTTTCTGAGTCATCCAACTCATAGTTTGTTATCTCCTTCTAACCTTCAGTTTTAGTTTTGTTTTCTTGGTTTCGTGTGGTACGACTGATGAAAGTCAGATCATCTATCTATGGCTAAATTGGAAAACGATGTTTTTCCATTGTGGTGTTTAAAAAAAATTTTCCGCTCCTAATTTATTTTAACGAGAAGTAACAAGCCAACTTTACAACTTGACAAAATATTCTGCTCGTAGAGAAAAAAAATTTAGAAAGTTTTCAAGGAATTACGTTGATTAGTTTTCCAAAGAAATAGTAAATTGTGACAAGAAGTATACCACGTCGCGAACGAAAGATTCGTGGTTTTGCACTTTGGCCATGGATATGACTTTAGATACGGCGTTTTCTCACTTAAACTGGGGATTTTTCACGTTTTGGTTTCTGTAATTTTTTATATTTACCATTTGCATTACCATTTCTAATTACCATGATTGTGTCTTGGTTTCACGAGTAATTTTGTGATTTTCAGGATTACCACTGGTGGTGGCGCTCTTTATTTGTCTCAGGAGGTTCAGCTGTCTACATATTTTGTTACTCTGTTTTCTATTTTGTAACAAAATTAGAAATAACTGAACTAATTCCCACCATACTGTATTTTGGTTACACATCAGTCATGGTTGTCACTGTTTGGCTTTTTACCGGTACCGTCGGTTTTTTGGCAACGTACCTGTTCCTTCAAAAAATCTATTCTGCTGTGAAAATAGACTAAGCTTTACATTTAAGGTTTTTGAAAATAGATTTAAAGACATTTAGGTAAGTATAGTTTCTAAGAAAATTAAAATTAAGTTTGTCTGCTTTGATTAATTATTTTCTTTTTCATTTCTTTTTCTTAACTTATAATTTGTTGATGTATAAATTAAAATTTATTATTTTAAAAAATTGTCCAGATGTTCTAATTTTCTTCCATAAATCTCATGATTTTCAATCCACTTATACTGGCATCAGAGAAAGCCACCCTGAATAAAATGGCTAGCAATCTTATATTTTCTGTTGACTTTCTCCGAGATCAAAACTTCATAACATTCAGGTCAAAACATCCAAAAATGAATTAAACAAACTGGTAACTTTTCCACATTCCCTCTTATTCGTGAACAGAATTTCTGCTCTCATGATGTTCCTCACTTTTCATACAACCATGGAGCATACATGAGGAATTAAGAAACTGCTCTCTTGTGTGTCTTTGCCGTTGTGCAAGACAAATGGTTTCAGGACATTCTGTCACCTATTTTTTGTCTGCGCACCTGTTTTGTCCAGTAGTTTATATCCACGCGTAGGATAAGCAACACTGACTTGGTTCAAGCATTATTATATTAGACTAAACGAAGCAGTATTAAACCAATATTATCTACTGCAGAGGGGTTGGTGAAGTTGCTATATGAGTAAGAACCGGCAAGAGGCCATGGAATATCGGAAATAGGCAGAATTTTCACAATCGGGAGCTTCTGTGGGGTCATTCATGGACCAAAATTCCACATATTCAGGGGTTCTTAAGACTTGAGCTTGGCGATAAACTGGAAAATCAGTGTAAGAGAGTCTGTGGGCTGAGGAATGTAGCTAAGAGACATAAATTCCACACTCGGTCTGCGCTGACGGCAGATTTGAATGTCTCACTTCAATATTTTAAAATGGAAATAAAAAAAGAAAAATCATTAAACATGGTGGAAGCGATTGTTTTTATAGGAACCATTAAGGCACATAGAAGACAAAATTAGTCGCTAATATCAAGGGATTGATTGATTTAATTAGGTAATGAACCTGTTAAATCTATTTTTGTCTAAGCTTAGGAGACATAGAAAAAATTATAAGCTTGCCGGTTCCATCCAAAAAATACAAATTTTTAAGGATACTTTGGTCGTCAATTTTCATCCAATTTTGTATGCAACCAGAACAAAAGCTCTGAATAAAGCCATTCAATTGTTCAAGGGAAGAAACTTGCGTTTTGGACTACCTTTGTAGCTCTTAAGAGGTACGGAAGGAATAAGTGAGGATCCAATAGAATAACAGGTAAAAAAATTAATTTTATTTATACAAGGGTTTGTAGGTTGAATGGGTTGGTACAAATAGCTGGTGTTGTAAAAGCTTCAATCATCAGTTGGTACAGAGTTCCTTTTTAAATGCATAGAAAATGGTGAATTTAGTAGTCTTTCATTGTATCACATCTACGCAGGGATGAAAATGTATAGACCTCTTAATTAAAGAACTCTCTAATGCCTCACTCTGAATTTCATGAACATTTTGAGGTTGAAATCAAGATTTCAACCGCTAAAAAGGGTTTCTTTTTGGATAAAAACAACATGGATGATACCAAATAAATTTTGAATTTTGATTTTCTGAAAGTAAAGGAGCAAGTTGAGGAAATACTCTATGCGCTATCAAGCTTCATGGAAAATGAACACCATTAAACAGAGGACGAGGTTCATCCCATGAAACCCATGTATTGTGAGTTGCCAAAATCGCCAAATTGAAAAATTTGACTAACATTATTTTGAAAAGTTCTTAATCAAAATGTATTCAAGATGATTCTTAGAAACTTACTGGAAGCATAATATTTTAGCCTTGATATCAGTAGAAAAATAAGTAAATGTAAAATGCTACAAAGAGGATTCAACTTGTAAATATTTGTGCAAACAGCAAAATTATAGTTCAATATCCCATGTACAGGGCTAAAATTACAGTTATCTATTGGTGTTGATATCGCATTTTTACCATTCCTAGTGTGTGCTGACAGGATGGTATTGATTATTCATTTTAATTGCATCATAAATAATAAATTATTATTATCAGAAACAACTGATATTAATTTATTGAGAGGAGGGGAAGAGGGATGTGCTGCAGAAACTGATGTTGCTAAACCACCCATTTTTGGTGCTCAACACAGCCACCCCACTGGTAGCTTAACAACATCATTTCCAGCTCCGTACTTGAAAATACACACTGTAAGTACAAACAAGAGAGTTAACATACTAGTTTTACACTTATATTTTAATACATAAATCAACTTATCATGCAGTGTTATCATGCAAAATATTTCTATCAGAGCAGTAAACTGAGGTACTAAAGATTTTAGTTTCTCTTTTATTTTTCATTAGACACAGTTAAAATTCTAAGTAGAAGCTGGCGATGAGATAACCATGTAGGTAGGTAAATGATTCGAGTGCTATACTTGCAGGCTGAATATATTCTCTCAAAAAGACCCTGTACATCAGCTCATAGAATATGAACTGAGGATTAGGTAAATTGATATAAACTATTCAGAGAAAGAAAATCTAAGTTAAGAATTACCTTTGAAAATGCAGCTGTTTTCATTAACCCTCTATGCCACAGTGCATTACTTACTCGTAACAACGCATTTTTTGGGTTTCTTTTAATGATTGAACTCTTTCTCTGCAACATGATGTCGCAAATTCTTAATAATTTTTTTTTAAATAAAATAAATGACCATCAAAATTTTGAAATTTTGGGAGAAAATCTGGGACTCTTCGTTTCGACAAAAGCTACGGCAAAGAGCTATGTCCCCAGAAATCTGACACCCGAAATTCATTCATGCTATAGAGGTTTTAACACCCCTCATATTCCCATAGAACTGCAGCTTTCCAATATCTATCTCTATTATCGAACAGGCTAAGGGGGAAAGAGCACAAGGACATTCTTTTCAATTCAGAATTTTCCATGTCGGTTCAAGTTGTACTTGGTGGTTCATTTGCAGGACATCATGTCACCAATGCTGAATGCGGTTGAAGAGTTAGGGTGTGACACAGGTTACTTGACAGGAAATCAATAGATTTTTGTCCAAATTCTGGAACTCTGCAAAGGTAGCACTGCTTTTCCTCTCCGTTGTCCCTACAACCAGCACTGACAACTCAGCAACAAGCACGCAAGTGTAGATATTTTTGCAACTCTCAAAAGGAGATTCTTTGATTAAAGTTACCGTTAGATGTGCAAAACATTACAGAGGAGCAGGTACAAACTAATACAGGATAGATAAAAAATTATTGGCTCTGTACTAGACCTAGCAGAGGAAAATCTTTAAACTTAGCTCAACAGTGATAGACTTAAGGAACAAACTTTTTATACATGTGATAAACTTGGACAGTGAGAATAATAAAAAAAATTAAAAAAAACAATAGTTTTCACCATTCGAAGATAATTTGAGTTATTTAAATGTACACAAAAATATACTAAATGACTATATTTACACTGTTATTGGTAAAAAATTAAAGCTGCCTGATTCGGGTGACATAAAGACAGGCTATTGATGATTTTCAAAGGCTACAAAAGTATTGGTGTTCATACTACATGTTAATGTTCTATTTGAAAAAGTGGGAGATCTTTTTAAACTATCTTACACAAATAATTAGGGAAATGTCTCTTGTGTACAATATAAAAAAAATTAATGCATAAAAGTTACATAAAACAACAGCATGATTAAACATCTCACACACAGAAAAAAAGTATGTATCAACAAAATATCTACTGCTAAAAAAATGTCAAGACAAAAAATATTGAATTACAACTAGTTCAAGGTGGTGAGAGCGTTCATATTAATTTTAATCAATTTCTAATATATCTATATTTTTTTCTATTTTGATTTTAGAAAGATGAAAGATCAATGTACACTGCAGCCAAGGCACTGGTTTGTGATAGAATTGACCTTAACAACCATTCAGAAAGGGGTCTTGCTTTCTATTTTTTTCACACAATGAATGGATGCACTTTAGAAAACCTTCCATGATAAAAGCTGAATTTGCGTATAGTTAAGCAGAACAGTCACATCTACATTGTGGTTTTTCAAAATCTCATCTCCAATTTTAATTTTTTTTTAAGGAAACCAACCAACATTTTCCCTTAATATCTTGGGAAAATAACCCTCATATGGGCAAGAAAAATTGCACCAATTTTCGAGTGGGGATGGTCATTGGTTTCTTTCGAAATAATTAAAATAGGGGATGAGATTTTGAAACACTACAATGTTGTTGTGACTTTTTTCTTAACTCTATGTATTTAAGTGAATAGACATTGTTCGACTTTGATGAAAAAGGTACAGGCACTATATTCCAAACTTTTCATGATGAGGTCATGAGTACAGAAGGTCTCTCACTTATCGCTCATAATCTCAGACTTGTTAAAAGTAATTAAATTCAGTAGCTTCCAACATTATTCAAAGAAGAGCTTGTTGGTATGAAATTTAGCGGCTTAGATGGCCACATAATTGTAAATAGAAGAAATATTCACATTTTCTAAACCGTCCCAACATTGCTACTGCGATTTATTGAGACTCTTAAACATAATTGATACAAACAAATAGTTACAAAAGTATTTACACTTAAATTCTTTACAAATTTTTCATCTATTGCGTATGAACCTCTGGGCTGTTGGTCAAAATATTTATTGATCAGTCACGGAGAAACAGAAGAAATAGTCAGAAAGTACATGTTAAAGAATGGAATACTAGACAAGGTACGAAATTAAGAGCCACAATGTATGTTCCTGTATCAAACTTTTCTGTGAAATACAATGAGGGCATTGGTAAGAATAGACTTAAAACAGTTTGCTTTGAAGAAACATTATCTTAACACAAGGGTGCTTCCAATATTTCCCTTTTTTTGTAGCAAGAAAAGAATCCTCTCGTAGCCTGTCAGTCTTCAGTTGCCTTCTCACCTCAATGCTCTCCTCATACTTGACTTTCGACTGCATTTGCAAACAATACACCTCATTCTTCGCCATCTCTAGCGTGGGACTAGTGATAATTCTTCCTTCTTTTATTCGTTTTCTACTGAAAAATCTCTCAGACTTATTCATTGATCTTTAATTAAGTTTGGTTACGGCTCAGCCCTCTAGAGGTTGCAAGGGGATCCTCTGCTCAGCAGTAAAGAAACACTTACACGTCCCAAACAGCTAAGTAAATAATGAACTACCGAGAGCAAATTTACAAAAAACTAACCTTGAGGCTACATGGGTGGAAAAAATTAAAAAACAAAAAATTAAGGGGACTGAAGATCCACAGGGCAAAAAAATGAGGGGTAGGGCTAAACAGTTAGGGGATGATCCCTCTCAGATGATTTTTTAGAACTTCAGATTTTAAGTTTAGAAATTAAAATTATACCTTAGAGAATTTTATCGTTAAAAAAGGCTCAGAGATATCTCACTGAATTTCTACATTTTCTAGAGGAAATCCCCAGAAATCTTCGATAGATTTCAGGTAAGGATCCTTCAAAATGTCTTCATTGCATTCACCTTTTCTCGGAGTAAAAAGATGGACAAGAATTTTGGTTTAACTTGGTATTTGGGTGACAAAATATTTCAGCCCGCACAGGGACAATAAGATCTCTAATTCTCTATGCACGTATCCTGTAAAAAAAATACTTTCAGGAAAAAAGATAGGGAGAAAGATGGTTGCCAAACATTGATACACCGTTACTCTGCAGTTTCCTCTTTCAAATACTTTGAGGTCAGTTATTTATCTCCCTGAAATCTTCAAGGAATGTTCAATCATGAGATCCTGCAGATTTAGGGAGGCAGGTGGAGATTTGTGATGCTTTCCTATTTTTTTCTTATCCAGTGCTGAGAATTATTGATACAATTCTGTAGGCTGATTGAATTTTAGGTGAAGAGAGTGAGTAAAACAATGAGATTTGTGCAAAGTTGAAGCAAGTTCGGTGCTCTGTGCTGAATTTATTTTCGAGGGTGAACAATTTTATGAGAGTAATTGTAAGAAATTTTTATTTGTGGTACATTATTTACTCTTGATTAATCATATTTTCTGCAGTATTTCTTAATTTCTGAGGAAAACTTTGCTCTTAATACAAAGCATAAAAAGCAACATTACACAAAACAAATGATACTAAGAGTTATTTTTTGTTTACATTAATGGGGTAACAAACGGCCTCTTAACTTTACAATGGGAAGCTGATTTACACTGTGAAGCAGTTAAGCTTTACGCTCTGCAATTTATAATTTATACAAATATTATATTACAGTTCATGAATGTACCAGTATTTAACGCCATTTCAGGACACTCTTCAATTTTGTACAGTTATGTTTTAAAAAATTTACAAAAGGTGTATGAAAAACAACAAATTTAATCTTACTAAGGGTAGGCTAGATCATTTTTCCGTTTCTGTGTTGTTAATGGCAGTGGTTTGTCAAGAGCCTCTCCCGTTATTGAAACTCGCTGAAATCAATAACAGAACACATTAATATATTTTGTTGTGTTTATATATTCTTTTGAACTTTTTCTCTACATATTTTTTGTTGTTCTACAACTTGCTATCAAAACAGCCAGTCGAGCTTGTGACAGACACATGTTTTGAAAGTCGATACTTTTTCACTGGATAAAAAGAATGAAAATGATTCTAGTTCACAATTTCTGTGCTGTGAATGAAACACTGGACATGGTATGAATTCAAGCATTCTGATATGTGTGTCCTCTTTAAAATTGCTCGAGCAATAGCTTTGCACGATGATAATTATTGGAATTCACAAGTCCAAAGAATGTCAAAACTTTATTTGAGATCTTTCAATTGTTTTCTGACGAAACTTTCTCTCACAATAAAAAGACTTGAAATTCATCTTTTGTATTTTTGGTAGACTGCAACATATTTGGGTAAGTATCATTGGGAACAAAATCTGAGAAAAATGAGGCTTAACTATCATTCCTTTGATTTTGATTCCAACAAAAAAATGAAATAAAAAAAAAAAAAAAAACAGATTACTCTAGAATGGAGTTGCAGCTTTTGTGCTTCAAACAGCGGAAGGTGATGATATTCCCGCTCCCAAAGAAAAGAGAAAAAGTCTAAATCAGAGAAAATTAACTACTAACTTCAATGACATGCTTCATTCTCCCAATAATTGAGTACAAGGAAAAATACTGTAGGTATGATGAGAGATTTGAGGATATGTTGAGAAGAAATTTTGAATGCAAATAGAAATTTTGTAGGATGAAAGACATGATTACATGAAGGGAAACAGACACTTTCTTCAGCGAGTGCATTCAGGTAAGAGTGTTAATGAAAATTAAAAAGAGGCACTTTCGTCTTATCATAAATAATTCTGCCTAACAGCGGAGTCCATTTTTTCACATACTTTACACTACCAACTTTGGATGACAAAAATTAAAGCCACAGATTAATCTGAGAAAATAAGTCTAGGTTGCAATATTGCAACCCTGCCAAGACAATTATTAGGTTAATTGTTCTTAGCGTCAGAAACGAAAAGAAGAAGAAGATAAAAAGGGAAATAAGAAAAATAAAAAAGGCAGGACAAAATTTTAAAAAGGTGTACCTGGTTAAGAAATGGATGCGACTCATGAGTATAATTGAAAGGCTATATGAGGGAAAACTAAAGTTACCTGTAGCCCAATCAAATCAAATACTTTAAGGATAAAAAAAAGTAAAATCAAGTGATCAATAGTGAAGAAAAAAGCAACTAATAAATACATTGACAGGGAGGAAGAGGCATAAAGGAGAAAAAATCTGAATTCAAAGTAAGATATTGACCTAAATGCCAAATTGGTGGCTATTGATATGGAAAGACTGGTGGCATAAGGAGATATTTCCACTTTAAAATGAAAACTATGGCCAAACAGAATGTACATCTACACAATCCCTTGGTGGCACTTTTTCAATTGACTTTGTGTTGGCCAAGTGAATGAATTGGACGTATTTATGCTGGAAGGAACTATGTAGCACGTAAACCCTGTGCACGTAGTTCCTTTTAGCATAAATACGTCCAATTTCCTTTTTGATTTTGAGTCAGCAGTAGCACAAAAGGGTAAACTTGTGCCGAGGGAAAGAAAAATGGGCGACAAGACTTTCCTGATGATTGGCTAATTGGAGTTGATAACAGAAACAGAAACTGGAAAACATTCTCTGATATCTCAAAAAGCAAGTTTTTGACAGTTTAGTACCTAAGTTTTCTAAGAGCAGTACAGAACAAAAAGGTGTATTTGAATCAGACAACTCCAAAAGAATAAAATTGTAAAAAGCTTTTTCATAAAACTGGCAACTTGCCAACTTGATAAAATCATAATTCCAGTTTGGTCAGACTTTCTTCGGGATTTTGAAAAAATTTTGATCAAGCAGTTCTCTTCGGAGTGACGCCAAAATCTCAATTTTAAGCTTTTTAGCACTCAGGTCCCCTTGGTCATACAGCCCAAAAGTGATCACATTTATTTTTTCATTCGAAATGATACAAATTCGTACAATCAGGGTGTCTACTAAAATTTCATTTTGGATTTTTCTGATATTTTAATGATTTTTTCTGATATATTTAATGGTGTTTCCTGATTTTTTGCCCTAATAAACGGACACTTGTTTGATTTTACAAACAAACATACTGACAGTGAAATTGCAAAAATGCGTATCTTGGTTACGGTGTTTCAAAATCTCTGCTCTTGATTTATTTTATCAATAGGGATAAAACCAATATCATACCTTGAAATGTTCACAGAATATTCTTTAAACACAGAAAAAAATCACTGAAGTTTTCAAAACATGATGTTCAGTCATTTTTAGTAAAAACTAAAATATGACAGGAAGTCAGCAACGCTACAAATAGAGATATGCATTTCTGCAGTTTCACCATCGATATTTGGACCGAGTCTAACAGAAAGGAACCAAGCCACATCAGCTATTGCCAAATTTAAGTAGGCAATTTAATTTTTTACAGGAGAACGTTTGTGCGGATTCGTTTGAAAATTTCAAGGAATACACTTCGTACTATGGTGAAACTTCACTGAAATTTGCATCAAAATCCGCACAACTGATTTCATGTAAAATATTACATTGACCGGTTTTTGGCAATAGCTAATATGGCTTGGTTCCTTTCTGTCTAATGCGGTCCATTCAATGAATTGAATCAAATCCAAAGAGATTCCCGATTTTTGGAACAGATTCCCTGATTTTTCCTGAAACTTTTCTTCCCCTAATGATTCCCAGTTTTTCATGGCTCTGGACAACCTGAAAAGTCACTTTTTGCTTAAGTCACTGGGAGATCCCTGATCCATAACCGATCTTCCCGAAGACATCGTATTTCCTGACGTTTTCTAGTTTCTCCGATTCTTAATGACGACAAACACCCTAGTATAATTTAACGGAGCTCTGACAATTTGCTAGATTAAAAGGCACATTATGAGCAATCACCTGAGATGCAAGGAGAGGATTAGTAGTTGTCATTGTGCAGTAAAGTATTGTTACTTGGATCGGAGAATTCTTCTGAATCGGCCTCTGGGTCCTCACCATCTCCGTAGTCCTCCTGATCATCCGACGAAGTATCAGGCATTATGGGTGCTCGTGTAGTTAGAGAAATGAGAAACCCCTTTACGTGCAGGTTTATTTGAGTTAGTAATGACACAATTTCAAGCCACGAAAACTCAATGTAGTTCAGCAGACTTCTAAACACTATGCATACAGTCCACTTTTCTTGTGCCGTACCCCTTTTTTTAGGGAGATTCTACGACCGCCAATGTTGTATTCAGACAAATATTGTTTTAAAATTTGTCCGATATGTGTTTCAAATAATTTTTTAAGGATTCGTTGAAAAAAAAGGTCCTGCAACATTACATTTTAATATTTTTGTTCTGAATTAATTTGATGAATCTGACGTTTCTTTCAAGATAAATAAATGCTTTCAAGTTTAATTGGAATTTGGTGGATGAAAACACTAATTTCTCCTCCCTTTCAGTTTAAAAAGAACTCCACCATTCCACACACCAACTCAAATGATTCTTACTATTCTATCTCATTTGAAACAGTAAGATCAAAAAGAAACTTAAATCAGAGATTTTCTACCGCAACTGATAGTTAAATAATAGGCAAAAAATACTAAGGTGACACAAGAAGTCTGCTGAACTTTTTCAGGATAAAACAGTTTCCAAACACACTGAAATGGATAAAATTGTGGGAAAAGAACTTTATGCTCATAAAAATAAAATGGGAAGCAAATTTACAAAAACAAAAAATAGATTAAATACTTTTGTTAATTTGGGAAAAGCTGATAGTTCTTTGTCTGCTTGCGATCAGATTAATTAGTGATGATGAGTATGACTTGATGAGCAAGTTTGAGTGCAAAAATATACGATACAAAACACAGTTTGATAAATGAATTATTTACAGGATTAGCATGAGAAAAGCTCGTTTACTGCACAGAAAAAAAATTATTTTTTTTGTTATTTTTTTCCTTTGAGTTGATCCAATAAAATTTAAAAAAGTTTGACAGTGCGCAAAAATTATTGTTTCTCAAACACACGAATATGGTTTGGAAGTTCTGACTTGACGATTTTAGTCAGATGACACACTGATGAAATATTAAAAAAAATGAATTTTCAAAATCATCTCTCTTTTAGGAAATCCCTAAATAGATTTGCTACGCACATCCTCAAAAGTTAGCAGTTAAAATGAAGGAAAAATAGTTTAATTTCCTACAAAAAAAAGGGGGGGAGAAAATTTGGATGAGATTATTGATAGGAAATTTACAACATGGTGCAATATTGAGGCTAAAAATTGAAATGATGTTCAGTTGCTAACACCAACCTTGGAGAGCATGTAAAAATGATAGGATGAAAAGATGTGGTAAAACTTATTTTTATAGAATAGGTACATTCCAGAGCACCCATCACCAAGAAAAGATTATTTATAATGTATAGTGATATCCTTTACCAATAGCATTTAACACTTACTGAGAGACTCCTCAGTCTAAACGGAATATATTCCTTTTAAATCAAAATTATTGGAATTCATATTAAGTTTCAAGTACATGAAGAATCAAGTCTGGAAAGATTTTTAACAGGAGAGTCAAGAAGAACTACCAAAGTGCTTTATTTTACAGAAAATACAATGTATCCACAGTTATTTTAAGTTAAGACGATGCCTGCCATCTTGTTTTCACTTATTTCTAGATTTTGCCTGGTTTACTTACTCACTTGTTTTTATGTTTTTATTGCCGCATCAGGAAAGGATTGACTAAAAATTAAAAAGCTTTAGTGAAAAATTGTACAAAATATGAAATGAGAGTAAACAAACTTTTGCAGCTCAGATTGTGTCACTGTCAGTTTGCAGTTAGCAGTGTCGACCTCAAGAATCTAACACAACCCTACGGGGACATCTAGGTGTTGGGTTTGCTATTCAGACTTGGCAGGCAACGTTTTAAAAAGAGAAAATAAAGAGTTCCTTGCATAGTAAGTTTGTACAGCTAAGGCAGATGATTTTTCCGTGAAGACTGGGAGTCTACTCTAAGTTACATGCATGAATAAAAAAAACTGTGATGTAGTGAAGAAAGAAACGTGACACAAAATCATCACTAAACTCAGCTAATGTTGTTTAGTCTTGAAACATCTATCCCAGTGCAATGCCGAGAGATTCAATCATATCATTTATTAGAAACCACTTGATGAGGACCTCTATCTGAACATAAATTCATCAAGATAATATTTGATGACTTACTTTCGGAGGTCTCCAGCCACAGCCAGGTAAAGGTAAGCCATCTGCTCCAACAGGACATGGCGCATCTAGGCCAGGAACACCTTGATCACCTTTGTCACCCCGGTCACCTTTTCTGCCACGCTTCCCTGGAGGCCCCTGCAAGAACAGAGAAATTATTCTACAAAATTGACTACAATTATCGAATTTGTAAATGTTTTGTTTCACTTCAATGGACCAGTGAACAAGCTACGAATTTAAGCATTCTAAGACATGTATCTAATAAACTGAAATTTCTTTTAGAACACAAATTGCGCAACAAAAATTACTGAAATCAACTCTTATGTAAGTTATTAACGTTTTTAATCTGCATCAGTTACAAAATTTAAATTCCTCACTCACAAGAAAAACAATGATCTACTTGAATCAAATTGCACACTGTGACAGTTTTGGAAGGCTTCTTAATCAAGTAATGTTCCTTCCCCGCCTGGTGTTGTTCAAAGTGTTAACAACATGCAACAGCTAAGTCAAAGCACTGAAATCAAGATTTCCATCTTTTCATACCGTAGAGACTGTTACGTTAACGCTCAGTGTGCGATTTATCTTACGTGAACTTCTGTTCTTTCATGAACAGGAGGTTTGAATTTACGCATCAAAAAACGTTAAATAGCTCGGTTAGGAATTAGTTTTAGTAACTTTTGTTGCTCAAATCATGTTCAGCGTGAAATTTTGATCAAGTAACATGAAGCAGAATGCTTTAATTCGTACCTTGTCTACTGGTCCATTCTGACTCAAATTCATTTTAGTATAATCATTTGAAATGGGAATATCAATCTCACTTTTCAGCATGATTGGTTTGCTGTGAGGTACCACAATTTACGAGCAATTACGAACGTATTCTCAAATGAGACTACAAATCTGATGCCTTCAGTGCCTTCTTTTCAGGCTTGAAATTCTTTGGTCCTAGAAATTTACAGATTTTCCACTCGGCCAAGCGTAAATTTAGTCTTGAAATTAAAAAATATTCAAAAAAGAGAGGCTCATTTCATCAAAGGAAATACTCATATGTTCTTTTAAGAAGATTACTTAACATAAATGTTTAAGAATAAACCAAGATTACACTACAGGTAAAAGAAGAAGCCTGAATACTTGATGTTATAATCAGTACGTTTAAAACGTAGAAAATGAGCCTTGTGTGAGAGAGAAAAAGACTTCTTATATTTTCTCACATAGAAATGGTTGAGGAGTGTGATAAGAAGAAAATTCTTGACTTACTGGGTCTCCTTTGGCTCCTTTATCTCCTTTGGGGCCCTAGAAGCATTTAAGAATATTAGCACATGCAGTTAGTATGAAACTCCTTGCCCAGCGTCCAGCAGTTAGATAAGAGTGAAGAAATCAAAATCACAAAAAATTAGAGTTTTTAGGCCACCACCAGGTTAGATAATTTTTTCCTTGGGTACATACTGAAAAATAATGGCGAAATCCTATGTGACAGAGCATAGCATCATTGAAGAAGTAGGATGATGACATTTTCTTTAAAATTCTGCAGTATTAAAATTGCAATTAAAAGTACTCATGTTGAAATATAAACTAGACTTACATAGTCTAACTTTTTAATAAATTAATCAATCATTTTTATACGCTTCAAGCATGCATGGCCTTCAGCAAAGTTATCTTGTAGATTTTCCCTGATCTTCAGATGTTCCATTTCCCTTCCTTTCCCTGATTCTTCTGACCTTTTTTTTTCAAATCACAAGAAACGCAAAAATGAACATAGCTCATGACAAAAAGCCGGTGTGGATGGGTGGGAACCCGAATTTCTAAGGGAAAAATTCACTACATACAAGGAGAGAGCACTGCAGGTCCCAAGCGTATGGAAGATATGCAAAAAATCCCATTGTTGCACAAGTGTTTGCGACCCTTCCTATTACACATTTTCTCTCTCTCACTTTTCTGCTTCTTAGACACCCTATACACACATGCGGTCACACACATGTATATGCGGTCACATCCAGTCTCTTATGATTCAGTATACTGACATTTGAAAGAATATTTGCGCCTTTATACAAAAAAAAAATTGAAGAAAGAAAGAAAAGAAAAAAAAAAACTCATCTTAAAGTCTGCTTTTTACTGCTGAAAACCATATAAAAAAAATATTTGAGGCACCTAGAGTCAAAACCTACAGTTTCCATTACATGGTCTAAAAATTTGGCAGTTGTTTCAATTTATTATATAGAGAGCAAGTGAGTCTCTAGTTATATACTTTCTCAAGAATTTTCTGCAAGTTAGCAAGAAAATTAAGACAGTATTTTGCGCAAAAAATCTTAAAGATTAAAACTTTTTAAAATTAAAATATCAGCCAAATTTTTAGACATCAGAATGGAGATTGCAGCTTCTGATACTCAGCGTTTCATTTTAAATTTAAATTCTCAATATGCCACTCAGAAAATGTTGATATGTTTTCAAAGAGCTCCCAATATGTATTTTAAGAACGATTTAAGGAAGATAAGAAGGTGCAAACTACCTCAGAGCCCGGTATGCCATCAGTGCCCTATACGAACAGACAAATAAGCAATAAAATACATTAGTAGGTTAGTATGTTAATTTGAGAGTACACACTAAAGCTTTGTGTTTTAAATCCTTGGTGATTTTTTTTACTTCTTCTACTGCTGTTAGATCTTAAGCAAGTGAATAGGTTAATTTGAAGTATTAATGTAAAAACACCACCAAATACCAGTTAAAAGAAGCAAGATGATCAATTTTAAATCAAAACCAACACCGTAGGCTTCAACAGAAAGATGAGAATACCTTACAACTAGATTAAGTCTTCAACAATCCCAAAAAAAAATGTATCATGTAAAGGTAGTTGAGAACTATTTCACGTTAGTAGAAGGATAGATCTGTAGGATATGGAGACAAATTGGGAAAAAAGCTAAAAACTTACAGGAAGGCCTGGATCTCCTCGTTCTCCTTTGGTGCCAGGCTCGCCTTGTCCACCCTGTGAAAAAAGTAGACCGATCTTTGATGAGCAAGGAATATACTTTGACATCCAAAATAATTTGACTTCAAACACATGAGATCAAACAAATAATAAAGGGAGGGGGAGTAATAAATTAAGTAAATACATTGAAAAAGCCATTAAAAAATATATCGACGGTGAAATTACCAAACCACGTATCTCGTTTGCGGTGTTTAAAAATCTACGCTCGCAATTTATTTTTTTGAAGTAGACCAAATCAATATCATTCCTTGAAATTTTCACAGAATTTTCTCCCCACGAAGAGGAAAAATCACAGAAATTTTCAAGACTGGACGTTAAGTAGTTTTTCATTTAAAAAATAAAGTATGACAGGAAGTCTGCGACGTCGCAAACCGAGATACGTGGTTTGGTAGTTTCACCGTCGATATGTTCAGTAGTTAGGGTGAAGTTTTCCTGTTGTATCCCAACATACCAACCTAATTCACTTCATTACGTCATTTGTTCTTTCTCCTCATTTTCAAAAGGTAATATATTTCAATTGTGAGGAGAAAGTAAGGATTTTCTGACAGGTCTTCTTTCTTCTCCAACCTACGTTCCCAGTGGCTAGGGCACCATGCTCTTACATGGTCAGAGTGCTGTTTGCGACTTGATGCTCCAAGTTGCATCAAAACTAACAAAATTTTCGCCCAAAGCGTCGTAACTCGTAATTTTCTGGGGGAAATGATATGCTTGCCAAAATTTTTGAATTTTTAACTCAATTCCTATGGGTCGTTTGAAGTACAAGTTAAATTTTTTTGGGTTTTTTCCTTGTAGGAGGTCAATTTAGAGATTGCATGGAAACTTTCTAGGGGTTGACCAACTTGAATATCGCAAATTCAACTCAGGAAAACTGGAACTCTGTAACTAGCCATGAGGATGTGCTTCGTACACCCCAAATAGCTAACTGGAAAGTAAAACCTTGACATTACTTTTCGGAGAGTCGGATGGTTCCAAGGAATGACATTGTCTTTTGCTTAAAAAATTAGTGAGAATAAACTGAGAGGAGGGAAATTTTTTCTCCAGGAGACAACAGGAATTACAGTACATACCTTCATTCCATCAAGTCCAGGAGGCCCCTGAAAAAAGAGAAAAAAACCAATGAGCATAAAAGTGCCCCGTTTTGGTGGAGCTTAGTAGAAGCGGGAATAGAAGAATGGCGTTGGTCAAAATCTTCTTCCTATTCCCTCCTATCTTATAGGCTTTGGCTTAAAAAGGTAGAGAGGCATTATTTTGTTTAAGATGAAAACTTTACAATTGTTGTCAGTAAGTAACCAAAAATATTTAAATTATAATCACTGAAAGTGATGTTCTTCCTCCCTTTTGCGATTGAAGTGCTAGGTGCAGCAAGCAGCAGGCACACTACCTAGGAGGAGCTACTGGTGCGAATTCCCCCTGCTCATCCTGAAAAGGCTTAACAAATTTAATTTAATTTCGATTTGATACGAAAGGATAGGAGAAAATATTTTGTGAATACAGGTCATAAAGCGATTATGGAAATTGTTCAGGATTGTAAAAACCTACACAAGCTGAATCTACAGATTTGGGCGGTCAACAGAAAAAATGACGAGGAGATCACGTACATGCAAAGGCTAAAATTGACCAAGAATTACATCTTAATAGCAGAAATGGTTCCTGAAAATCTGTTGAAATTCAGAATTGGAATTTTCTGAACAACAGGTTTCAATATAAAAGTTTTATAAAAAAAAAAAAAAAAAAAAAAAAAAAAAAAAGCTACGACAAAAATATGTCCTCCATGGTTCCACTGGAAATATTTCAGCTTTATTAGAATTTTTTATTAGCAAATTGTTCAAAATCTTGATTAACCATCAACTTGATTCAATGCAATTATCCCCTTCATCTTGCTGGAAGTTGGAGGACTTGATGCTGCCATTTCACCCATCACAAATGAACGAGTGACTTCGGAATCGCAAAATAAATTTACTATTTGTAAAATTTAGAAACAAATAATGCCTCTTTAGGGAAGAAAAACTTGGTAGAGTAAGGAGGGGACTACTAAGAGATGTAAGGGTAAAAATGAAAATCAAGTATTGCCATTTTCTGCACGGCATAATCTCTACTCACTTTCCAAGAAAAATTCACTTTTTGAGGACACACGGGAGAAAACGGAAGAAAAATTGTTCTGAATACTTCAAACAGAAATAAGAGGAAATTGATGAGAGTTTTAGGAAAAAGGAAATATTAAAAGTTACTTTGCTTTAAAATAAAAATAGAAACATATTGTTTTTGTTTGTTTTATATTTTATAATTGTCTTGCACATTCCCACCTCATACAGACCAACGTCTATAGGAGGCGAAAATGAGCGAAAAGAGAGAGCAATTTTACTGAGTATTCATCATTTCTTTAGTGTACTGCGCTAAATTGTCCTCAGGATTGCTGTCTTTCAAAGTTTCCACATTGAACTTTTTTTTAATAAGAAAACTAATTTATATATTTATGAGTTTTTCTCAGAAAATATTGATGGAAATTTAAAGATTAAGTCAAAATATCACCGATTATAATCAGTTTATTTCCCTCCAATAAATGGATTTCAGAAAACCAGATCTTTGCCCCATTTTGCCATCAATCTATTGTGAGGGAGCCACAAAGGTTCTACCCCTTGTTTAATGACTGACAAAACCTAGCCAATTTAAAAAACAATGACCTTTATCGATATTATTCAGGTACCTACGTACAAAAACATAAGATTGTTGAATATAAATCAATTACAAATGAGAAAACTTTGAAATACCGCAGTCTACGTATGTTTTTATAATTTCAACATTGAAAAGCATTTTATTGCCTCGGTGCTCTTGACTTAACACTGTGCATTGAGAAAGTTCATGAAAGCCATTCTCTTGAAAAACACAGCACTTAATGCAGTTGTCAGAATTGTTAAAAAATGCATTTCGAAATGGAAGTATAAGCGTGCACAAACGCAAGATGCAATTTTATGCAATGGTTGCAACAACATTCATGGAAGATGCAAAGAAAAAAAAAGAAAAAAAATGGTGCAAAGATGGAGACAAAATACATGCTCAAGCAGGCATAAACTTGGTAACTTAACTTCAAGAAGACAAGTACAACTTAAATAACTGAGAGAAAGGGGCTAAAAACATAAAAAAGCTGAAGATTTTAGAGAAAAAAAATGAGAAATGAAAGATAATAGAAACAAAAATTGAAAGAGGCTGAAAATATTTTTTCTTTAAACATAACAGAGCAAGTAGAAGACTTTCCTTTTAATATGAAGGGTTAAAAGGCTCAAATTTCGAAGAGAGTTATGAAAGAAAAAGCTAAAAAAGAGAAAAGAAAGAAGGACAATCAAAGTTAACTAAATGCGTAATTTCAGTGTTTTAGGAGAATAAATTCAAATTAATGAAGAAAATGCATTCAATTGATACATTAACGTAAAAACTTAGGCTATGCGATGTCAACTTACATGACTACGAGATCAACTACAACAACCAATAAGAACTCTTAAAAAAGAAGATCTTTTGACTAAGCATGAACATGCCCAATTTGGATAAGAGACTCTATTGTAAAAATATAAACTCTGAAAAGCATTTGTTTATGGGGGGTTTGTTTGAGCGTTTTGGGTGTACATTTAAAAACGAAAGCTTATCAGATGAGTCAGTACAAGAGGAAAAGAAGTGCTTGAAAACAAAATAGGATTTAAAAAATCTAGAAAATACGAAGAATTTACTTTGACTATTTAAGATTTCTACTTGTGAATAATAATAAATCTATGTAACTGTAATCGATCATATTAAAGCCTGTTGGTTGGTTCTGTCACTCAATTGGTACTTTCTGTTGGAATCAATGTACTGAAATACACTTCTGGCAGATTAGGAAACTGAAATCTCTCTCAATAATTATTTTTGCGAACATTTTAGAGGTAAGACATAGGACTTTAAGAGGATATTGTTTTTCTACACCCATTCAAAATGGGACTGTTGTAAAATTTTACTAAAGCTGGAAATGGTGTTAACTCAATTGTTTTTTTTTTAAAAAATTTTGGTAAATGGTTCAGATAAGTCTAGGAAAAGCATGGAGGAAAAAAAAGGAGATTCAGCGCTTGCTAAATTTTGTTACTTGGGGCGATTTTCTTCATGACCTTCTGACAGCTTGATGAGCTTTCAATGAGCCAATTTTGACAAAAATTGGGCTCAGAATAGAACTTTTCAGCATTTTTACATACAGTAGTAGTAATATTAATTATGCAGGAGAGCTTTCTTCCCTCGCTGGTTGCTGGCTGAAAGTATAAAACAGAAGCCTAACACCCTCTGCATCAACTGCTCCAAGACAGGAGGCTTCGCATATTTCATACAGCAGCAATGCCACAACTTTACAGGACGACGGTTGTAAATCCTACAAATTCACTTTGCAGCCCTACTTTTCTCGAAATTGGTACTTAAAGAGTTCTATTTTGAAGGCTCGTAAAGGCTTAGGTTTAGGAATCACAGAGAACATAATTTTCAATAATAGTAAAAATTAGTCAAAGCCGAACCCCTTGATTTTCTATGCAGAGTTCTTTACTCCTTACTTCAAAATTTGCGCTTGAATTTGTTTGCTTCTCATTTCAAAAAGTACACAGAAACTAGCAAAGTTCTAATCTGGCATGGACAAGTCACCCTAAACTTTGTACAAAACCCAAGATGGGGTCTATCATGCGACATATATGTAGCTCCTCAAATAAAAGAAGTAAAAATTTTACACATTTGATCAAACTTCCCTACTCTTCAATTTACGTTTCATAGGAGGTGTTATCATCGTTTTTTCTTTTTATTTGTGGAGCTGCACCAAATGATAGTGCCCCTTGGAGTTCTGTGCGAGGTCCACGGTGATCCATTTGTGTTAAGTTCGATCTTCACTATGATGTACTTTTTAAAGCAAGAGGGTGGGAAAAAAGTGCCAATTCCTGAACATCACATGTAACGCAGAGTGGATTTCAGACTTTACCAATCGTGATTTTTAAGCATACGTTTAACGATAGAAACGCAATTTCCTTTCACCCTTCAGCAAAAGTTGCTCCATTTTTTTTCCATGCAGAACTAAAGTAACAATAAAGTACAAAATAAAAACAGGAAATAGAACAGTGCCTAAAATTGAAGACACAAAATTTTTCACATAAGATTTGAGTGCTACAGTGTAGATTAACTGACCTAGAGGTAAAGTTTTCGTTTGTTGTTCACTGGGCTGGAAATGACTGGATTCTGTTCTGGAGATTTTTCTGATGAAAGAACACATACACGTAGTCCATCTCAGCATGAGAAACATAATACCACGAAAAAAAGTGCCTCTCTTAGGCCTAGGATCGAGCACCTGCTTACCGAAATTGAATCAGCAACTCGTGACATTCCAAAAATTTAAAAAGTCACCTCATTCAAAATACATGAGGTTTGGGAAAGCTTTGAGTTTCAATAAAATAATACAATCATTACCAAGCAAAAAGGAAAAAGTTTCAAAAAGCTATCCTTTGTCCTTGCTCATGAAAATAAATATCTTGGTATAGCGCTCCTAAGGAGGACGTAGGATCGATAGACCTGACTTTGATCACAAAGTTGAATTACACCCTGAGACATAACATAGATAAACGAATTTGAAAGTATGTCGACTGACAACTTTAGGATCAGGCGAAAATTCAGTGGTATGGGCTGGCTGTACGGTGTGATGCATACCTGCTTTTTAATTTGGTAATTTATATGAGTTGGCTTTGTCTTTAAAATGAAACATCTACTTAATTTACATTAAGACATTGAGTAAGATATCTTACTTAATCTTCTAAATTTTATAATTTAACTGATGACTCATTATCTATAATCTATATTAATTAAAGATTCCTCTCATACTTTTTGTCTGCAAATAAGCAAATAAAATGCTTCTCGAGGAAAATTTCTCAAGTGAGAGATTTTTGTCAAGGTGTGTGAAAAAAAACAAATTGAATTTCCAACCAAAACACTCGGTTATCCGGTATCCAAGGAATAAGCTCAAGGAGTTTCAGTCATTTTGAAGAGAGCAAAGAGGCTGATGTTTCATTTTAATTCAACAATCTGAGCTGGATCTTTAAAAAGCTCATTC